ACAGTGTTCCCTTTTGTACATCATTTTACTGTTGTTCTATGTGTATGTATTACCTATGAAAAATGACAATAGAAGACTCCCTTCTTTTAAGAGGCGTAGGGGAAAGGCAGACATGCAAACAATTACAGCACAATATGTGTATTGTAATCGTGGATTCTCGGCAGGATAGGGAGACAATATAGGAAAGACTGCATCTGCTTGGGGGTGCCTGGGGGTGCCTGGGCGTTTGAAATAGTCAGGTGAGTGCTGGACCCTCTCTCCACTCAGCGTTGCTAGGGTGCTAAGAGCACAGGGAGAAAGGGTCAGTGGTGGAGCTTGCTGGAGCCAGCCGAGGTCAGAGAGAAAGCTACCTCCCTGTGCCAAGCTAAGGAGTTCAGATTTTTATCCTAATAGGAAAGGGCAGCTATGAAGAAATTTTTAATGGGAAGTAACCTGTCTGGATTTGCCATTTAAAGAGATGGGTGGATGACTAAACCTAAGAGAGCAGAGCAGGTAGGGAGGGCGTGTCAGCCTGAGCTAGGACAGCCAGCAGGGTCAGCAATGTGTATGGAAAGCACTCACAAAGCCTGCTCTTTGTGTTCCCACACCTAGCATCCTCTAAGCATTCTGGACCCCAGGCACCCCAGGAGAGAGCGGGCAGGATCTGCCTTTAGGGTAGGGCTCATTCCTGCCTGCCTGCCTCCTAGCCCCAGGCTTCAGCTCCTTGGCAAAGTGGGGCAGGGAAGAAAACAGCAGAAGGCTCTCCCATTCCGCTCCTAGTTCTCTTATTTATTCCACGCTCTCTCTCTCTCTCCATTCGGGTCCTCTCATTATTTCTGAGCTGTACAGCTTGCTGCTTCCCTGACTCGCTTCTTCCACCCCTGTCTGCAAAGTGTCAATCAAGCTATTGGATGAGCAGTTCAGCCTCACACCCTCAGCGTCTCTGCCCCAGGACACGAGCCGAGCCGAGCCGCGACTGCTGACACACACAAGCAGCAAGGTGTAGGGCTGTTGGCTCGCCCTTTAATAGTCCTCCGATCCAGAATGGGTGTTAAAATGGAATTTGAGGGGATCGCTTCTCTCTTTCTGCCTGCTCCTGTCAGGACATTTGCAAGGACGGGCAATCCTAAGAGAAGGGGAAGCCTTTAGAAGCAGATTTGCTTTTCATTTCAAGGTTGGGCCGTGGCCAGTAGCGGCTTTCGGAGGAGCTGCCGTTTGAAATTCTTAACAAGAAACAGAATGCTTGAGTCCAGGAATCCAGGGCAGGCTTGTGAAGTAGGGACGGGGAAATGGGATTGTCATTTTATCTCTGAAGGGATATTATATTAAACGGGGGGTTGGGGGAATACAAAGTGGCTTGGCAGCTTCCCTGCAGCTTCCCTGGAGGACTGAACAATGTCAGTAGCAGGAAGAACTGAGATTTGAACAAAAAAAGAACTTCCCAAGCCCTGGAACCAGTGACCAGGGAGATGTGAAGCGTCTGCTTCCCCCAGGGATTTCTCCTTCTTTTACAAATTGTGAATGGAGGCACCATTTTTATAGAATACGGGAACTAAAGAGCATTAAGCTCAATTACCTCACCAATTTCTTCTTAGATCTTTGATCAGCATACACAGAAGTCATGAGTGTGATCGGTGTGTGTCATGTGTTCTGTGTCTCTGTATCAATTTCGTATCTGCATTTCGACAAAGCAGGGTCCTCATGGCACATGGCATTGCAGTGTGTCAACATGTCAGTGTTTGCTCAGCTACTCCCTGTTGGTGCATTGTTTCTTTTTCTTTTCTTTTCTTTTTTTTTAATACTATAGGATCATAGATTTGCATGCCTTCATACAAATGCCGTTTTTCCTTCCCTGGAGGGAAGTAGAATTTCTAGGTCAGAACGTTTGAACTATTTTGTCTTATTGTGTATGGCCCCAGAACATTCCCAAGGATCCGATCTGAATTGCCACCTGCAACACAGACAACATAATAAGGTTGTATCATTTTTATTTTTGTTTATTTAATAGACACATAATAGTACCTTAGAGTTATTTAATTCCCTTCTCTTTGACTGCTGGTGGAACTGGGCACACTTCCATGCAAGGATTTATTGCCTGCTTTTCCTTGCGTGCAAGCTGTTCATCTCCGTTGACATCTTATAAGAAATCCAAGGGCTGATCTTATATATTTCTATCAAGCCCTTACACACTTGGGGTACCGCATTTTTCTTGGTTATATCTGCTATTATTTTAGTGTAAGGGATCTGTCCAGTGGTGAGGCAGATGCTATCCTGTTCTCTGTGGGATGGGGAGTCAGAAGGCCATGACCTTTAGACTCTAGAAGGATTTTCCTTTTTCTTTTCTTTTTTTTTCTTCTATTTAGAAAAAAATGTCTAGTCATAATGGCAGTCCCTCCTTGGGCTCCTATGCTATTAGGAAAAGAAGGGCTGGCCAGAAGACAGCTGGTTGCTAAGGCTACTCCAAGGGCTGTTTGTGGAGTAGAAGTGTCACTAGGGGCCTCAGTCAGCCATTATGCTGAGGTAAAGCAACTCCCTGTAGTCATATGTGTATCACACATCACTATTTCCTCTCTTTATGATACAGCCACCAGAAAAACAGCAAAATATTGAAATCAGAGACTTGACTATAACCTCTGATGAATTGTCACTACAGCATTGCAGTGGAAGGAAGTGTCCTGAGGCCAGGCATGTGACTCAACTGATAAGAGTCCTCACTTGCCTAGGGTCCATGGAACCCTGGGTTTGATCCCCAACACAACCTTTTATTTTTTGAGACAGGGTTTCTCTAGCTGTCTAGAAACCAGGCTGACCTTGAACTCAGAGAGCTGACTGCCTCTGCCTCCCGAGTGCTGGGATTAAAGGCGTGCACCACCACTGCAGGGCCCCCAGCTCCATTTTAAACCAAATAGGATGATAGGTCTATACTCCCAGCAGGAAGAGTAAGAAGAACCAAAAGTTTAAGATTGCCTGCTGCTGCAAAGCAAGTTGAAGGCCAGTTAATCAATGCATGAGACCCTGTGTCCAAAAAAGAAATAAAACAGCATGATCTAGTGAATTTTGCAGCAGACAGACCTGGGTTCACGTCTTAGCATCTAGATATACTGGCTGTGGGGCTTTGGGCAGACCCTGCCATCTTTGGCTGGGTAGTGGTGTTTAAGTTATGACTATATAAACAGTCATTCTCAAAAGCCAGTATCTAAAAACAAGCATTTTATTTTACGTCATAAAATTGAGGAATACTGATGCATCTCATGTCAATGATGCTGGGTTATGTGGTTCTGACTTGGTCACTTGTTGGGGCCGGTCTGTCTTAGCCCCATGTTGCAGGGGCCATCTATCACGGTCTGACATCTTTGGGACTGTGATCAGAACCAGCCAAACAACCCCAGGTCTGACTCTGAGCTGAGGAGTGTGGATGAGGGAAGACCTAGCTGTCCAACAGAGCTAAGGACGAGACAGAGGCATCTGGTCATATCTGGAGGGCTCTCAGTTAATACTGAAGGCTACAGTTAATGGAAGCATCATCTTAAGTAACTATCCAAAGGTGGGGGGGCAATGGCAGAAGACACCTATTATCATGTATAAAGGTCTGATAGCAAATATGTCCCTTAATCCTAGAGACATTCCTTTGCAGCACTCAAGTCCTCAGGCACGCCATACCAGTTTGTCTCACTAGCCCCCAGGGTGGGTGTAGACTGGCTCTGGCCCAAAGCTATTGTTATTTATAATAGGAGCCATTCCCCCACTGAGGCTAGGCCATTCAAAGGCTATCAGCCAACATCTAAAAGACAATAGAAATTCTGAGCTCTCAGAACTCGTGGTCGGATGGAATATATTTCCAAAATATTATATGGGCCCCCGACAGTTACCCAATGGTGTTTAGTTGGTCTGGGCATGCGGCCCAAGATGGATTTTATCTTATGTGTTGCTCTCTGTGTCATCCTGCGGCTTCTTCATCTTCTGTCCCTCACAGGGTGGCTGAACTTCTAATGTGGTAGTTCAGGGTATAAGAATGAGTTCTCCAGCCTTTAATCCCAGCACTCGGGAGGCAGAGGCAGGCGGATCTCTGTGAGTTCGAGGCCAGCCTGGTCTACAAAGTGAGTTCCAGGACAGCCTCCAAAGCCACAGAGAAACCCTGTCTCGAAAAACCAAAAGAAAAAAAAAAAAGAATGAGTTCTCCAAAGCAAGAAGAGGAAGTTGCCTGAAGGCCTAGGCCAGAAAGTGTGTGGCAGTCACCAAGTTCCATCAGGCAAGCATGTGGTGGGAAGACTGACAAAGAACTTGAGGCTATCTTCAATCTGCCAAAAATGAGGACAAAAATACACACACACACAAAAATGAGAATTTAATGAGATAATGTATTCAGAGGCAAATTTACCAGGAAGCTAATAAAACTTCAACCATGGGGCTCCCTCATTGAGTCGTTCTCCTGAGTCCTGCCATCTAATTTTGCATGACTAATTTTTTCCTTTCTTTTTTTTCCCCCTTTTATTTTTAGTGCTGGGGATTGAACCCAGAACCTCAAGCATGCCAATCACAACACTCTACCGCTGAACTATGACTCCAGTCCCCTTCTCCTTTTATCTTAAAATGGACCTCCAAATTGTGTAAGAATCAGGGCCTGCCAACCCTGGCTGTGTCCCCAGTGTCTGTAACAATACCCATTGAGCCTGCTGCCTGGCACAGAAGGAGTCTCTACACATGGTCCCTGTGTGTGCTAGGCTGGCTCTTAGTTCCCTGTGTGCCTGAGGACAAGGTTCCTTCTCACTGCCCTTTCTCGTTTTTTTTTTTCCAGATCATTTATTCTCTGTTTTCAACATGAAAGTAAAACACACTGAGAATGATTTCATAATCACAATACTGCCCTCCCAATTGGCCCCTGCTTCTACCCCCATGACCTCACCACCCACTAGGGAGGAGGGCCAGACCCTGGGCATCCTGCCAAATTCTTAGTTGGCCCAGTAGATCTGTAGAGGAAATCAAGCTGCAGAGAGGAAAACCAGCAGGGGGAGGCAGCAGTCCCGGTGCCCAGCTTGGTCTAGGAGGCATTGAAATTCCGGGGCCGAAGTCCTGAGACAAAGATCATAATGAGACAGGAAGGTGGCATAGGAAGGAGCCCATTTGCATGACAATAATTGAGCCAAGAATAGCAAGCTAGAGGGATGCAAGGGTGAGGCTGGCAGCTGAGCTGGGCTAAACCTCACAAATCAGTCCACCCAGCTCTGCTCTGCAGGGGAGGCGGAGGCTGAGCCCTGTGCCAGGCTTTTGGGAGGGAAAGAAAGACAAGGACACAGGCACCAGGGGATTGTGGGAACTCTGGCCACGCTGGACTTTGCCTTCCTCCTCCTCCTCTGGCCGCGGAGGTGCCTTTGTTTGCTTTCTCCTCCGTGGACTTCGTGGCTGGAGGGCTAAGCGGACAGCATGGCTGCTCAGAAAGGGCTCTGGGATGCTATCGTGATCGGAGCAGGCGTCCAGGGCTGCTTCACCGCATACCACCTGGCCAAACACTCGAAGAGGGTCCTCCTGCTGGAGCAGGTACACTGTGCCTTCTGCCCCTCTGCTGCACAAGACTGTCCCTTCCTCTTTCCTCGCCTGGGGAGGGCTTTCCAGAACGTGGGCTATGGGTGAAGCCAAAAGCCTGAATGCCACCAATTCTGTGCACTTCATAGCTCAGCTACTTGTGAATCTTGACGATTCAAAGAAAAGTCCCACCCTCAAGGTCATGTGGAGTTTTTTTGGTATATCCTTATTACTTCCTCTCAGTTCTTGCCCTGGATCAAGGAGTGCCTCACCTCTCTTCACTTTTGCTACCCAAACCATTGATCCAATCCAGAAAAAGAATCAGTTCTGCTCTGGGTAACCTTAAATAAATGACAGCTTTGCCTAGAAGCAAAGAAAGAAGGTTCTTGTCTGCATTTCCCCTGCTTCTCCTTCCAGAACCTAGTGGAGCCTCTGTCGATTCTTCTGCCTTTGGGTAACAGTAGCCTCTTTGACTGATGCACAGGAACTAAGCAAGACTCAGGTTTTCTTTTCCTTAAAGCAAAGGTGGTCACATGACTACTTCAAATGAGGGTGGCACTAGGAACCTGCAGGACCCTCTCGGGGGCGGGGCCTACGCTGTTCATCACATGGACTTCTCTACTTCAGTGGCTCCCCCTTTCCATTCTGCCTGCAGCTCTCTAAGCTGGTTACCCCTTACTCTTCCTGGAATAGTTAGAAATTGTCAGCCGGGCGTTGGTGGCGCACGCCTTTAATCCCAGCACTCGGGAGGCAGAGGCGGGCGGATCTCTGTGAGTTCGAGACCAGCCTGGACTACCAAGCGAGTTCCAGGACAGCCTCCAAAGCCACAGAGAAACCCTGTCTCGAAAAACCAAAAAAAAAAAAAAAAAAAAAAAAAAAAAAGAAATTGTCTCCAGTTTCTCTATCCATTTGCCCAAAGCGCAAGGGACTCCTGTTACTTCCCTCAGGAAACTCTCATTGTTTTCACACACACCCTCACCCTTCCCCAGTCCCAAGGTAGTTCCCATATTCTGAGTAACCTGAAGACTCGGTGAGATGGCATCCTTTTTCTGATCCATAAAACCAAGGGGCTAGATTGGCATAGTCTGAAAGGTTCCTTCTAATTCTGCTTTTCTTAGGCGTCTAGCTGGGGTACGAGTACAGTGGAAGGTGGAAGGGACTGGTGGCTACCAGGGCTATTTGCAAAAGGGAAAACTCACTCAGTGCTGCTGAGAAACTGCTGACCAGATCGCCTGGCCTGTCAGTGGGCTGCAAGGAGACACTGGAAGGATTGTCTGAAAATATTTGAAAATAGCTAGGCCTGGGGTTGGGGGTCTAAAATCCCAGGTACTCAGGAAGCTGATACAGGAGATTGAATGTTTAAGGCCTGCCTATGCTATTTAACAAGACCATGGTTCAAAATAAAAAGTGAAAAGAGGGCCAGGGCTAGGGTTCAGCTGCACAGCACTGGCCTAGTGTGTGCCAGGCCAGAGGTTCAATCCCCAGGATCAGAAAAAAGGAAGCAGTGGAAAGATGAGATGGCTCCTAAAGGCGAAGGAAGGGTTGAGCCAAGGTCAGCGGCTTCCAGTGTCTCTCATCCCCTGCTTCTAGTTCTTTCTTCCGCATTCCCGAGGAAGCTCACATGGACAGAGTCGCATAATCAGAAAGGCTTATCCGGAGGACTTCTATACCAGGATGATGGAGGAATGCTATCAGACATGGGCCCAGCTGGAGCACGAGACTGGAGCCCGACTGCACAGGTGGGTAAGGGAGGCGGACCTTGAATGCAGGGGGATCCACCCCTGCACGCGGTAAGGGGTGAACTTGAAAGGCAATTGGAGGACACAACCCTAGGGAGGTGCCAGTTGTGTGGAAGCCTTCTGCTCACTGCCATTGCCTCTCCACCAGCCCTGCTGGTCCCGACCAGCTCTGCGTTCCATGCCTACGTTAGACCCTGTGTCCAAGGTAGTTCATGTTGGGTTCTGAAAGCTCGATGAACCACTGTGGGCAGATATCTAGAGCAGGGCAGGCCTGCATGGAGCCTTCTGGAGCCTTGTTATAGGGCCTGGGTCAGAATGGAAGAGTCAGTTATTGTTCTTACTCGTGTCCTAACTTTAAAAAAATTGCTTATGCATATTTTAGTGTATGAATGTTTTGCCTTCATACGTGCCTGGTGCCTGATGATGCTCAGGGAAGTCAAAAGAGGGCATCATACCTTGGAATTGGAGTGACAGACGTTGTGAGTTACAGTGTGGGTTACCAGGAATTGATCCTAGATTCTCTGCAAAAGCAACAAGTACTTTTTTTTTTTCCGAGAAAGGGTTTCTCTGTGTGTAGCTCTAGCTGTCCTGGAACTTACTCTGTAGACCAGACTGGCCTTGAACTCACAGAGATCTGCCTGCCTCTGCCTCGCAAGTGCTGGGATTAAAGGCTGCGCCAACACCTCCCAATGCAACTAATACTCTTAACCACTGTGCCATCTCTCCTGCCCACCAGTATCCTATCCTTTTATGCTAGATCCTGACCCTCGTAACAGTCCACAAATGCATTTTATGGATGTATTATCTCCTGCGAACAAAATGAGGGTGTTCCACAGGCCAGATGGTTTGGCAGAGAGTGACACAGTAACACTATCCTGTTGCTCTGCAGTTCTCTCCAAACTTGAGGGCTCCCCCCTCACTGACCCTTCAGACACTCCTAAGGAAGGAAGCAGAAACCACTCGGGCATCTCCTTTCACTCCTCTGGACTCTGAACTGAACTCCCTTTACATAACCCTGGCTCTACCCCACAGGGTGGCAGTTATTTTAACGCTGTGAACCAAGAGGTTACTGTTCTGTTTCGAAAACACCATTAACTTAAGAACAAAGTGAAATCCATTATGCAAATACAGCCAGGGCAGCTAATTAAGGATTTAGTCAGAGACAGCAAATACACCCAGCACCCAAATAAAGGAGAATGCCTTTCTGAGGAGTGGCCTGGCAGAGAGACCCTTCTCTGGCAATTGGCTGTGACAGCTCTTGAGCATTTTGAGGTAGGAGACATGCCTGAGGCCTAGAAGGGTATGAGTCTGTCAGCAAATGTTGACAGGCAATCATGATCTGTCTGGAGTCACAGTTTGAGTTTGACTTCTACCAGCTAAGTGGTGGTGTGTTGTTGTTGGTGGGGGTTCTCTGTACCGCTCTCATAAGGAATTGTGAAGGCTGAATGAGACACAGTGCCTGGTGGTCTTTCCCTCCTCTCCTGAGTCTGTTGGGCTATAGAGGAGGAAGAACAAGAGGAAACAAAAGGGAGTCCCCAGGGACTGGGGCTGTAGCTCAGTTGGTAGAGTGCTCGCCTAACGTGCTTGAGGCCCTGGGTTTGATCCCAGCACCCCTATGATACTGGGCATGGTGGTATCCCAGCCCTTGGGAGACAGAGACAGGAGGAATGGTACAGTGGTTGAAAGAGCTTGCTGCACAAACTTGAGGACCAGAGTTTGGGGCATGTGTCAAAGTCTAAAGAGATAAGAAACACTTCTGGTCCCAGGCATGTACAGCTCACTTAGTGCACTTCACAACTTTATAAAAGTGAAAAGGAAAGCTACTGATGGTTAGGGTAGGCTCTCTCTCCCCTCCTCTTTCTCTTCCTCCTCTTCTTCCATTGCTTTAAAGACAGGGTCTCTTTATGTTGCCCAAGCTGGCCTCAAAGCCCCAGGTTCCACTGAGGTATTGGGGACTGCAGGCATGTGCCACTGTCAACTGTGTAGTACATTACTGTGAATCACTGAATTACTGCACTCTTGGTTTGTAGCAGGGGTCAGCAAACTTCTTCTGTAAGCCACACAGTAAGTATGTTAGGCTTCTCTGGCCATATGGTCTCTTTTGCAAATATTCAATCTGCCATTGTAGTGTGAAAGCAGCCAAAGATTCAAATAAATGAACCTGGATGTGTTCCAATAAAACTTTATTTCTAAAAAAAATTTATTTCAAGACACTGAAATTTGAATTTCATGTTTTTTTGTGTTTTTAAAGGGTTATTTTTAATTATTTTAAAGATGTATTTCTTAGCCAGGCAGTGGTGGCACATACCTTTAATTCCAGTACTTGGGAAGTAGAGACAGTCGGATCTCTGTGAGTTCGAAGCCAGTCTGGTCTACAGGCTCCAAAGCTACAGAGAAATCCTGTCTCCAAAAGCCAAAAATAAAAAAAAAGATTTATTTCTTTTTATTTTATGTGTTTGAGTGTTTTGCTGCATATATATGTGTGTACAACTGATACATGCCTGCTGCCCTTGGAGGCACGAGAAGAGGGAATTTGATCCTTGGAAATGGATTTACAGATAGTTGCATGTGGGTGCAAAGAATTGAACCCAGATCTTCTGCAAGAGCAGCAAGTGCTCCTAACAGTTGACCCATCTCTCCTACCCTATTTTCAATTTTCTATGTGGATGAGTTGTAACGTATAGTCTTCCTGCCAGTCACTTGGGCCCTGCAGGAGTTAGCTGCTTGGGTCCCGCTGCTGTCTCAGCCCCCAAATAACACACAGGACACTATATTAATTATAAGCTGTTGGCCGATTGCTTTGTTTCTTACTGGCCAGCTCTGACTTAAGTATTTAACCCATAATTGTTAATCTGAGTATTTCCATGTGGTCTTTGATTACTGGAGGAAGGGTGCACATGTTGCTTCTCCTGCATCCTATATTGTGACTGACTGTGCCTCTCTTACCCAGAATCCTAGTCCCACCTATCTTGCTTCCCTATTGGTCAACAGTGCTTTATTAAACAACCAATAAGAGAGACATATTTACAAAATGACATCTCCCATCAATGAGTGTTTTGTCTACATATGTGTATGTGCATCATCCATATACTGGTGTCCACGAAGGCCAGAAGAGGGTGTCGTACCCCCAAGAACTGGAGTTACATATAGCTGTTAGCCATCACGTGGGTGCTGGGAACTGAACCAGCAAGAGCAGACAATGTTCTCAGCCCCTGAGCCATCTCTACATACACCCCTTTTTGAGACAAGGTTTTATTTTGTAGCTGGTGCCAGACTCGCTAAGTCTTGAGATCTGCCTCTCTGCCTTAGTCTCTGGAGTGTTTCTGGGCATGGGCACACCCTGCTCAGGATTTGTGTGTCTTGCAATGTAATTCTGCTTTAAGTTTTTAAAAATCAACCACTTAAAAATATAGAAATCATCTTTTTTTTTTTTTTTTTTGGTTTTTTGAGACAGGGTTTCTCTGAATTCTTTTGGAGGCTGTCCTGGAACTGGCTCTGTAGACCAGGCTGGCCTTGAACTCACAGTGCTGCCTCTACCTCCCGAGTGCTTAAAGGCGTGCACCACCAATGCCCAGCAAAAATATAGAAATCATCTTAACGTGTGGATTAAGTAGACATGAAACTAGATTCGGTCCAAACTGGTTGTGTTGTCCATTCCTATCTCCTAACAAATTCAGGCCTAGGGAATTCCAGGTTAAAAAAGCGCATCTGTGCATTTTAAAGGGAACACCATAGCAGGTATGAAAAGAATATTCAGATGTCTCAGAGCTCCAATTAAGAAAAATGAAGAGTAATGTGAGTGTGCTTATAAAACCTGTAAAGCTCGAGAGAGCGCTAAGTATTATTATTGTTCTTGTTATTATTCCATCACTAGCAAGTCCTTTCTCATGGCTACCCTAATGTATTTACATGTATTAGGTTTCTTTTTTTTTTCTTTTACTGAGTAGGATGTAACACAGATCCTTCCCACTCTGAATGGCATCTGAATATAGTTCTCCACCTTTGGCTGAATGCCATCCAAATTGTCTTAACTTTGCTCTTAATTTTGATTTTCTATATGATTTCATCATCTTTGTCATTCTTGCTTCTCTCTGGCTCCTTCTAGACACACCGGCATAATACCATAAGATAAATGATAGAAATTAGTGTATTTAATGTCATCTGATGATGATTTTAAAAAACCACAAAAACCTTTCTGAGCTGGTAGTGGAGGAGGTTGCCAATTCTTCTGTTCTGCTTCCTGTGACAGCTCATATGAAACACGGGTGGGCTTGGGATATTTGCATATATTCTGGGAGCAGACAATGACATGTGTCGGATCATAAGGCCTGAGTCTTTTGTGATGTGTACAGCCGGGATGCTGGTACCAACAGAAAAGCCAGACTCTGAGGCCCATCTCTTTCCTGCCCCGCCTTCTCCCTTTGAGGCCTACCACCTAGCTCCTGACCCGGGCTGCCCCTGCTTCACTGACAAAATCAGACAAGATCACAGCCGTAGGCAGTACAGCTGCCGGCAGAACCTGGTGGCCCCCTCCGCAGCTGCTGTTTCCTGTGCCTGCGAAGTGTCTGGCTTGTCAGCCACAACCCATCCCTGGAGCAATCTTTGTTAACCAATTCCACTTCGGCCCACTGAGCAGAAGATGAAATACAGAGAGCTGTTCCCAAACCAACAAAGACAGCAGCCATGACCAAGGCCCTTCCCCAAGGTGATGCTGAGAGCTGGTTCACCTGGCACTTTGAACTGGAGCAAAGGAAAGACAGCCAGAGCCCTTGATGGGGAATGGAAGGAGATGAGGGGAGAGTTGTCTGCCTCTGGCAGCACCTCCCTGCTCTCTCCCCCTCCTGACCCCTTGCCCTGCTTTAGTAACTACTGGAGAGTCTTGATCCATCACTAGCTCCCTATAGTTCATGGGCCACAGAGGTGTCAAGGCGGCCCTCCAGGGGAATTTTTCCAGGGGAATTTCCAACGGGCCTCGTCTCAGTGTTGGAGCAAAGAGGGCCATAAGGAGGGTGGAGTTCATACCACGGGCTCCAGATTCATGGGACGGGTATTCTGGGAGGTGGGAGCTGCAGACTTGCTAGGGTTCCCTGGTAGCCCTAGGATTTTAGACCCTCTTTTCTAGACTAGCCCTATCTGCTCATGTATCAGTTCCCCCCTCTTATATAAAGGCCTTTGTCCTTTTCAGTTTTCTTCTCAAACTTTGTAGCTTGTGTCTGAGGGAGGAAAAAAGGAAGGGGGACCCTAAGCACCCCAAGCACAGGTGTAAGAAATTGATGCAGAATGAGTAGTCTATTTATTGGGATCTAGGAAAAACCATTAAGAAAATAAGCACTTAAATGATTTTTCACTCTGCCTGTGGAAGTCATCTGTCTTCATACTTGGGGAAAGGCCCGGTCTCCGATCCGGTTTTGATTGACTGATTTCCAATTCTCCAAGCATTTCCCACAGGAGCCTCTCACCTATCTCCCATAATGACAGGCCTTTGCATTTCCAGGCAGTGTTTTACATTTATTTCCGATTTGCTCATAATGGTCAAAAATCTCTCTCCAATCCAAGGCATTTCTCCAACAGTGCACGGTTTCCCTCAGGCCAAATAGCTCAGCTGTGATCCACGGAAAATGAGAATTTCCCAAACACATCTTCGGACTTGGGGAGGGTCTAGCATCACAGATTCAGATAGAAAATTTCCCACTGTTAGATCAATATCTGGGCTAAGAAATAAATGCCACAGGGGCAGAGAGCTGGAGCAAAATGATTACAATCGGCACAATTACATTCACCACAGAATCAGCTCACTGATTACTCCTAGGGTTGGGGAGCTCTGACTTCATCCACCATAAGACGGCTTGGGAATTAGAACATACTCAGCATTTCATAATCTGAAAGGTTTGCCCATTGTCTTGGCACAAGTTCATTTTCCCCCACAATATGTCTCTGTAAATGGAGTTCTGTTTCAAGGAAAGAAGGAAGGTAGAAAGGAGGGCAAGATGGAAAGAGGGACGAGTACATGAGAGACCAAGGCTGTTATATTGCAGGCAGGGACTAAGAGTCACTCTGTAGTGTTTCTGGACCAGAGAGCAGACATTATATCTGCTTAGGTGAGCTGTAAATCGCATCTTTCCCACAATTCTACTCAGCATGGAGTCCATCAGGTAAAAAGGTTCGAGAACACCTGACTAGGCATAGTGGTGCAAGCCCAACATTTGGGAGATGATGGCAGAAAGACCTCCAGGTTGAGACCAGTCTAGGATACATTGCAAATCCCTTTCTCAAACAAACCAAAACAAACAAACAAAAAAACACATCTGAGACAGGGGATGTGGCTTGGTAAGGCAGGAATCCCTGGGTTCCATCTCCAGCATGGTAACCTAACTACAAAACACTGGGGACTTTTATTTTTGAAGATGCTGGAATGGGACCCACGGACTTGTGCATGCTAGTCAAGGGCTTTCCACTAAGCCACACCCCCACCCCCACCCCCAATCTTTGGGGTGGCCTCTTAATTATCTTGTTGACCAAGAAGCTGACTAGGCAAGTTTTCATGACCCAAGGACTAAAATGAAGTTCTTTGGGGAGGCTACAGAAAAGAGACCGGCTCCTGGCTGGGGATTCTGTCTCATCGAGCCTTCGCCGAGCTTTGAAGAGGCAGAGCTGGCGTCGCTATCTCACCATGAATGCTGGGTAGGCGGGGGCCATGGCGAATGGATTGGGCATGCTGCGCAGCTCTGTGTACTGACACCAGCCCCCAGGCCCACTGCATCCCTACCCCCTCCCAGTCTCCTCTTTAATCCCCACAAGCAGATAATGTGGGATTTGGAAGCATGTAATATCCATGAGACTCCATTATAGGCTATTACGAGCTTTATAGGCAGTACCTGGGGGATGCAGCAGGCGGCTGCTGTGCTGTGGGGCTGCTGAAGCCAAGAGGGAACACAGGAGCCGTCCCAGGGGCCAGAGGCACCTTTCCATTGTTTAGATAGCCCCCCCATCCCAGGGGCCAGAGGCACCTTTCCATTGTTTAGATAGCGCCCCCCCATCCCAGGGGCCAGAGGCACCTTTCCATTGTTTAGATAGCCCCCCCATCCCAGGGGCCAGAGGCACCTTTCCATTGTTTAGATAGCCCCCCCCATCCCAGGGGCCAGAGGCACCTTTCCATTGTTTAGCTAGCCCTCTCCCCCCCCAAGAGACTTCTGGGCTTTTGTAGCAGAGAGTTGGGAAGCTTCAAAGGAAACATGGCCGTCCCCCTCCCAGAGTGAGCAGGATGGGAGAAGAAGCCTAGCAAGATTCAGACCAGATCCTGAGTTCATTGTTGGCGCTCTGTGCACCAACCCGTGTCTCTGCTTGTGTGTGAAAGTGCCGTAGGCCTTGGCGTGATCTTCTGGAGCGCTTCAGGCTTGGCATCCCCTGAATGTTGAGTGGCTACCCCAGACATCGTGATAACCATACAACATCCAGTAGGACTTCCATTCAATGTCCTGGGTTTCAGAGGAGGAATTTGGGACTTGGAGTAGTGAGTCACCGTCAAGGTCACATCAAGGTGATACCCAGATTGGAAATAGAACCAGATCTCCTTTTCCATGAAAGGGGCCACAGAGAAGAAGCAATGAGGCAGACACAAGAAGGACCAGGCAGGGTGGGAGCTACAGAGATGCTGGGATGCTAAGAATGCTCACTGCTCTTCCAGAGGACCCGAGTTCCATTCTCAGCAACAGTGCCAAGGGATTCACAGCTCCTGGGGGAGGGGAGGTCAGACACCTCTAGTCCCTGTGAGCCCTTACACTCATGTGCACACACATACACCATTTTAAAAACTTACAATAAAATGAATCTTTGAAAAGTAAAGAGAAAGGAAGAGAAATAGAAAAGGAAAGGGGTGACGGAATAGCTGGGGGGGGAGGGGCTCCACAAAGAGGGGGCAGGAGGAAGGTGGAAAAGGAATGTGAGTGGACAGCTGCTATTCCTTTGACAATTCCAAGGTGTAGGGAAGGTTGTGGGGGCTCAGGACCTCTACTGTCAAGAGCAGGATGGAGGGACAAGCAAACCAAGGGAGGACCTGGGAATGGTCTGGAAACCAGCTGGGGAATGCCGGGTCTCCCAGACGGGATCTAGATGGCTTCACCTGTGCTCTGAATGTCAGGCCAAGCTATAATGCTTGTAGATGTGGGTCCCTCACTGCGGAATAAGGATAGGTGTCTAGGGTCATGACGGATCCCTTCACCTCACTGGCCTTTTCTTTTGGAACAGGCAGACTGAGCTCTTGTTGCTGGGAATGAAGGGGAATCCAGAATTAAAGACAATCCAGGCCACTCTGGCTAGGCATGGGATTGGCCATGAGTGTCTTTCACCAGAGGATTTAAAGCAACGTTTCCCAAACATTCAGTTCACCAGGGGAGAAGTGGGCCTCTTGGACAAGACTGGAGGTGTCCTCTACGCAGACAAGGTTCTCAGAGCCCTTCAGGTAAGGTTGTGCAGCTCCAGGGCAATACAGTCCCCTTCTCTGGGCATCCTGGCACCTCTCTCTCTGTCTCTGTCTGTCTGTCTGTCTGTCTGTCTGTCTGTCTGTCTGTCTCTGTCTCTTAAGGGTTTTTCTGTGTTACCTCTGTGCACCACCACCACCACCCATCCTAAGATTCTGCAATCTTGTCTGCCCTCAGTGAGGGGCTCTTGGTCTCCCAGAGTGAACCACATGTACAACTAATTAATTCGTCTCTTGGGTCTGCCCTTTCAGCATGTAATTTGCCAGTTAGGAGGCACGGTGAATGATGGAGAGAAGGTAGTGGAGATAAGACCTGGCCGACCTGTCACAGTGAAAACCACCTTGAAGAGCTATCAAGCCAACAGCTTGGTCATCACTGCTGGCCCCTGGACCAACCAGATTCTCCGTCCTCTGGGAATTGAGTTGCCTCTCCAGGTAGGGCAAGCTGGAGGCCTGAGAATCAGTAGCTAAGAGAAGAAACCTTGCAGCCAGCCAGGCTTGACTTAGCCTTGGACTTGTCACTTCCTAGTGGTCAACACTGGGCAAATTAGTTCACCTCATTAAGCGCCAGGTTAACCAGGATGGGAAATAACAGCTACCTCAAAAAGCTATTGGTAAACTAATATATCTGGTGTGTTTAGAGCCTCTGGGAGATGGCCAGACTTGCAGTAAGCACTGAATAAATATGAAGTGTGTCGAATTCCTGAAAAGATAGTGAAGGAGGGCTGCGGAGCTGCTGTGGGAAAAACTAAGAATACAGACAAGACAGGCTTGGAGATCTTTGTGCAATATAATGTATAAGTACATGGCACAAGAATTAGGTCAAGCAGGTTGGGTATGAAAAGACCACAGGGGCCGGGCGTTGGTGGCACACGCCTTTAATCCCAGCACTCGGGAGGCAGAGGCAGGCGGATCTCTGTGAGTTCGAGGCCAGCCTGGTCTACAAGAGCTAGTTCCAGGACAGCCTCCAAAGCCACAGAGAAACCCTGTCTCGAAAAACCAAAAAAAGAGAAAAGACCATAGGACCCTACCAGAATCTGCTGTTGTTGTCTGTAGAGCTCCATGACTTCCCCCTTTATTTCCTACTTCCTCCTGCATCAAGACCCTCAGGATTAATGTGTGTTACTGGCGAGAGAAGGTGCCTGGGAGCTATAGCGTATCACAGGCTTTCCCATGTATTCTGTGTCTGGACCTGGCCCCCCACCACATCTACGGGCTTCCAGCATCAGAGTACCCAGGGCTGATGAAGGTAAGCAAAGAGGCTAAGAAGGCTACTGTGCCCATGCAATTCTGGGCATTCATACCTAACTCGTAGTCTAACATACTTCTGTGGGACCCTCCTGGAGTCTGCTTTACTATTGGCCATTTACAGCATAATGTCGTATGTTCTACTTCTGCCCTGAGACTAGGGTACCTTGTCCTTATAAACACAGGGTGGGGCACTAAACAACTTCAGGTGCTAACACATAGCATCTGCCGGGACTGGGGACTGGGATGATGGATGGAGACATCCTGTGCCCAAACCTACCCCTCACTAGCTGGTATGCTCAGAAGGCCGGCTTTACAGCCCTGCTATTCCAATGGGGACATAGATCTGCTATCACCATGGTGACAGTGTGGACCCAGAGGAGCGGGACTGCCCTATAACCTCAGACATCCAAGATGTTCACATTCTACGCCACTTTGTCAGAGATCACTTACCAGGTCTGCAGCCTGAGCCAGACATCATGGAGCGCTGCATGTACACGGTAAGCTGGCTGTTCCAACAGGGGAGAAGATAGACAAATCCACAGTTGGCCAGGCTTCACTCCATTTGATCTCTGACCCCTTATGTGACTTTAAACTAGCCAGCTAATTCCTGTGGATAGGTTCACCTCAATAAGAGAGGGCCCTGCTAAAGAGTATTCATATTCCTTTTTATTAGGCGGCGAGGCTTTTGCCTGGCAGTCCTTCCCTATATTTCCCAGAAGAGCTCTAAAACAGTTCTTGGCAAGATGCTCCCAGTTGAGCAGGCCTTGGGGACAAAGAGAAGAGACAGATGCCATCCAGCCTGAGGTGTCTTGGCTAAAGTTAGTCCACAAAGATGACTGCCTACTGTGTCCATGGCACAGTAGGAGAGTGCCAGCTGTCCAGTAAGAACCAGCATGTTTAGAGGGGATGGGGCAAGCAGGGGGCAGACCTCAGTCCCATCCAGCTCTCTTTTGAAAGAGTCTTAGGCCAGTTCCCTCCTGCCAGAGCCTATAGTTCCTATCCTTCCTGTCTTCAGGGGACATAGATATGACATTCTTTCTAGAACACGCCTGATAAGCACTTCATTCTTGATTGCCACCCGAACTATGACAACATTGTCATCGGAGCTGGATTCTCTGGTGAGCTTGAGGATGGGGAGGTGGGGAGCCTGCAGCAGACCTACTGAAGCGGATCTTGCATGCATTAGCTGAAGTCTGAACATTGGGTGTATAGGGAGGGTCAAAAAAGGGGGTACTTGTGGCAGGAGGCAATTTCTAACTTTGGGATGAGACCAAGAGGAGAAGTAGCACTGTCTGGGTGTGGAGGGAAGTTCTCTAGAGCCCAGAGTCTGTACTTGAAGGTACATGACACACTCTGCTCCCAGGGCATGGATTCAAGTTGGCCCCTGTTGTGGGGAAGATCCTGTATGAGCTCAGCATGAAATTAGCGCCATCCTATGACTTGACACCATTTCGAATGAGCCGCTTCTCTACACCGAGCAAAGCCCAACTTTGATCACAGCTGACTCTCCTGGGGAGCAGAGTCTTCATGGGGAAGACATCGAGGAGAAGGAAGTAGCCTTGCCATGTCTCCTGTCCTTCTGTTTCTATGGAATCTCCTATAAACACCAAATGATTGACCCTCTCTTTCCCAGTCATTCTCCCAAGTCTGTCTCCTTTCCCATCCTTAGAAAGTCAGACAGAGAGCTGGAGAGATGGCTCAGCCGTTAAAGGCTAGGCTCACAACCAAAAATATAAGAAAGTCAGACAGAGGCTCACCATCACAGAACAGCAAGGAGCTTAAAGATGGGCATCTCTATGGGGAGGGGCTCAATATGAGCTCAGTAGACTAAGGAGATCCTTAAATTTCTCTTTGCTGGGACATTGGATAAACTTGAGCATGCTCTGACTAAATCTGCCCAGAAGAGTGTAAAAATGAAGATCTTTTTTTTCTTTTTTGATTTTTTAAGACAGGGTTTCTCTGTGTGTAGCTCTGGCTGTCCTAGAACTCGATCTGTAGACCAGGCTGGCCTTGAGCTCACAGAGATCCTCCTGCTTCTGCCTCCCAAGTGCTGAGATTAAAGCCGTGTGCCGCTACCACCCAGCCAAAAATGATTATCTTTTATAAACTATTAGTGCCTTTGGGGTTTCTTTGCTGAGAGCTTGAGCCAGTTGCCATCACCAATTCACATAAAGTCTCACCTCTAGTAAATAAACATTTGCCAGGAAAAAAAGTTGTTAAAAAAATAAAAAACTACATTGAACAATATCTGAGGAAGTCTTTATTTTCTATGTAATTCTATTTCTTATCAGCTCTAATGATCTAAATTAGTACCACAGAGTCTGTTACCCCCGGGAATCCACAGAGTCTCCATCCGTGGACACGCTGTGCCTTTCTGTCTGCTGCTTTGTCTCATCCTCATCTCTTCTCTGGATCTGTAAAGATGCTCTGCTCCCCACTCTCTCATTAAGGTGTATTGTCAGGTCCTTATGAAGATGGAACTGTTATACCAGAGAGAAAGCCAGAGACACACTCGCTTAGAAACCCCGTTCAATGTTTGAATGTTAAATGTGCCATTTTATTATCATTAGGATTGCTCCCACTTAATGAAACAGCATTAGCACTGAGGCGGCTGGTCTCCTTGCACTAATTGCTTTGGAAGAGAATGGGGCTTGTAACTACCCCTGGGTGGGTGGAGGGGTGAGGGGTGTGAATAGGAATGATGCAAGGTTGATGTACTTAGAAGGCACCCAAAAGTCAGGGGGCGGGGGACCTCCAGAAAGGGCCAGTTCCACCCTGGAGAACAGGATTTTACACGTTCTGGGGAGAGAGAAGCTGGGACAATGAGGTGGTGGCTATGACAGAAAGAAATGACAGGGAAAGTGAACAATAGGAATGAAATATTCACAAAGAAATACACCATGAGGAAAATTACTCTACTTACCTCAGTCCTTAAAGGCCCAGACATATGGGTTAGCTCCCTGATTTCTCCAGTGAGTTCCAAAACTCATCCTGTCAGCCCCGGGCCAAGTCTGCTTTTGGGGCAATTTCAGGCGATTCTCAGAAACTTAGTCTCTGTTATGCATCAGGTGTTGTGTGGATGCCTCCGTGTGCTAGTGAGTTTTAACTATCTCCTGGACACCATCCACGGTCATCTGGGAAAAGAATCTTAATGAGGAGTTCCCTAGATTGACCTGTGGGCGTGTCTGAAGGATTGCCTTGATTACTGACATGGAAAGACCCAGCCTACTGTGGGTACCACCATTCCCTAGGCAGAGGCCTCTACACTCCATAAGGGTAGGGAAGGCTAGCTGAGTATTGGGCCGGGCAAGCAAGGGCGCATCTGTTTATTCTCTCTCTGCTCTTGGCTAAGGATGTGGTACTTTTTTAAGTTTCTGCCTTGACTTCCCTACAATAATGGGTTCTAATGTGGAATTGTAAGCCAAATAAATACTTTTCTTCCCTAAATTGCCTTTTTCCCCAGGATATTTGTCACAGCAACAGAAAAAGGAACCAAGACAATCAGTAAACACACAGATGGAAATCCCTATTCTAAAACAGCAGAGTGGGCCTGTCTTAGTTAGTTAGGGTTTCTGTTGCTGTGATAAAGCACCATGACCATGAACAACTTGGGGAGGAAAGGGGTTATTCCAGCTTAAAACTCTTTAAGTCACACTCCAGTGCTGAAGGATGCCAGGGAAGGAATCCCTCCAAGGCAGGAACCTGGAGTCTGGAGCTGATGCAGAGGCACGGACAAGTACTGCTTCCTGGCTTGCTTAGCTTGCCTGCTTACGGCACCCAGGACCACCTGTCCAGGTGTAGCACAACTCACAATGGGCTGGGCCCTCCCACATCAATCACTGATTAAGAAAATGCCCTGCAGGCTTGCCTGCAGCTTGATCTCATAAAGGCATTTTCTCAGTTGAAAGTTCCTCTTCCCAAATGACTCTAGCTTGTGTCAAGCTGACATAAAACCAGCCAGCGCAAGGGCCTTAAAAAAATCAGGAAGAGAAGTAGTCTCTGATCTGGCAGTTCCACTTCTGGGTATGTTTCCTAAAGATTTTAAAGTTGAGTCACAAAAAGATATTTATACACCCACGATTATACGGCATCATCATTCACAGTGACCAAGAGGCAGAAACAGCACAGATGTCCATTAACACATGAATGGATGAACAAAATGTCGTCTGTACATGTCATGGGGTAGTTTTGGGTCTGGAAAAGGAAGAAGAGGACCCTGACATATACTCCTTCGTGGCTGAAATGAGAACATATTTGAAATGAGTGAAGAGACAGAAGGGCCGATGCTATTGCAGATCCACTTGTGCGAGCCCCGTGGCGGGATTCACAGAGGGAGAGAGAGAGGATGTGTCTTCCCAGGGGCTGAGAGAAAGAAGAGGAAACTGCTTGGTTTATGGATTCAGAGCCTCAGGTTTAGAGGATGAAAAAAGTTCTGGAAGTTGGTCACACAGCAGCGTGAATGTGTTTAATGTCACTGAGCTAACTATGCACCTAAAATAGCTAAGATGGTAAATGTTATATGTATTCTATGATGATTTTTACAAATTCATGCTTTTATGAAGCTGATGGTGGCAGTGAGGAGACATGTAAGCAATACATGCATGTAAATGAAAAAAATTGAGACAAGGTTTCTCTGTGCAACCCTGGCTTTCCTGGAACTCGCTCTGTAGGCCTCCAGCTCAGAGCATACATGTATATTATAACACATGTAAAGTATACCATATAATGTTTTGGGGGACATCAGACTAGGGAAGGACAAGGAACTCTGGGAGAAGCTGAGTCTTGCCATGAGTGGTCACCAGTAGTCTTACTGAGGCCATTGAGGGTGAGCCATGCACTGAGTGTCTGTCGAAGAATGGTATGAAGATCTGAGGGATGTGGCTCCAATGGCAGAGATTCAGATCCCAGCAGCACATAAGCCAGGCATGGTGCTCACCTACAATCTCTGCACTTAGAGGACAGAGGCAGGAGGACCAGAGTTCAAGGTCATGCTCAGCTATATAAGGATGAACTTGAGGCCAGAGAAAAAGAATGAGCCACAAGGCAGTATCACGTGTGATAGGAGGGTCTCATAGCCCAGATGCTGAGAAGGGCCAGCACCCTGCCTAGAGCTCAGCATCTCTCATGCTGACAAAGCTGGCGAGAGCCGTCTAAGGAACATCCCTCTGCTCCGTGGCCCACCGCCTGCCTTCTGTTTCCTCTGCCTCTCCGATGCGCTATCCTCCTCCCCCAGCCAGCTGCAGTTCCCCTTCCAAAATATCCAGCTTTATTCAGTTTGTCAGTGACAGCCAAAAGGGGAGACCAATGTCTTGCAGAGGCTGAGAAAGGACAAGTGGGGGAGGCTACCAAACCCTGCTGGCTCAGTCTTAGGCCTTTACAAGAGGCCTCGTGGAAGCTACAATTGAGAGCTGCAGAGCAGCAGCAGCGTGTGGGTGAATGGGACCAGGCTAGCAAGGAGTGGGGGGCAACAGGGCTCAGGTAAGGAGAGACCGGCTACCTGCAGACCAAAGAGGGAGGCAGGACCTACAGCAGTGTGGTACACATGAAGCCAGAGGCAAGGCCCAGTGGGCATGGGTGGGAGGAGAGCTTTTCTTAGTTACAGCTGGGTGGGGTCACAGGAGATGTGACATAGGGAGGAGTCTGGAAGCACAGAGAAGCAAAAGTCACTGCAGAAGGGGCTGGAGGACAGCGCGAAGGCCTCTGTAATAGTGAAGGATTTGGGCACCACAGCATTGCCTCCCCTTCGCCTGCGCACAGCCAGGCGTCCCCGCGAGGGCAGCCCCTACATATCTTCAAGATGGAAGAAAATCCAAAGCAATTGGGAGGCCATAGGAGTCCTCAGGAGGGGCAGCTGGGGTCTGCACAGGCTGCAAGGGAGAGATAAGGGCAATGAAGAGAAAGAGGCCAGAGTGGTTGCCAGCCACACTACGGAAAACAGAGGCAGGCTAAAAATAGACCGGGCAGCAGAGGGAAGAACGCCAGGCCAGGAGAGGAGGGAGCCGAGGCGATCGATGCCGCTCCCCACTCTGACCCAATTCTCCATCCCTCAGCCTCACCACGATGACAAAAGAGGTCTTGGTGGAAAGACCGGCCCAGAGAGGAGGACAGGCCCTAGGAGCCCAGTGGTCTGAAGGTCAGGCCTGGTTCAACTGCCGGCAAAGTTTGGTATTCCTGAACAGGCCTGAGATTTTAAGGGATGTGATTCCAACCTGGAAAGGGCGAAAACAAGGCAAACAGAAGAGCTGGCCTTGGAGACACACAGGCTGGAAAATGACTCTAGGCAGGCCTGTAGCTGGCTTCATGAGGAGGAGCGATTAAAGAGAATCTGGATATTTCTGTGTTGGACATTCTAAGAAGCAAGAGGGATTTAGATTAGACTTCAGGAAATCTATTCCCTTAGGCAGAAATGTGAGAGCTATTAAGACATGGACATGAGCACTGTTAGAGCACTTTCTGTGACTATCATAGGCATGGAGAAGCCCTTCTCCTCGAGACTGGAGAGGCTCACCTGAAGGCCAGGGCCTGTGATAATCCCCCTGGAAGAATAGTACCCTGCACTATTGGAAATGGGTTGCTAGGTTTAGGAGGGGCTACCCAAGGAGGGCTGGATCTGTCAGCCGGGGCAGGGTGGGGGAGGGACGGGGAGGGACAAGGGGCAGGATTCTATCATGCATGCCCAGTGGCATTTGCATAACTTTGAATAATGAATAAGCCCAGCTCTGGGGTTCCTACTCAGCACCGCTCATCTGCATCTTTATTAAGCTTTATAAATGATTCAGCTCTCTACCCCTTCCCTCAGCCCTGCCCAGCCTGCCCCGAGCATCAGGGTAGCTGATTGCTCATTATTTTAGACTAGATTTGTTTCACCAACATCCAGTGAGCCATGGAGTGGCAGATATGGAGAGAAATGGATCCAATCGGCAAGAAGAGTGGAGGGGTCAGATCGGGAGTGTAGAAGAAACCACAAGAAGGCAAGTTCGAGGCCAGCTCCAAGCAGAGACAGAGCAGCTATAGACAAGAGTATACTCCTTTAACTTGATCCCGGGGCCAACATCTTAAGGCAGGGCCATTTCTTAGATTCCCCAAAATGTACTGGGTTCAAATCCTACTCAAACCCCTCACTTTTCTTAGGTTGGCTGCCAAGCTCCCAGCAGACCCTAGCTCAGCTCCATCCCTGCACCAAGAAGCCTCTTGAACAGCTAAATGAGTACAGCCCCGGGGAAGTCTTCACTTTTTCCTGAGGCAGGAATTTTGCTATTTGCGCAGAAAAGGGTAAAAAAAAAATCTGTTATCCTCGAAAGGCAAGAACAAGCACTGGGCATATTAGGGGAGAAAGAGACGAGAGCGGGCATGCACAGCATGTGAATCTGGAGGGCGAGGGACACCCTGTCCAGCACACCTCAAGAGAGGTGCCTGGAGCAAATGTGCACTCTGCTAGCCAGCAGGTTCACGCCAGCAGCCCTTTGAGCAGCCTTGTCTGCCGGCTGAAGCCTGGGAGATGTATTTAACAGTCTAGACAGGAGGCTCTCGCAGGGACCTCCAAGAGCTGGGAAGACGGGACATCTCTCAAACCTGGCTAAACATCAAAACCAGTATGATGCTGGGGCCACAGCCAAGAGCAGTTAAATCAGAATCCCTGTGAGAGAAAGTCGTGAACATAGTCTTTTTTTTTTTTAAGTCCTCTAGTCTTGTTTTGAACAAACCACTCCCCCCTTTAATACTAGGGACTGATATGTGCCAGGGTCCTGCATGTGCCAGTCAAATTATACACAATTTAGACAGGCGGTGGTGGTGCACACCTTTAATCCTAGCACTCGGGAGGCAGAGGCAGGTGGATCTCTGTAAGTTTGAGACCAGCCTGGTCTACAAGAGCTAGTTCCAGGACAGCCTTCAAAGCCACAGAGAAAACCTGTCTCGAAAACAACAATACACATATACACAGACACACACAATTGAGCTGTATCTCCAACTCCTACTATCTTATCTTTTTGTACATGCATTTGCATGTGAGTGAATGTGAGTGCAAGCTTGCCATGTATAGAGATCAGAAGGCCTTGGCTATCTGTCCTTACCTTCCAGTTTGTTCACCACTGTGTAGTACTCCAGGCCAGCTGACCAGAGAGCCTCCTTGGATTCTCCCATGTCAGAGCTGCTACCCAGTCCAGCTTTTACTCAGGCTCCAGGCATCTGAACTCAGGTCCTCAGGACAACAAAGCAAGGGTTTTACCCACTGAGCCATCTCCCCAGTCCCTATCCCCTTTTTATTTTTGAGACAGACTAAAGCTGCCTAAGCTGGCCTTGAACTTGTGATTTTCCTGTCTCAGCCTCCTGAGTACTTGGGATTACAGTGTTGTGTATCTGTTTTATATAAAACACATGTATAAATGCATGTAAAGTAAAAACTATGTAATAGTATTAGGGAAATTTAAATGTTGACTGGATGTGTGGTAATTAAAATCTATTGATCAGTTTTTGGGTGTGATGAAAGTTTTGTGATTATGCCTTTTTAAAGAGCCATTTCCTTTTCTTTGTGTGTAGGGGGTCAATTTCCTGATGCATCTTCAGATCTGCCATCAACTGGTAGGGCAAGTGGGTGGGGTGAATTCCCTGTTGTGACTTCAAGGGTAACACTGGGTTATTTTATTACTTTTTGTTTGTTTTGTTTTTTGAGACAGGGTTTCTCTGTGTAGCTTTGGAGTCTGTCCTGGAACTCACTTTGTAGACCAGGCTAGCCTTGAACTCACGGAGATCCACCTGCCTCTGTTTCCAGGAGTGGTGGGATTAAACACATTCGTCACCACCACCCAGTCATTTTATTCACAAACAGAAATGGCTGCAGCTTTTGACACTCACTGGTTCAGGATGTAGGAGAGCAGGTACCCAGAGCACCTCTGAGGGAAGGACCAGCTTCTAGAAGGTGCTTCTGCATAACAAGAGAGGGCCCTATCCCCTAATGTCTGAGGTCTCAGGCTACATGGACACAAAAACTTGGCCTTTAGAGCTGTAACCAGATTGCAGAATCCCCATCAGGCCTCCTCCTTCTGGTGCCCACTAGCCTCTAGGACAACGGTTCGGTTCTCCACCTTCCTAATGCTGCGACCCTTTAACACATTCCCTCATGTTGTGGTGACCCCCCCAAAACATAAAATTATTTTTGTTGCTACATCATAACTGTACTTTTGCTACTGTTAGGAATTGTAACGTAAATATCTGACATGCAGGATATCTGATATTCGACCCGTCTGAAAGGGTTCTTTGGTTCACACAGGGTCCGGACCCACGGGTTGAGAAGCAGTGCTTTGAACCCCGATCCATGTTCTGTGGACCAGAAAGTCACTGCCTGAAGCATTGTTCTCTCTCAACTTGCTCTCTAAGAACCCTGACCCCCGACTGACTGTCAGCCACTCTTCCCTGGCCTCATCTGCCTGGCCAGGCAGGGCACACTAGCCCAGATGACTTCACCGAGGAAGTGAGGGGAATGCCCGCCAGGCACCCACCGGGGCCTCGGAAGAAGCCCTGTGGCTGTTGCTGTGTGCTGCGAGCCACTTGCTAGCTAGGTCCTATTTGCATAGCACTCTTTATATTTTTGGTTGTGAGCCTAACCATTAACAGCTGAGCGATCTCTCCAGCCCTGCATAACACTCCTTTAATGAAACAAATTTCAGATCCTTAAGTGTCCCGGACCTCCTCAGCCTTGCCAGGCTACCAGTAGCCGACCATTCACCATTCCCACCTTCTCCAAGGCCCCCGGGAGTCACAATTTCTCACCCAATCGGGCGAGCGAGCCTCCCCCCCTGCCCTCAACCCCACCCTGCCCTCTACCCAGCCCTGCCTGGCACTGCCCGCTCCTGGGGCCTCTCTTGCTCCATTTGGGTCTCAATCATCAATGCTCCATTACTTTCCTTGATGGCCTCCGAGGGCTGTAGAAGGGGGAGGGCTGGGGAGAGGGGAGGGCTAGGGGAGGGGGGGAGGGCCTACTTGAGAGAGTGTTGGAATCCGTGCCTGTGCATCACCCGCTGCCTTGAGTTATTTCAGCATCGATGTTTGTCTCAAGCTGATTATTCCAGCTCCAGAACAGGTGGAGCAGCCTGCAGTGGCTTATTCGTCAGCCAAGGCCATCTGTTCCCAACAAGCTGAGATTTGTAGCTGATGTCTACTGGGGAGCCAGGGTGGGGGTGGGGAGGGACGTGGAAATTGCACTCAGGCCCTGGGGGACCCACTGTCCTTCCCAGACCTTCTGGTATGCCTGGAGCCCCAGGTGGCCCCTTCTACGCCCAAACCTTCACATTTCCTTGGAGAAACTCCCTGGCCACTTGATTCAATTACAATGCTTTTTCCTTTTCCTTAAGAGGATGAACCTTCCCAGGTGGAAACAGACATTAGATGCACAAATCCATCAGCCAGTACAAAGTTGGGCCAGTGAGAAACGTCTCTTTAGAGATGGGGAGATATATATATAAAATCCACATTCGACCTTCTCCATTTCACCTCCTTCATCAATAGGAATGAATGTCCTTACCAAACCCCTCACCTACAGGGCTCCGGGCTGGTGGGAGAGTGACTTTCGGATTCTCTTCTCCCCACCTTCTCCAATCTGTTTCTTTTCCAGATTCTACTCTCAGGCCTGCCAGCAGATGCCTGCTGCTTTAAGGGCGACATTCCCTGAGCAAGGAGCCAAGCAGTGCCCAAGCAGTTTGCCACATGGCTTACACCACATCCCCCCAGCACCCCCCACATCTACACAAAGGAGGCCAAGAAAGAAACTATCATCCAGTCAACCATTTCATGTTAACAGTCCAGATACCTTACACACACACACACACACACACACACACAGTGGGGCAGGGAAGGGGTGTGTGTTTGGCTGTGCTGCAGACTAGCCCTAGTACCTGGGATTACAGGCACTCTGCCCTTCCATCTCCCTCACATGTGCTGGGAAGAAAAGCCAAGGCCTCACACATGTTCCTTACCATCAGAGCTATGTCCCTGGCTTCCGTTTATTTACTGACCTGAGTTCTCGTGTGCATCTTTTTCTTTTCATGTTATGGCTCTATCTGGCCTGGAACTTGTTAAATAGACCAGGCTAGCCTCAAACTCAGGAAGATCCATCTGCCCCTGTCTCCTAGAGTGCTGGAATTAAAGGTATTCCCTACCAGGGTCAGTTGTCACATGCACTTGTAACCGTTAAGAACCCACTAACAGCTGTGAAACCACTCCTCTCTCCAGCCCCCCCCCTTTCCTCCTTCCATTCTGGGGATGGAACCCAAGGCGTTGCGCAGGCTACACAAGTGTTGTACCCCTGAACTGCATCTCCATCCCCACGCTGCCTGGCTGCTCTCTGCATTTATTTCAGTAGGTCCTTGTGAACACTAATGCCTCCTGATGGCTGCGTATGTGCCCACTAGCAAGAGATGCCCCCAGAAGAGCCAAGGTCCATGGAGGCACATCACAGGACCTGTCCTTGTCACAAAACTTTCCAGAGAGTGCCCCCACCAGGGTTACTTGACTTGCTCTCCATCATATAGTAGTCCCTAGGGGCCAGACTCTGCCCTCCAGCAAGGGTGCCAACCTGCAGCTGATTCGAGGCCCCGGGGTTTAAATGAGGCATTGGACCTATTTCATCACATGCGATTTTATTTGTCTGGCTGCCGGTCGTTGACCTGTCTTTCAAAGACTCATGGTTTCAAAGGCTGCTTGCTACATCTTTCCCACAACCCATGCTTTTTTTTTTTCCGTAACTCCCCTTTTCATTTTATTCCTCTTTGAAATTCCCTAGCGCCCTCTCTTCCCCAAATGCATTGGCTTCTTCTCCTAATCTAGTCAGATCGAAAATGTGGCACAAAACATATAAAAATTTATTAAAATGTGGAAACTCTTTGACTCTTAAGTCACCTCAAATATAATTTGCCTGAACGGTGTCAAAACTTAATATCCTTTAAATTTTTTTTGATAAAACTGTCATAGCTGACTTTTGATATCAAAAGCAAATTCTATCTGCACATATAAGTATTCTACTGGGAGATTTGTGCCACCAACCTCAATCACAAAGCGCACAGCCTTTCTGGGATCTCTCTTATGGATGTGACCCATCACAGGTGCATACACCGCAGAAAACTCAATTTCTCTGTAAAATTCCTTCTAAACAGATCTAGCATCCTTGTTAGCTCCAAAATGGCTATTGCTTTGGATCTCTCTCTTCCCAGATCAAATCTCAAGAATGGTCTGGATTGTTCTGTCATACCATCACGGAATTAGATGAAGTGAATATCACTTAAAATATGCATCCTTAGCCGTGTGGAACTGTTATTCATATTGTTGGCACAGTGGGAGTGCAGTGTAATGTGATAATGTATGGGGGTGCTCTGAAAATTGTATGGCGAGACACGAATGTGAGGTAGGCATTTTATCCTTAAGTTGCCAGGAGTGTTTTCTTCCGAGGGCCAGGCCTGGTGGGTACCGAGCACACGGCGGCATGAGAAGATGGCCATGACAGGGGTTCCTTGCTTTCCTGCCTCTTCTTTTTCTGACAAGCCTGGAATGGTTCCAGATGCCTGGTCAGCTGCTGGAACCAAGCAGAGAACTTTGCTTGAAAAGCTGACATCACCTCTCTCAACTTCAGGGACCTGGGAGAGGGGGCAGGGAGGGACAATGACACTTAACAGAATTGTGAGGGATTATGTCAGCCACGTGCACAGGGCTGGGGACCCAGCAAACTCAGTGCATGACAGCAATTGTTGCCTCCTCACCAAACAGCACTGCTCCCAGCCCCTCCACTCTCCCCCGCCCTGTCCATCATTGCCTCAGCTCTCCACAAGGATTCCCAGAGGCCTTAAAAAGGTGGGAAACTGCTTCCTTGAACCTGCTGATGCTGGAATCATTAAAAGGGCAATGCGGAACAATCCAGACCACTCTTGATGTTTGATCTGGGAGGAGAGATATCCAAAGCACTCGGGAGGCAGAGGCAGGCGGATCTCTGTGAGTTCGAGATCAGCCTGGTCTACAAGAGCTAGTTCCAGGACAGCCTCCAAAGTCACAGAGAAACCCCATCTCGAAAAACAAAAACAAAACAAAACAAAACAAAAAAGTCTAGGGAAATGTGAAAGGAGTTGTAGCTTCCAGTAGCGGGCGGGACAAACTAGCACAGTCTGGTCTAACATGTGTTGCTATGTAAGAGATGATGAGGGGTTCCCAGTTCCCCAGAACCAGCTCCAAGGAAATGAAAGAGGAACAGAAGGGATTAAGGTTAGATTTAAGACAGCACTTCCTCCCAGGGATGATAACATGGCCCTTTATTCAGTGACCAAGGCCGGCTGTGAACTCATCTGGGAATCCATCTTTGATCCCAGCACAGCCTGCTTGGAGTGCAGGAAGCAAATGAGATGGCTGACTTTAAAAAGTCCCCACCAGTCAGGTAGGTGCTTCTTTTCCTAGATGGGCCTCCTGGGCTCCTGACTGAGTGAGGACTGCAGTCATTCAGGCTCTGAGGCCCTGGGGGAAGAACAGCAGTCATGGCATCTCTTGCTACACGCTCCCTGCCAAATTGATTCAAATTGGCTTGGATATGAACATATGATTAAAGGAGCGGCGCGATTCATTTATCAGGAGAGATTAAAGAGCGGCATCTGCGCAGCCTAGCTGGGGGACAATTAAGGAGCAAATCGCTAAGTGTCTGTGCCACCAGGCACGGGGTCCAGAGATGGGGGAAGGACAACTGGGATAATCTGCCAGGAGGACTTGAGGACAAAGGGAGCAGTTTGGGGGTCACTGCCTGCTGTTGTGGTGTCGGGGCACTAGGAAGAATCCCCAGGGCTTTGGTTCCTGCCCTTGCCTCTTATTCAGGAGTCAGAGCAATCCTACGGGCTGGAAATGATCAGGGTGGATTGAAGGGTTCCCAGGGTTGATGCAAGAGGGACACGCAGGGAGTGTGGCTTTCCTCTGAGGAATAAGAGATTCCATGGGTACTCAGGAACTTGCGGGGCTTTCCAGGTGTAACCCAAATGAAGACATGCTTGGGTGGCCCTCTGGGCCTGAAGGAGCGGGAACCAAGGGAATTGTCCCCTTGGTAATCTGGAACCTACAACCCTAGTCAAGGGTTATGTGGAACCTTGGAGAAGCATTGGTGGTGGTGGCAGCTGTAACCTCTGGTTTTCCCAGGCAGCTGTGGTATGAGAACCGTTTATCCTGCGGCCTCAGGACCTTTGGGTAAGCTTTCTTTCCCCAGTATGTTCTGGCAACAACTGCCCATGCAATCACTCTCCTTCAAGCCCTGTTCATAGCTCCGAAACACCTTTCCCCTTCCACAGCAGCCCCTGCTCACATGCCTGGGGGATGGGCACTGTGATTTCCTCCTCTCAGGTTGGAAGCTGACATACAGCAGCAGGCGAGGCAAACGCTCTCAGTGTCAGATTCCTCACTGGGATATCCCTGGTCTGAAAGGACTGAGTCTGGACCACAGCAGCTAATAAAGATAATTTTCTCAACTGCTAAGTGCATTTTCTGACTTGAGCAAAAGCCTTCTCCACCCTAATGGGCCGTGTGGGCTCACAGCTAGAATCCTGGCATTAGGGAGGCTAAGGCAGAAATGGGAATTGGAGGTAAGGCTGAGCTGCACAGTGACACTCAGTTTCAACAAACAAATATAACTTCACTTTCAATGCCTTTTCTTTGTTGGAGGGCAGGCAGCTTTGTTCTAGAAGGATCCATTTCATAGTTCTCCCCAGATTGTTTTGGTGACTCCCCCACCCCCTTTCCCTCTCTTGACTTTCTGGGTGGCTGACATCACCAAAGCCTTTTCCAGTGCCTCCCTAGACCGTTTAACTCCTGGGGAAATATCTGGTCATGGGTAATGCTCAGAGAAGGAGGAAGAAGAGGAGAGGGAGAGGGAGGTCTTTGGTTTCTTGCTCATCTACGTGAATTGTCACAAAGCACAGCCAGAATGTAGTTCAGGCATGCAGGCGGTACTCCCAGCCTAGACAAGTTTCCTGTGGTCAAAGGGGCTGGCTGTGGAACAGAGAAAATGCTGTCAAATTTTGGTCAAAAAGTCATCTTTAAAGTGACCGAAGTTAAGCTTTGGGAAGGATTGGGAAGAGAGGGAGGGAGAGCGTAGTGAGCTGCCAACTCCACTAGCCTCGATGTAAAAGCACCATGAGCGGCACTGGTCTGGCTTGTGAGTAGGCTACCACATGGCTCCTCCATGTTCCCATCAGAATTCCACCTCTAACCCTGCTAACCCTGCCTTGGGGTCAACCTGGATTTCCCCTGGTCCTTCAAGGAGAGGCAGGGAGACATGTGACCAGGAGGGAGGGGGCCTTTTATTTCCTTAGGTCAGTCAGGTCCACGGGGCCAGCACAGTCTGATGAGCACAAACCAATTGCAGGAGAGAAGGGGACGGCAGAGGACAGGTCCAGCACCAGGCACTGGTCTTGAGCCCCCAGGTCTGGTGGAGTGGCTGGGATATCCAGACCACTTGTTGCTAAATCTGGGGTAAGTGTGTGGGAACAGGGACACGGGCAGAAGAAAGATGACAAAGGGTTAGGACTCTGGTCTGGTAAACAGACCAAGACATCCACCTTCCATTGTGCCCACCACAAACCCTCAGCACCAAAGGATCTGGCTACACCGTGGACAGAAGGCAGGCAGAGCCGGAAGCCACGGACCGGTGCAGGTGGAAGAGATCAGCTCTTGAATAATTGCTCATTGCACTTAGTACCCCAACAGGGCTTACTAGGCCCAAGCTGGAGGCACCAGGCTGCCATGCCTCCCCACACTGCCTTTTAAGAGCCGGGGCCCCAGCTCTGCTCACCGGTGTCCCCCTGCTGCAGGCTGCACGAGTAAGGACCTCTGGAGGAGTGAAGATGGAGGGGAGATTCCCAGGGCATCCCACAGGGCCCAGCTGCGGCAGCAGCCCCTCCTCCTCTCAAGGATGCAGCTGCATGGAGGTTTGGGTATTTAAATTAACAGTAAAAAGACAGCAGGCACTGAGAAGAGAAAGCCCTCACTCCAGCAGAGGGGAGGTGTTGCTGCTCCCTCCTGACTCCCATGGGCCCGGCAACTTGGAGTGGTCCAGCAGGTAACCTATCCACCATCCCTGAGCAGGAGGCTGAGATGGAGGCCCACTACTGGCGCCAGGAAGTGCCAGGCCACCTGACATTGTCCATAGTGGCCCAGGGTATAGGAGCCAAGAGCGTGGCATTTCTGAGGCAAGAGCAGAAGCTCTCTTTGCAGAGACTCCTCGTTCCCCGACCTCTTCCACATGGAGTTATCAGACACCCACAGCCTGGAAAGTCCCCCTGACAGAGAGCCGAGGTGTTTTCCATGCAGATCGGCAGCCAAGTGGGGGGCAGTGGTTCCCCACTGTTTCCTGGGAGAGGCTGTGGGGCGGGGGCACTGTCAGCCACTTTCCCTCCCCCGGTGCTATGCACTGGTCTCTGTCGGCTTGGCCTCTGTGTCGCTGTCACTCAAATAGTTGTGGGAGAATCGGGGTCTGGAGGTGCTGTCCGCAGGATCTCGCTCATCATCTGATGGATCAGGGGCGAGGGACTTCCAGTGGCTGGTTGGGCTGCAGAGAGAGAGGAACAAGGTCAAGGCCAAATAATACTCCTCCTCTGTTGGAGGACTTCAAAACCCAAATGTTGCTGGATCAGTGCTCTCCTGGGTGAGCCCAGGGGATGCTTAATGTAGAGAAAGGAATACAGGCACGGTTTGCACTTGGAAAGCTTTGAAGATTATCAGGACAGGGAGGCGGGTGGCAGCTGGGACCCGGATTCTGCGAGCCTAAGAAACAGCTGCATGTTCCTGGCTCCTTCCTGAGAAGCTAGGACTGAGTCACGGGGGAGGAACCTCCGATGCAGGTAGGCCAAAGACCACACAGATGACAGCGATTCGAGTGGGCCCCTGACTCCGGAGGAGGCCATGAAGAAGCATATCCCCCAGACAGAGGAGGACTGTGACATCTAACAGCCAACAGGACCTCACCTTGTGGCTCCATTTACACTCTCTTTCCCAGAGCTTCAGAGCCCCCTTCTGTCCCCTCTGCCCGATCACACACACTGTAGTCTAACATCAGAGGAGAAGATACCGCCCAACACAGCTTCACCGCTCCTGGTGCCCTGTCCTCAGCTGGGTCCCCGAGCTGCTGCCATTACTGAGCTCTGAGTGACAAAGGGACACAGCCCAGCCTCCAGGTCCTCACTAACATTCTACTTGGACTAAGAGTTTCTACAGTCAGTAGGCCTGCTACCAACTAGGAACCCAAGGACAGTCCTTTATTTACCCGTCCTTTTAAAGCCACAAGAGGAGGAGACAAACAGCATCTTGGGTTTCCCTGGAGGTAGCAATAGAGGCGCAGAGGAAAAGGCTCCACCACTGAGTCTTGCTATAGGAGGCACTGCCCGTGTCCCTTGGACCAATGGTTCTCAACTTGTGAGTCACAACCCCATTGGAGGATATTTACATTATGATTCATAACAGAAAAATTACAGTTATGAAGCAGCATGGAAAATAATTTTATGGTGTGTGGGGGGAAGGGGGTCACCACAGCATAAGGAACTGTGTTAAAGGGTGGCAGCGTTAGGAAGGTTGAGAACCACGACTTGGACTTACTATTTGGTCTTATTCCCCCGGGCAACCTATGATGAAAAAGCTGGTTCCAAGGGAAGAAGCACCTGGGCCAAGGTCACAGCCAAGTCCTGACCCTGAATCTGAACTCAGCCTTGGGGCACTCTCACTAGATTAGACAAGAAGAAAGGAAGACCAAGCCTCAAGTCTCCTGCTGGTGGGGGAGAGGGGGCTGGGTATGTAAAGACAGGTCTCTGTGTCCCTGGTGGAAAGGAAGAGCCTGGGAAAATATATGTTCAATTATGCAAAATGGCTCAGCAACGGGGCCGTCTGGTTAATAGTTATCGTATTTCTCATGAATGAATTACCATTTTTAAAGGAATCGGAATAGCACAAAACACACTTAATACAAACTAGACTGAACATAAATGAGTCTTACTCTGATGGGCCAGAGGCACTTAGGGCCTTGCAGCATCTCCAGGACAAATTTATAAAGCTCAGTGATAACTGTGCAACACAGAAAAAATGGGGGTCATTGAATCCTGAATTAGTGGGGAGCCAGTTGTTGTCTTCTTTAAGAATTTCCATACACCCTGTGCTAAAGGTTTGCTTTCCGGCTAAGGAATGCCTGGCTGTGAGGAAAGACAGTGGCGTTATTTGTGAGCAGAGGGCGTGAGGCAGATGCCAGGGCTGGGGTCCAGATGTAAATGTGGCACAGCCCTGTGTGGCCTGCTGTTTCGTCTTTTTTCATAGGTGGGTCTCCAGCCTCCACTCCCTCATCCCAGACACCCCGGTAAACGCCGTCAGCTTGCTCTAAAGACGCAGTGAAGAGGCAGAGACGAGCAAGGACAGGCAAACGGCCTTGCTGTGAAGCCACAGATCCTTGGTCTTTCCTGAGCTCTGCATCTTCTTATCTGCATCCACTGCAAGCCAATGGCGGGCGGGAGGGCGGCTCCCTGTCCCCAGAGCAAGAGTCAGGGCTGGCAATTGGAACATTTTAACTAAATTGTTTAAAAAGCTTTCCTCCCCACAAGCCAGTGTCTCCTGCTCTGTGCTGTCATAAACAATTTGGTACACAAGCTAATTCCTGCTGGGAAAGCCCAGGGTGACGCTGCAGTCTGTGATTTGGAATTCTTATCCCCTGGTGAAGCGCTGTCCCCCACCTTCTGCCTTTGCACAGCATATCCAGTTCAAAGGCAGCGGTAGCCCTCTCTGCCCTCTCCCCCCTTCCCCGCTCACATTAGTTAGCTATGCTCTAGTTGGGAACCTCTCTCTCAACATTGACTCCAGTCCTCATGGTGACTTGAGGCTTTCAGCACTCGGTGGCTCTCTCTGTAGACAAAGGCAGCTGAGCCGTGGCGAGAGGAGGCTGCAGACACAGGCTTTCTGTCCTATTCACTGTGTAAGGTGAAAGGCACTGGCTTCCTTCCGGGAAGGGGTACCGAAAGGCCCCACCTTCTGTTTCTAGATCTCCCCTTCTACCCACCAACTGACTTCTTGCCCTGGGGTGCACAGTCCTTGGCAAGGCTGCTAAAAGGAGGTTGAAATCGTAGACCAAATACTGTGACTCCTGTCTTTTCCCCTGATGGAGCTAACAGAGGCCACACACGCTCTCTGGTCTCCCTTGAGCACCCTGAACCCATCTGCCATGGGAGGGGGGCCACAGAGCCGCGCTGAGACCAAGGAGTGCTTTCATCCTCAGGCCCCACTGCCATTAAGCCTGCCCTGCCTCACCCCACTTCTCAACCACTGCCCCTCCTCCCCATTTTCAAACGGCCACAGGAGACTGGCTCTTTCTTGTTCTGCTCCTTGAAGGGACCTTAAACACACCCCAGCTCACCAGATGCCCCATGGCACAAGCATGCTGCAGGTGTGTTAGTTCATGCATCTGGGAAACAACTGTAGTACCCCAGGTGGCTACAGCCCGGGGTTGGGCCTCTTGGGAAGCAGCAAGCATGTCCCAGGAGGGCACCATGCTGAAAATGCTTCAGACCTGCTCACAACAGGGGTGACTCAAAATGTCACCACCCACCAGGGAAACTGGCAACAATGGGATCCCAGTGATTCAGACTCTCTGTTGAAGGTGTAGGCACAGGGGAGAAGGGCTGGGGGAGGCAGGAGAGCAGAGAGGGGGCTGTCACTCAGCAGCTGCTAATTTCTATTCATTAGAACTTTACAAGATGAGCAGAGCTGAGGTGACGCCCGTGTGTGGGCTGAGCGTGGGTGGGAGGACTAGGGAGGCGGCAGGCATCTCCTGGGTCTACTGTAGGGTGTGGTACCGTGTGGGCTGCAGCTTGAGATCCATGCCAGGGAGGAAGGCAGCAGAGCAGAGAGCAAAGTGCCTAGTCAGAGCTCACAGTCAACGTGTCACGTGTCAGCTACTATCCTTTTCTGGGTCCATCTTGTACAGAGAGCTCTGAAATGGGTGCTGGTGACACATGGGTGTCACCCACATGTGGCCACATGGAGAAGCGGTTAAGGTTAATTAAAGGTGTTAACCAGATCCCAGTAGCCCCTGGTAAGCTCACTTCCCAGTTATGTAACCTCGGCAGGTAACTTAGCCTCTCTGGGCCCTGACGTTTTATGAAACCAGACCTTTGTTAGGAAGTCATAGCAAAGATTAGTTCCAAAACCATAGCACGGGAGGCTCTCTGAGGCCCAAGTGGGGAGCCTGAGGTGGTGGTTGGAGGGGCAGGGAGCACGTTAGTTCACAAAGGGTGGGACACGCCATGCTGCACTCCACGCCAGGCCAGGTGTCACCTACTGTGCTAGTCACTCTCTGGCCGGTACAGGTACCGCATCATCAGACTGTCGACCTCTTTCTTTCGCTGCTTCTCTTCCTTCTTTGACCGTCTTGGCGCTTGCCCGGTTTCCTCGATGTCTGTGGTTGGGCCCCTTTTCACACTGGAGCGGCTGTGGCCTGAGACTGTCGAGCCACTGGATGAGGATGAGGAGGATTCAGACTCACTCTCTGTTTTCTTTCTTCTTGACTTGGATTTCTTCTTGCTCTTCCTAGAGCGCCCTTTCTTCCGCCGCTTGTGCTCGGAGGAACCTTCCGAGCTGGAGCTCGGGCTGGAGCTGGAGCTGGAGCTGGGGCTGGCCCGCTTGCTCCTACGCTTGCTCCGACTTTTGCGGCCACTGCGCGACCCAGAGACATCCACGGCAGAGGCAGAGCGGCGGATGCTGGTGCCCCTTTCTGGGCAATCCAGCTGTGCACTACGGGCACTCTGGATGCTCTTCCGGTCGTCATCCTCAGAGTCTGGCTCCAGGCTGCTCCGCTGGAACGGCACAGGTTTGTAGCTCAAGACCTCGTTAATGGCAGCTTCCAGGTCTGGATCCAGGTAGGAGTGGCGGCTAACTGGTCGGATGCTTGAGCCCTCGGTGACGGAGGCTGAGGCTGAGGCAGAGCCCCGTGGCTGGGGTGGCACAGACAGACTCCGGGCCAGTGACGGGTGGCTGAATTGTGAGTGTGCCTCACTGAGGACCACGCTGGCTCCATCATCCCACTCATCCAGGCAGCTCTGGCCAAGGGACAGCCGGGAGTCAGGGCTCTCCCGGTCCAGGACTGAGGCCCTGTTCCAGGAAGGGCTTAGGGTCCTTGACAGGCTGTCGAGCCTGGATGTGCTGCGGCGGGAGCTGGGTGAGCCTGACAGTGAGAAGCTCATCGAGGAGCGAGCCCGATCCTCCCCAGAGCCACGCGTGGCTGAGGAGGCCCGGCTGACTGGGGCAGAGACAGTCGAGGCTCTGTCAAAGTCTGAGCCCCAGCGCTTCTCCAGACCACGGCCAGTACGGCTCGCAGCCCCAGAGAAGATGGAGCTGCCGTCATCTTGTTCCTCACACCTCCTGCCCTGTGCCTGGTCAGGTTCCTCCCTGGGGCCCACACGGGCCTTCCTGGAGGGCCTTTCAGGGGAGGTGGCACGCTCACTCAGGGTGCTGAGGAGTGACTCCTGGTCCCCAGTGCCCCCGATGGAGTCTTTCAGGGTGAGCCTCTTGCGGTAGCTGAGGGAGCTGAGCGCAGAGGCGGGTCTCTCCTCTGGCCCCTTGCCCTCCTTAGGGAGGCTGTTGAGAGCCGTCCTGAGTGGGATGGGAAGCCCAAGAGGAGAGAACCGGAGTGGATGGATGAATGACAGGAGAGAGAGAGAGAGAGAGAGAGAGAGAGAGAGAGAGAGAGAGAGAGAGAGAGAGAGAGAGAGAGAGAGAGAGAGAGAGAGAGAGAGGCATTAACAAAAATAAGGACATGGGAGAGGGAGGGAGGAGGGAGGAGAAAACTGCACAGCCCTGGCAAAGTGGTGGCAAGAGCATCCGAGGAAATGAAGCAAAATAATTTGCGTCAGTGAAAATAGCTTCATGGAGAATGTCATGTAAATTAGACTATTGTTCTATTTCATCACTTTTCCCCCTCTAAAACGTTTAGTTCAATTTATTTCATTGTCAACTACCTGGAGCCTTGTGCCACACTGTGGTGAACGGCAGTGGGGCGGGGAAGGCAGCATTATCTGCAATAACAAAATGTTGTTTGGCCGAATAAATTAAACCAATTACAGGGGGCCGCTGGGTGCTAGTGGTGAGGGGCTGGACTGGGGGAAGGGGCCTGGGGAGCTGCAAAAGAAGCAGAGAGGTTTCTTTTCCCATCCAGCCTTCTAACTGTCTCTGGAGAGGTGGCGAAGGGAGCAAGGAACTCTGTGTGGGAAGGAGAGCAGGGAATAGGCCATAGCTGGCCAGTGATGGGTGGGAAGTGGGAGCTCTGGCTTCTAGAAGCGGCTGTCTGTGATTGTGACTGACTAGCAGTAAGGATCAGTGGGCAATGAAAAGGACAGAGGAAGCAGACAGCAAGAGGAGGAGGGCAGAGGACCAGGGCCACCGGGGCTGCCCTGTGCCAGGCTCTAGGACCCAGAGTGCCCAGTGCCCCCGCCCGAGTCCTGATTTCAAAGGCACCATGGGTTAGATGGCTGCTGACTGGGCAGGTGGAATGAAGTTAAACCTACACAAGAGCTCACACCCAAACAGGAAACCGTTGTCTTGCTAAGCAGCTGGCCTTCTGCGCTCTTGCTGCAGGCCAGCAGAGTGTACCTGTGGCCTGAGGGTGGCACCTTTGCTGCCAAGATACCTCCCACCCGTGACGGGTGGCTGAGATGGCTTTTCCTCCCTGCTTAAGGCCAAGTGCTCACCTGGAACTCTTCAAGCTGCCATCGTCAGAAGCTGCCTTGGAAGGTCCCTTGTTCTTTGACAACCAAGACTTGACCCCGTCGACCCGGTCCTCCAGCTCTGAGTCCACATCAGAGTCCCCCTCACTGTTGGGATGAGGAGCAAAAAGGTAGGCAAGGCCAGGACAGAAAGCAAGAAGGGAGGAGGGCGCCCCTGGGGGGTGGAATGTGGGTGGCATGCGCATCGGTGAGTCAGGAAGAATGGAAAAGTTAGAGTGAGCCTGTCACCCCTCGAGGTGCCCATCCCTTCCCTCAGCAGACCACATTGAGTGACAGCCACTAAGAAGATCCTGAGAAGCATGGAGGCACCGCCCATTCCTCCAGGTAAAAATGACAAGCTATTCAGCTGGCCAACCAGATGAGAATGATAGGTGGGCCATCCACTTAGCAAATCTACCTAATGGCACTTGGTTAAAGAGAAATTTTAGGGCTGACAAGATGATTGCCACGAAGCCTGAGTTCAAACCCTGGAAGCCATAATAGTGTTCTCTAACTTCCACACATACACTGTAGCACACCCATATCCACGTACATTGGATATTGCCAGGCAGTGGTGGCACATACCTTTAATCCCAGCACTCAGGAGGCAGAGGCAGGTAGACATCTGTTGAGTTTAAGGCCAGCCTGGTCTACAGAGTGAGTTCCAGGACAACCAAGGCTACACAGAGAAACCCTGTCTGGAAAAACCAACACGGGTGTGTGTGTGTGTGCGTGCGTGTGTGTGTTTTCCTGGTGTGCGTGTGTGTGTGTGTGTGCGTGCGTGTGCGTGCATGTGTGTTTCCTGGTGTGTGTGTGTGTGTGTTTTCCTGGTGTGTGTGTGTGTGTGTTTTCCTGGTGTGTGTGTGTGTGTGTGTGTGTGTGTGTGTGTGTGTGTGTGTTTTCCTGGGCCCTTCAGCTCCCCCTAGAGGCCTATGCAGCTATTTCTTGTTGACATGCCTCAGACTGACTACGACTACCATCATTTTCTATGTCTTCATTGTAAAAGCAGGGCTGTTACACATAGGGCAGAAGACAGAGCCTTCATATGATGTCAGGTTAACATGAACCTGAAGGTCTCTTTAGCTGCTAACAACACAAACCTAAGTTAATGAAGCACCAGTCATATCCTAGACCCACCTTGTGGTGTCCCTGGCTTTAGAAACAGAAAAGAAGAAAGAGGGGGGGAGCAGCAGCCTTTCCTGAGGCCTGTCGGTACCTTTAGGATCCAGGGGGCCCCAGGTAGTTCAGTGGGCTCAGAAGTCTGCAAGCAGGGTTCTAACTCTCCAGGTCTCCTTATGCCTCCCTCAGGCAGCCTCCAGCCCCTGCTCCCCACTGCTACTGCTGGACAGGCTGACCCCAGGATCTGAAAGAAAGCCTCAAAGAGTCTAATTCTGAGGCTAGAGTCCTGGTGACCCCCCACATGAAGCAGTGAGGACACAGAAGTGGTTTCTGAGTGCAAATGCTTTGAAAATTCTGCACCCTAAGTTTCCCTGCTACAGATAGGCTGAGATTTCTCCTTGATATAAATTTCCTTTCATTTGTGTCAACATGAGTGACCTGATCCTGAATCATGTTCTTGAATAAATAGCCACACAGGCATATGCATGCATATCCAAGCATGTGCGCGCGCACACGCACACACACACACACACACACACACACACACACACACACACACACAGATACACACACATATCAGAGAAAACCGCAGTTCTGGGGATCATGAGAGAGCCAAGCACATGGGGAAGGGGAACAAAGAGGCATATTTTATGGGCTTTCATCAAATACAGAGTTATAACAGACAAGGCCTGCTGATGCCTCAGGTAAACAGGAGTTTAGCAGGCAGCCCCCAAACCACTAATGCAAGCTCTGTGCCCATCTGAGCCTGGCAGATTTACTGTGGTGCACGGGTCCCATGGAACGCCAATACCACCTGATTTATACACCCGTGCAAAAAAACCTCCCTCTATAGCTTCAGAGCCTGTAATTTATCACCACCGTTCATAACCATATTGATTGCCTTTAGAAAGGAGGTGCTGTATGCATCGCAAAATCTATGTCTACATGTTAAAAGTGTTTCTGTATAAATCTCCCTTAATACTGCACTGTTTACTGCTTTCATTAAGGTTATGGCAATAACAACTGTATCTCTAAGTAAATCGAAACATTATTTTTCTGCCCGCCTTAGCGTGCTCGTTCGATAACTTGGGAGCTGCCGAGGAAGGAGCCCCTCTGCCATCAGTGGAGCCTGTTTAGGATTGCATATTTTCATGCACCTGCATCGAGTGCACGCTGGTGTGTGTGTGTGTGTGTGTAGTCTGTGTGTGCCCAACTATAGTTTAGAATATGATCTTCAATGCACATTTTATCAGCCCTTAGAGCTCCTTCTGCATAAGGATGGCAGCATAGAACACACTGGGGACAGACTGAGGCCTAGAATATGAATTCCTTTCCTTACATTCACAGCAGTCAGTGGGCTGAGAAGCTGGGCTGCCTACCCTCACCTTCCGCTTAGTTGCAAGAATCCAGACAATGTTTGGGTTCTCTTCCTTAAATAATCAGGCCCGTAAACAAACTCCAGGGGCAGGCAGGCTCAGGGGGCAGTTGAAATTTTAAATGGTCGGAATTAAACCTCGCGTCAAATACAATTTATGTCCAGGCTCATGTGCTATTAGTTAACTGGGAGCGAATCACGGGGGAACAAACAAACGGAGACAGACCGGCAGGGGATATTAATTGTGTGTGACAACCGGGCTCCAGCGGCCCTCTATCACTGTTACACACTATTACATTTATCATTAGCTCCCCCGGACTCCTTTGCACGGCCGCCAGCCCATCCTGGCCAGGGGAGGAGGCCTGCCAGGCAGGAAATTCAGTCCTATGCTGAAAAAACAACCTCCAAAGCAACCCTGTTGAACTTGACGGAGGATCAGCAAATCTGCCTGAAGACCCTGCACATCCGCACACTTTCCAGTTCCCCCCACCAAAAAGGGGGAACAGAGAAGGGCAGATGTTCTGGGCCTCCCACCACCTGTCGGACATACCAACACAGATATGGTCCTCCTACCAACACCACTGCCCGAGGTGCCCCCTGGGAACAAAGTAAACACAACCGGCTGTTTCCATCCCCTGCCACAGCAAGAGCTGCCCAACATCAGTTGCCTGGATGCTTCCTCCAAACAAGCAGCTGCGAGATGTCCCTCACCTTCAACCCTCATCTGCCCAAGGAAGGTGACAGACCTTAAACACAAACAGGCCCGCTTCCCTTCAGGTAGCCTGGGCAGACAGATGTCCTGAGAGGCAGGCCAGGGTGGTGGCCACGCTTGGTTCTTAGAGAGAGAAGGCTCGGGCTTAGCCAGGCAGATGAAGCCTCATCCTGGCTAACAGGGCTATGAGGGTCAGTCTGGCCTTCTAGGAACACACTTCACAGCCAGCCAGTCCTTCCATCCCAGCCTAAGGACAGTCAGTGGTGTTAGCATTAGAGACCAGCTGGAGAGTGAGGAGGCTGTGTCTGCATGCAGCATGCCGCAGGGGCCCCTGGAAGGAAGCCCTGTGTTAGGGATGGTTAGACACCCACGGGGAGAGGCAAAGAGCACATGGTCCTCACAGTTTATTCTTTCTTTTCTGATATTTTGTCACCATGTCCTGCAAACTGGAAACAGAAAGAAAATGGTGGGCAAAGGGGCCGGAAGAAGCAGATGAGGGGAAAAAAAAATCAATGGACAAATAGAGGAGAGGAGTGCCCTCCTCTGAGCTTCTTTCTTCAGTAAATGACAGCTTAGCTGACAGCTCAGGCAGAAGTGAGGAACAGGATCCTAGGACCCTCAGAGCCAGTACACATTCCAAAGGAGCAAGCTTCCTGGGCTGCCCTGCCCTGCCCACAAGATGGGACCTAACCCTGAGGCAGGAAGTGGGGAGCTCTGGGATCTACCTAGGTCCCAGCCCCACCCCCACACTGCTGGTCCTGTGGATTTGTAATTTTCTCCTCAGCCTCGGACTACAAATCTCTCTCCTCGTTCTCCAAAACCATTCCCTGGGTGGGTTTTATGCGAGAAAATCTCTAGCACAGTAACAAGGTACCATAGCCTTTAAATCTCTGCTCTCCCTAGAGTGGGGCAGGCGCCATCGGAAGTGCAGCTAAATGGGAGGAATAACTCATGGGGAGCAGGCAGCACCAGAGCCAGGGCTTTGGGAGGCCTGGGAAGGAGAGGGCGGGGAAGTACCTAACCCCCAGCACCCTCAGCCTCTCCCACCTGGGTCTAGTACTGGGAAAGTAATTGACAAGGTTGCAGCTGTCACCCTGGAGCCCGATTCCACTGTTCAAGAGGGCCTTTGCCCCACCTGAAACGCCACAGACTCTGCCTCTCACCTGTTGATAAGGTCCTCATTCTCATCGCTCTCCATCTCATCCTCAATGGCGGCTTGCAAGTCCCCAATGCGCTTGAACGCCAGCTTTAGGTCGGCCTGCAGGCTTTGGTTAGCAGCTTCCAGACTCTCCAGGTCCATCTCCTAGGAGGGGGAGTCCAGTGTACACGAGGGCCACACTGTCCCCCAGTATCTCTGAAGGAGCCTGTAGCAAGTTACTCACTGCCAGGCAGGAGCTACCCTGGTACTACTCGAAGCCTCCAAAGGTCTCTCTATTCAAGGGTTACTAGGCTTTCTGGGCAGGGCGGCTTCACCTGACAGAGACTTCTGAGGTCACCCTTGACGCTCTTGCCTGGTCCCAGGACTAAAATGTCCCCCACTAAAACCCAGGGTGAGGTAAGCATATACTTAATGGGACTTGGGGGCTGAAATGACCCCCGGAGTCCAGGGTGAGGTGGGCATATACTTAGCAGGACCTGGGGGCCTCCAGCTTGGGAGCCATGAGGAGCAGGACATTACCAGCTCATGCTTCTTGCGGCTGGCCTCGGCCTCCTTTCTGGCAAGCTCACTCATCTCTTCCTTGGTGTCACGGAGCTGTCGCTGGAGCCTCTTGTTCTGCTCCTTCTCACGGTTCTCAGCTGCAGCACGCTGGTCCCGGTCCTCAGTCAGTTTCTCCATGTTTTCCTTGAGCCGACTGGCCAGGCTCTGGGTGAGCAGATTGAGAAGTAAGGCCACTAGGTAGGCTGTCAGGCAGGCAGAGGAGCTGTTGGCAGGAGATGTGGACAAGCTCTCTGGTCCCACTACTCAGCTATGGCTAAGAGATGCAGGAGTTTACTATTAACTTCTTCCTACCCTAACCCATCCCTTTTTGTGTCTTCCTGTGTGTGTAGGAGCACATGTGTATGGGCCAGAGGTCAATCTGTATTATTCCTTAGGTAGTATCCATCTTGTCCTTTGAGACATGGTCTCTTATTGAGACCTAGAGCTTACCAATTAGGCTGTCTGGCTGTCCAGCAAACCCAGATGATCCTGCTGTCTTTGCTCCCTAGTGCTGGGATTACAAGCAAGGGCTTTTTTTCCTTTTATTTTATTTTATGTGCATTTGGGTGTTGCCTGCATGTATGTCTGTGTGAGGATGTTGTATCTCTTGGAACTGGAATTACAGACAGTTGTGAGCTGCCATGTAGGTGCTGAAAATTGAACCCAGGTCCTCTGGAAGAACAGCCAGTGCCCTTAACCACTGAGCCATCCATCCATCCCCCTACACCTGGCTTTTTATGTAGGTGCTGAGTGAACTCAGGTCCTCATCTGAGCAGGGTGAGTACTTTACCAGTTGAACTGCCTTCTTAGTCCCTGAGTCTCTCTGTCTGTCAAAGGGGAAGATGACACCTGTATCCAGGGGTCTTTGGAGGACTAAGGAAGGTAGCAATGAGAAAACAATCAGGAAGAAGGGCTGTGGTTACTCTTATTGCTGCAGAGACTCGAGCAGGCTCTGGGCAGAGGCTAGCCTGTCATATAACTGTCTCCATGGTCATCAGGGATTTTTCAGAGATGCGGAACCCAGAGGCGACAGCCAGTGTTCAGAGGTGACTGGCTCCACCGTGAGCGCCTGATTAGGAGACACAGGCAGAGCCGTCTCTCCCAGCCTCATGAATCTGTCCCTGCCAGGCAGGAGGATCCTAAGCAGGAAATAATTTGGAGTGGAAGCAGAGTGTGAGGAAGGACTGAGTCAGTGTCCAGGGTCACTCTACCACTGACTGCGCCCTGTCTGGTGTGTAAGTGACAGGTCCAGGCTATGGGGCCACTCAGAATGAGTCTAAACCACAATATTGCCTTTCTCAGTAGAAGGGAGTCTGAGGAGAGGGTTCACAGCCTGAGAGAAAAGTAAGGTGACAAGTGCGGGAGGTAGAACCTTCATCCACCATCAGTGGCTTCCTCTGGCCCCAAGCTGCATGAACCCATGTGATGCGGGGACTGCCCTGGGGTCCTGGGGACAGAAAATAAGCTACTAAGTTCCCTCTAGCTCTGTCTGGTTTTCCTTGTTGGGAGTTCTGTCCACAGTCCTTTCCTATATCCAGGCTGGGAATGCCCTTGGCTGCCCAACCTCTCCTACAGCCTGCCGTGCGTGCGACTGAGGGACTGACGGGGAAGAGGCAGCAGAGAAGCTCCTCATCCACCACAGGAATGTGCTCCCAGGCAGACCTGATGGTGCTGGGACAGACATCCACAAGCTCAGAAGGAAAGAGCTTCAGGACAAGGCTACCAGTGGACACTCAGGCACCGTTCTGACATCTCTCTCACACAGCTTGGGCCGGAGCACACCAGCCACAGGAGACCAGAAGAGGAAAGGGCCGAGGTGGAAAATGGACCGGCCACTGGGGTGCGGGGGAGGAGTCAAAACACGATGAAAAGAGGTCAACCAAAAGAGGGGGGAGGGGCTCGAAGAAAGGAGGGGGTGAGGAAATCATGACAACACCGGAAGAGAGTGAGAAAGAGGTAGGATGGTAAAGGGCGAAAAGGGGGGAGGGGGCAGCGCTGGAGAGGGTGGCAAGGAACGAGGGAAGGGGGATGCGAGAAGGAAGCAGAGAAGAGGAGAGAGCCCTGCCATGAGAACAGACTTCAGCCCTTGGAGCAGTGGTTCCATCCGCTGCATATTGATGACCCTGCCAGAGAGTGAGTGAGGGGGACAGGAGGGGGGAGCTCGTGGCAGAGGAAAATATGAAGACGAAAAGCTAAGCTGCTCCAGTCCCTTGGCAGAAAGCAAGCACGGATACGGAATGTAAAATAGGCAGGCTCTGCGGGACCCAGAGAGCAGGCCAGGCAGGTGGGAGGGAGCTCCCGCCCTGTCAGCTGGCCTGGCAGCTTGGCAGAGGACTCTGAGGAGTGTCCCTGGCTTGCACAGCCCTTCAGAGCATGCGTGGCTCCAGCCACTGGGGCAGCTGTGCTTGGCTTGCGGTGAAGCACACCAGGCTGAACCCACCTCCAGACGCTTCACTTGGGTCTTCTCGAACTCCAGGCGCGTTTCCAGCTCCCTGATCTTCGCTTCTTGCCTGCTGACGAGGGACTTGTCCACCATGGACTGCTCCAGGAACTCCACCTGGCTCTGCAGGGCTTGTAGCTAGGGGTGCAGGGAGAAGAGTGAATTGAGTCCAGAAGGGGTGGCAGCAGGGGGGCGGGGGCCCGCAAGTCTGGGAGAAGCAACATCACCATGGTGACTAGAAGGCTGAGGGAGGGAGAGATACACAGAGAGGGTGTGAGGAGGCCACGCCCCCAGCAAAGGCATTCCCCCCATTTGCCCCCTCCACTTGGCACCGATCTGGCCCTTCTGAGAGGAAGGAAAGTGGTAAGGACCAGGGAGGGAATAGAAATGAAGCAGCTGAAGCCAAAACATCTACCATGGTGATGTGGCTGCAAGCCTAGCTCTTCCTGCCAGTTCACACTGCTCTGTGGCTTCCTGACGGAAGAGAGGAACACCCTCTATACTAGATCAAAGCTTTCTCCCCACTGATCCCTGAACTCTCACCCCCAGGGGAACCCAGGGTACCTACCTTCTCCTGTAGCTCCTGCTTCTCCTTGTTGGATTCTTCTAGCTGAGTCTGGAGATCATTCATCTGTACCATGTCCCGGGAGGCCTGGGAAAGGAGGGAAGAATGGGGAAAATGGTCCCCAAACAGAAATTCAGTCCCTATCTTTCTATCCACTGAGGGTCAGGGCACCTAGACTCACAAGCCATGTCTCGCTGAAGAAGCGTCTAGAGCCAGGCATGGTGGCGCACACCTTTAAGCCATCACTTGGGAGGCAGAGGCAGAGTTCAAGGCCAGCCTGGTTTACATAATGAGTTCCAGGACAACCAGGGCTACATATCTCAAAAAAAAAAAAAAAGTGTCTAGCTGGGGATCTATGAGGTGGCCCAAAGGATGGTAACTGTGATGTCGTTCCTGGCAGGGTACCTGGGCCACGGCTGCCTTGTGTTTCTTCATCAGCTCATTCATGTCTTCCTGATCCTCTTCCAGCCGGTTCTGGATCTCATTTTTCTCACGCTGCAGGCGACTCAGTTGCTCCTCCAACTGGACAGAGGCAGGGATAGATCAGAGAGCATCAGGCCTGTGTCTTCCGGCCCTGGGTGGCAAGTCCAAGCCTGCCCCACCCCATGCCACCTTCTCCTAGGGGGGTGATAGGAGGGTAGGGACATGATGATATGTTGAAGTGGGTTCCAGAACCAGTGAAACCATCTGATGGGTTCTGGGCAGGGAGATGAGGGACAGAGCTGCTGGTGTGGGATGGCAAACCCTGGGCTTCTAGGTGCTAAATGGCAGCTGCTTTCTGGAAGCTCTTTCAAGGCTAACGACAAGGTAGAAATTCTGCCCTTAACAGATGGCCCTCCATCTCAGTACATCAGCCTGACTGACACACACTCGGCCCACACCAGGCCTCAGGGAAGGACCTTTCAAGCTGGTGACATCCCTTGGCTTGGATTTTTGTTTGCCCTGGGGATGGCCCACTCTTGGGTCATCCAGCTCTCCCAGCTGGCCTTGGAGGAGGGGAAGAGACAGGTACCGGCAGCTTCAAGGAAATGAATGAATCTATTAGCCTGTAATTCCAAACCAAAATGACTGCGTTGGTGCCTTCTCTGCCCCATCCATCTTGTTACTGGGCTGTGGGGAGCTGGGGAAGCCTCCACTAAGAAATTTATTAACTCAGATTTAAATAAAATGGTAATTTTATAACAGCCTTTTTTAACGCAATTAAGGAATTTGAATTACTCACCTGGAAACTGCTGAAGAGCACAAATGTCACAAGATAAATCAAGTCTGTGAGATTGGCATCTCTCAGCGGCAGGGTGACTAGTTAGGGGCCATGAAGCTAACAGCCAAACTCAGCCTCCTCCCCTGCCCCATTCCTGGCCTGAGGAGGTACGAGTGGTGGCCACATCCCGGGAGTGAATACTCAGCCGATGGATGGGCAGTGGGAGAGGTGGGGAATTAAAAGGGAGGCATTAAATAAGAGCTCTAATTAGCTGCCGCCTGGGCTTGTCAGTGGGCTGGGCAGGGGGAGGGAAAGGAAGCCTCGCCATCCTGTCCTCTCACGGTGCTTCTGCTAATCTCAAGGCACCTGTTTACATCCCTCAGCCGCATTAGCTGCCTTTATTTATGGTTCCAGGGCCTGCGGCCAAGCTCCCAGAGGCAGGTGGTTAAACAGGGAGATGTGCACCCGAGCTGCTTCCCTCTTCTGCCAGCCCTCCCTCCTCTCAAGACTGCTCTCAGTGGGGGAAAGCAGAGGATGGATAGGGGTGCTCTGCCCTGCAGAAACCCCTGGCATGAAAGGACCTGTGTGGGGTGACAGCCGCTCCTGTCATGGTTCAACTCCCCGCCCTGCCCCTCACCGCTGTCTTGGCTTTGGCGATGTCATCGATCTGCAGGTGCAGGTCTTCCATCTCTACCTCCATCGCTTTCCGTGCTTTTACAGCTGCTGCACAGGTGAACTCCGACTCTTCCAGCTGGACACAGAGCCACCCACCCAGGGGCCAAACATCAGCCATGCTCTGGGGCACGAGGGCTGTGCAGGTCACGTGCTCAGGGGGGAGAAGGGGTCCAGGCATCTTCCCTGTCCTCCTCGGCCACCTCCCCCCTTCTTGCTCCGCCTCTATCTTCATAAATGGCAGTCTAATAGCCAGAGTTGTGCTGTGGTGCATCTCCTCCAGTATGCACACCCCATCCACATCACCCTAGGGGCTGGCAGACACGCTGTAGGGCACACACAGACCCTGGGGAATCTGGCTGCTACGCGTAGCTTCCGCCCACATTCCAGCCATCTTCCTTTTCAAGGGCTTGAGAGCCAGCAAGAGAAACAAACAGTAGAAAACTGAACTTCCTGGTTGCCCCTGGAACCAGTGGAATTAAGTGAGCATGGTACCTGGTTCTTCAGCTGGGCAATCTCCCTCTTGCTGGGGGCGTTGTTCTTTAAGTGGTCCAACATGATCTGGGCATCTGCCAGCAGCGCCTTGGTACGCTTCAGGTCTTTGCGCAACCTCTTTTCTGATTCATAGTCCCGCTGGTTCACCTGTGGGTGGGGGGGCACCATCCGGGAAGGCGGTGAGCTCCGCCTGGGACTCCCATGAGCCTTTCCCATGCTGACTGCTAACCTTGTCAACCCTCACCCTCTCCAAAGCGAGCAAGGGTGTGCTCCTGGGCACGTCAGGGTCACGCTGGCTAATGAGGCTGGGATGGTGGATGACACACCACCCCGTGCCCAGCTTTCTGTCCTCAGGATCCCCAGTCTTAGGCTGGTAGGGCAGGAAGCTGTTGGGGTTCCCCCGCACCTGGTCACTGAGTGTGGAGAGCTTGCTCTCCAGCTCCCGCTTCTCCCGCAGTGCCTTCTGCTTGTCTTCATACTCCTCCTCAAGCTGCACTTCCATCTGTTTTAGCTGAGGGGTCATGGGCACAGAGGCTCGGTGTTCTTAGTGTGCAGGGGCAATAGTCCCGGAAAAACAGGGCATGACTGAGTGTGGGTGACCCAAAGAGGTGGAGTGCTGGAGGGGGACAGCAGGTCACAAGCAGCTTCTGCAGCCACAGGAGACTTCATACCGAGTGAGGAGGGTGGGGACTGTCCAGCTAGACATGCTGACCACAGGCACCCTCCCCCGGAGGAGGGGGCAATAGGAAAGGCTGCTCCTTGACACAGCTGGTGAGGAGCTATGGCTTTTTTAAGGGCCCAAGCTTTTCTACAGACTGAGAGGCACAGCCTAGGCCAGGTTCCAGTCCTGAGAGGGACATGCTGGTACAGAATAGCAGAAGAACACAGGAGAATAATGTGTAGAAACAAAACCCCTCCCTTTAGAGCAGTGGTAAAGGACAGGCCCTCACCCTACGCCAGCCTAGGAAAAGCCCTGAGCGCACGCCCAGACGCCATACCTTCTTCTGACACGACTGCCGGGCCTCCTCTATCTCCTCATCCCGACTCTCCATCTCCTTGGAATGGGTCTGTCTCATCCTCTCCATCTCCATCTCCAGACGCAGCTTGGCCTGTGGGTCGGGAGTCAGGACTGGATTCCTTCCCCAACAAGGACCTGACTGAAGTGCAGCGCTCCCATATTCAGGAGTACAGGCTGCCCCCATCACAGCTCTCTGCCTGCTCACTCACTCTTCGCTCCGGCAGACAGCTTCTCCCAGGAGGCTGTGCCTCCATACTTAACACCTGGCCAACGCTCAGGAAGAAGCTGGTCACTGGAGACAATCTTGAAACTTCCTCTCCCTGGGCAAGGTCCCCCTGAACTGACTTGGCTGTTTAGTCACATGCTTGGTTGGCTCCTGGCCCTCCGGCCGCATTATCTTCCCATTCTTTCCTCACTAGATCCAATGCAGACCTGCTTTTGTGAAAAGCTCTACGACAACTTAACTGTCTTCACATTGCAGCTGGCACAGGCCAAGTACTCACACAACATTTTATGAGTAGGTGCATGAGTGATTGAGAGAATGAATAAATGGATGGATGGATGGATGGATGGATGGATGGATGAACAAATGTGGACTTTCCCTGACCAGTGCCCTGTGTTAATGGTGACAATACTTCTTGCTCTGGTACCTGCTCCAGCATCTGTATGCTCCCCGCCTGTTCATCGAGCTCCTCTTCCTGATCCTTGACCTTGGCCTCCAAGTCCCGGAGCTGCTTCTTGACCTTGGCCAGAGAAGCCTCATCCTTGGACTCTTGAGAAGAAATGTCCTGGAGCTCAGCCTCCAAGGAGACAACCTTCTGGGTAAACCCTGCAATGTCCATGTCTTTTTCCTAGAGCGAAAGGGAAGGCGAGGTTGGCGCAGGGCAGCCCCCAGGCTGTGGGGGAGACGGAGATGGAGGAGGGTCCGCCCTGGTACCTCCAGCTGCTGCTTCAAGCCGAAGGCCTCAGCCAGGAGCATGTCCTTCTCCCGCTGAAGTTTCTCCCTCTGCAGCTTCTCCCGCTGGGTCTCCTCCTGTGCCTGGGAAAGCTCACTGTCAAACCTGTGTGGGAGCATGGTGGCCTCATCAGAGAAGGACAAGGTCTAGCACTCCAGCACCCAGCAAGCGCCAGGAAGCGGTGCCACAGATGGAGCACGACACCAACAGGGTTGGGGGTGGGGCATGGGAGGGACTCATTCATACAGTCATAACTTGAAATTCGGGACTTATAGGTCAGACTACTGAGTGCTTCATCAAGGGGCCTAAGAGGGTCCTACACACTGCTTCTTGGAAAGAGGCAGACCAAACCTTGTCTCAGGAGACACATCTCTACATTCTCTAACAGGTCAAAGAATAAGGTGCCAGGGTGAGAGCAGAGAGGCATCGGAATGAGTAGAAGTGACAGCTCACTCTATGAGCGACTCAGCAACTGCAGGTAGGGCTGCTGGCTTCTACCCTGCCTCTCGCATTTGCCTCCGGCCAGCACCGCCCACCTCAGCAGTCCCAGAGTCACCCCCAGGGCACCCATGTTGGGCGGGGCAGCATTCCTGCCAGGCCCGGCTGGCAGTGTGCTCTAAGGGGCACTCGTCGCCGGGGGCCTCCTCCTTTACTCCTCTACTTCCCAGCCTTCTGTTTCCCACCCAGTGACTAAATCGGGAGCAAACTGCTGAAATCCCTCTTACCCCTTCCCTGTATAGCTAATCAGGTTCCTGTGGAAATTGCACAGCGTCCCACCCTATCCCACAGCAGAAAAACGGAAGAAAACCCTGAGCAGCCAAAACCTAATAAGTGGCCCAGCGGGGAGCACAGCGACATGGTAACTAGGCCAAGCTGGCACCATTGTCGGGGTGCTCATGGAGGAGGGGTTCCTGTTAAGAGTGCCATCTTTGGGTAAAAAGACAGAGTGGGGTTAAAGAGCAGGAGAAGGGGACTGCCTGGCTGTTCTGGGAGGGCAAAAGACCTTGCAGACAGCCTTGTCCTCCTCAGAGCAACAGGAAGCAGTTAGCAAGGAAGGTGACTTGGGGAACCGGGGACACACAGTAACTCATAGTGGGAGGAGTGGGCTCTGTTCTGCCCCTCTGAGTCCCAGGGTTGTGGGGTGAGGCTGCCCCTCACAAAGGTGACTGGATGCTGGCAGAGGGGGAGCAGGCCCTGTTCCCGCTCCCTGGGGGCACCCCACTGTTCCCAGGGTGTGTGGGCTCCTCATGCTGCTAATGAAGGCGTCCCATTCCCAGCCAGGGAAATTAATTTAGATTGGATTTTCTCCTGTGAGGCTGCCCCCCTCCTTTGTGTCATTACCATAATGAGATGGAAGTGGCACGGTAGTTTAATGACATTAGTCAGGAGAGTGTGTTTGTGTAGTGGAGTCGAGGGAAAGCAACTCAGGCAGAGGAGGGGGCAGGGGCAGGGGCAGGGGCCAGGTGGTTCTGCACTTGGCTAAAGCCCGAGCTTTTTGGTTTGGGACAGATGACAGGTCCACCTAGGGTAGAACAGAGGCCTGAATGGCCTTCCACGCATACCCGGCCGAGTCCCCCTGGGAGATGAGAAGTGAGTCTGTTTCACATGCCAGCACGAACAGCCAAGCAGGTCAGGCTCTGAGAGCACAGGACAGGGCCACCCACCTCCTCTGCTTCTTCTCCAGCTCATGGTTTCGGACTTGCTGGCCCTCCAGGTGCAGCTTGGTGTCCTGCAGCTCAGCTGTGAGCCGCTGACACTTCTTCTTGAGTTGCTGGAGTGTCCGCTGACTCTCGTCACTATCTGCTTGCAGGTCCCCAAGCTAGAGATGGAGAAAGGGTGGATGGTCAGCAGCCACCAAGAAAGAGTTGGGGGCAGAGGACAAGAAGAGCCACCTTCCTGAACCTAAGGGGCGTTCCTAGCTGTCCTCTCGGGACTGGCTAACACAGCACTTCCCCTGTTCCTCCCAGGGTCTGCCTACCTCTGGCTTGTTTGCCAATAGACCTGGCACTGAGCCCCAGCCTTCTGGTTCAGGCCTCAGTTTCCCCGCCAGCCTTACCCGCCTCTCCAGCTGCCTCCGGCTCTGCTGCTCCACCTCCATCTTGTCTTCTAACTCCTGCTGGAGCCGCTTCTTGGTGAAGTCCACCTCACGAACAGCACGCTCATACTTCAGCCGCCACTCTCCCCCTGCAGGGCCAAGGGGACAGGCAACTCCGTTCAGAGTTGTTGAGGGTCCCCAGGAAGGGCAGGGGACAGAAGCAGAGGGGTAGGAAGGAGAGGGTGGAGCCAGCCAGCAAGGCTTAGGAGCATTTCTGAAATGATGGCTAGAAGGAACCACTATCAGGGGAAAGTCTAGAAAGGGTGACTTCTGGAGGCCACGAGGACCATGGCCCTTGTCATTACCACAGCGGGTCAACCTGTTTATTCTCAGCACCTTGACATTGCGGTTTTGAGGTCTTTGTTTGTTTGGCTTTTGAGACAAGATCTCATGTATCCCAGCCTGTCCTTAGGTTTACTATGTAGTCGATGACCTTGAACTTTGGTCACCTGGGATTACATGCCTGGTTTTAGCAACTCTACCTTCTCATCCATTGATTATATTTTTGTATTAAAACAGCTCACAGAAGGGAGACAAGCCTGGACAGAGCGTGTGTTTACTTAAGGGTGGGCATCAGGGCTTGCCATTCAGGCCTCGGCCTACCTCCTCTACCTCAGACCCACCTGCATCATCATCCTCCACGTCCCCATTGATCTCCGCTGCCCGGATGAGCCGGGCCTCCATCACCTCCATCTCCATAACTTCCATTTGCTTCTTCAGCGCATCATACTGGGTCTGAAGGAAACAGCCTGTAAGCCTTGCAAGCCTTCCCCTTGCCTGTCCTGCCCAACGTCCTGAACCACCCAGGCTGCATGTTACCCCAGGCAGACAGACATGTGGAGCTAGTGGAGGAGGTGCCAAGAGGCTTTGGGGAAGCCGAGTGTGGCGTCACCAGCCGTCTTCACCCTGCCCTCACCTGTAGCTCTTTCATTTCCTTCTCAGCCCGAAGCCTCTCGGCTGTCTCTGCGTCCAGCAGCTGGGAGGCGGACTCTCCTGTGTTCCGCTCATCAGTCAGCTCCGATGTCAGCTCTGAGATCTGGGGTTGGGGGAGGAGGGGTCGCCAGTTGAAGTGACTGCCTCACTCAGCCAGAACGCCAGGGCTCGTGGGTCAGGGCACTCTGGGACAGTGGGCCAGTCTGTCTGGTGACTGGAGTCACCCACCCGGGTCTCCAGTCGGTCACTGTTGAGCCGAAGCTCGTTCCTTTCTTTCTCCACCTTCTCGAGCTTGCTGCGCAGCTGCTGGATCTCCTCCTGTGGGGAGCAAGGAGACAAGATGGGTTTCTGTGAGGGGTGAAGACCCCAGTTCTGTCCCCTGAGGACTCCCAACAGGAGAGGCTCCCAGGACTCATGACCCCTAGACTCTCCTCCATAAACAGTGGATGCCTACAGTTTTATCCTAAGAAGCTACCTAGGGCCCATACAGCACTCCAGAGGGACATCTACTTGATGGGCATAGGTCATCTAGTCCTAAGAGCACCTCAATCCAAGACAAGCCAGCAAGACCCTTGTATACATGGACTGTCTCCCTGGCCCGGCTGGCCCCGGAAGTCACGCACGTCTTTGTTGCGGATCTGTTCTTCTGACAGCTGAACTTGGATGAGGGGCCGCACGGTGGTGAAGAGCTTCCACCAGGGCCAGTCCTTCACCCCTTTGTTCTTCTTGATGTTCTTCTGCACACAGCGGATGGCCAGGTCCTGGATCTGCAGTTGGGGTTGCCACATGACAGACTTTCAGCTCCCCTGACCAAGCCATTTCCCATTGCCAGCACAGGACCCTTTTCATGCCCACCTTGGCTCCCACATTGCCCCACCCCTCAGAGGGTAGGCGGTCCTGGGAGCAGTGCACGGGGCACTCATGTCCCACCGTCATTAGGAATAATTTCATCTGCTTTATTTGCTGCCTGACTATTTCCAGCACCCTGGCCTAGCTGTGCAATAAAACCTAATCTTGCTGAAACACAAGAGGCGGCAGTGCTGGCTGTTTTATGGACTTGCTAATAAGAAAAGGAGTCGCTGACACAGCTCCTTAATCTTCATAGAGCAACCCATGAACCACAGCCCACCTTTGCCTGGGACCTGCTCTACCCCCCCAACTGCAACACAGCCTCCTGGCCAGGGTGCCTGTCCATACTGCTGGGCACTCAAGCATGCTTCCCGCCCTGGCCCAGGCATGGTGCTCTTGGGAGGTCCCCACCTCCTTCTCAGATGATGACAACTGCTTGACCTCCCCAGCATGTGTCTTACGGGCCCTCCCACTGGTACTCTGCTGTGCCACAGGCTGGGATGTCCCTAGAGCAGCACCTTTCTCTTCTTGAAATGCTGGCGGGCGAGGTAGCCCCTACAGGCCGCTTGGAACAGGGTCAGGTGTCTGCTGGTTTGCTCATCTCGCTGCTCTTCCAGCCGTGCCAACGTGCCTGCCCGGAAGAACACCTATCGGGAGAAGAAGCCTGGTAAAAGCCGGAGCTGGGGCAGCAGAGAGAGACAAGAGGAGGTGCCACAGGGACAGGCAGCTGGCACAGGCAACCAGCAGGCTAGGGAGTGTGGACTCTGGTTCAGGAAGAGCCTGAAAATCCACTTGCCCAAGAGCAGAGAGGAGGTGCCCTAGCAGGGCCAATGGGGCGGGCCAGGGCCAGGTGGAAGGCTTCAGGTCTGGAGGAGTGAGGTGGGAAGTCCAACTTCAAAGGAGAAAGGACAGGGGCAGAGAAGATACGGGGACAAAGAGGAACAGGAAGCACTCACTGGCCAAACAAGGAGGGGAGGCCCTTCAGCTACAGCTGAAGATGTTATCACTATGCCTGGTGCCGCGGCCCACTGCAGGGCCCTGACACAGCTCCAGCCTCGTGGGCTCAGGGGAAGCGTGAGATGGCGTGTCTGGGTGGGAGAAGATCTAAGAAGCTGCATGTGAGGGAAGACTAGAGCGGGGCGAGGCCTCTGCCCTTCTGCTGCCTGCTCGGCTTCATTCCAGCCACCTCCTCTTTCATGTCGGTGCCCCACCCCTACCCCCACGGTTCAGTTTCACACTCTCAGGAAGAAGCCGGTGAGGTGAGGGACCCGTCATACAGGTTTGGGGACTGGAAGACAGATGTGTGGGGACACCCAGCTGTTCCTCTCAAGCTTGCTGCCCTGTGTTGGCCTCTTAAGAGACATGGAGCAGGGTGATGATGACTCTGGTGTCCTTGAGAAGCCAAAGGGGTACGAGGTACAGTTACTCTCACCTGGTGCGGGGCTAAGCTGCCCGGCCTGAGTTTGATCCCCAAGATGCTCATGGTAGGAGGAAATAACTGACTACCTCAAGTTATCCCGACCACCACATATGTACTGTGGCATGTACACATCCACAAATAAAGAAACACATAAGTACATAGAAATATGCGATCTATCCTTATAAAGAAAGACAGTCTGGAGACATAGCTAAGCAATTAAGAAAGAACACTGCCTGCTCATCAGGAAGACCTGATTTTGATTTGAAGTACCCATATCAACACAATTGCTGTAACTCCGGTGCCAGGGGATCTGATGCCATCTTCTGGCCTCTGTGAGCACCCTTATACACACGGCATACACACATATGCATACGCACATGTAAGCAATAGATCTTAAGAAAGGAAGGAAGGAGGGAAGGAAGGAAGGAAATGAAGGTCCCTTTTGTGGGACAGAGATGAGAAATCAAGAACCAGGTAATGTAGTCCTTATAGGGGAAGGGACTATAAGGTGACTTCACACAAGCCTCATCCTCTGAGACTAGCCTTGGAAAAGAAGCCAGCTCAGTCCTTGTGATACTGCCCCAAATCCTACAAAATGGCAAAGTGGGACTTTCCGTGTATCTTAAGTCTGACTCACACCCCGTTTCCAGTAATATATGAGCCACTAAGGGAAGGGATAGCTAATTTGTTCCTCAGTCAAGAAAACGTGCTTGGTTAGCAAACAGGGAAGCAGGGGAGTACAGGCACAGAGAGACAGAACAGCTCGGAGACACAATTAAAAAGAATGGTCTAGGCCACATCTTTAACCCCAGCACTCAGGAGGCAGAGGCAGGTGGATCTCTGAGTTCCAGGCCAGCCTGGTCTTCAGAGTAAGTTCCAGGACAGCCAGGATTACACAGAGAAACCCTGTCTCCAAAACACACACACACACACACACACACACACACACACACACACACACACACACGGTCTAAAGACTACAGATGCAAGCCCCAAACCTCTTGAACATTTGTACATTTGTGAGTTGAGTCATTTGAGGGGAGCTAAGGAGATGGCTCACCCTGTTAAATGCCTGTTACACAAGCAAAAGGACCTGAGTTCAGATCCCCAGCACCCACGTAAAAGCCAGGTGTGGTCCAATTTGTCTGTAACCCTAGTATTGGGGACTGGGTAGGGGGTAGAGTGAGTAGGACCCTGTAGTTTGCTGGCTAGCCAGTCTAGCCAGTCAGTGAGTTCCCAACTCCGTAAGACACCCTGCCTCAAAAAATCAAGGTGGAGGGATCTGATGACGTAGCTCAGTAAGTTAAGTCACATGCCACTAAACCTGAGAAACTGAGTTTGATCCACATGGCAGAAGGGAATAACAAGCTCTAACACAAGGGTGCTCATACATACCCACACCCCTATTCTCTCTCTAAATAAATAAATGCAACAAAAATAATTAATGATAATAAATAAGGCAGAGAACAATGGAGGAAGACACCAGATTCATTCCCTGGCCTTTATTCAACAGCGCCCACTACAAAGCACACATGTGTGAACACACATACAGCAAAAAAATATTCGGATCCCTTTGAGTATTAGGTGGAAGACTATGGTCATCACTTCCTCAAGAACCCATTAGCGCAAATTTTACAGGAGGCTCTGAGACTCCCAGTGGTCTCTAATGAGACCCCTCCACTGAAGCATTATAAATATCCAGTCCGTGCTCACCAGGCAGTGCTAACTAGGCACAGCCTGCAAAGCTAAAAACTTTTTGTCTCAAAGCAACCACCCAACCTTGCCTCCCTTGCCCTGTGGCTCACCTGCCTCAGTTTGGCTCCTGGGAGGAATCAGGACAGCCGAGGGTCTAAGATGTGGCCAGAAGAAGACCAACCTGTACAGGCCTGTTCCTGCCTGAGATGTGTCTGGGAACCTGGGAAGTGGCTTGGAGGAGTGCCACTCCCAGTACCAGCCAGCAGTGGTCCAGCCTGCTAGAGGGGTAGGAGCTTACAGGCGAGCTGGGTGTGAACTAACCTCAAGACACTAAGCAGCTAAAGGAATGGTCTGACTGCAGGCAGCCCAGCTGGCTGCCCTGGGGTCTCAGAAAGGTGTGTGTGTGTGTGTGTGTGTGTGTGTGTGTGTGTGTGTGTGTGTGTGTGTGTGTGGTGACCAGAGAGAAAGGACGGGAGCCAGATGTCATAGACAAAGCAGAGACCAGAGCAGAAAAATTACACCAAAGGGGAGGGATCAAATACAGAATAAGGAGAAAAAGGAAAAACAGGACCAGAAAGCAATAAACAGGGCAGAAGGGACTTTGAGGACCCAATGGAAAAAGATAAATCCAAGGACACAGAAACTGAAATGAGAAGACACAGTAAGGGAGGGTCGGGAAAAATGGAGACCTTGCCTCACCCTGCAGACTGCAGGACACAGGACAAGTAGTACATATGCCTCTCCATCTACCTCACCCTGTGCAAGAGGCTCTGTAACCAGGGTTCCTTTCCTCTTTCTGACAGAGGAAAGCGTCCATGACTCTTTCTCTGGCTACCCCTTGCCCTTCTCCATGCCAGTTCCCAGAGAACATTTGAGCACAACCTATGCAAGCCATTTTGTGGGCAGAGAGGTAGGCAGGGCTCCCTGCCTGTAGGAAGACTGTTCCTGACCCTTTGGTATGGAGCCAGGGCCAGGTATGCCTGCCTTTATGCTACGCATTCCATTTAGATGAGGAATTTGGCCTGTGGACAGGTAGTGGTGGCCCAGCTCACCATGTCCTTGCTTGCTCTTCTGTACACGGGAGCACTCTGGAGCTCTCTTCCTACTACCTCTGGCTTTTCTCAGCCCCCTCCCTCCAAGCCCGGCCAGCTACCTCCAAGCCCAGCCCCCTCCCTCCAAGCCCGGCCCCCTCCCTCCATGCCCAGTTCTTCTGTTTCTCACTCCCCACATGGGCCAAGTTCAGGACCATGTTCCAACCCACTCAGTTCTGACATCACAGAGGTTTCACAGTCCTGAACCATCAGCTATCCTGGCAAGAAAGTAAAGTTTGCTGGAACTGGAACATCTACACCCTGGCTTCTGGCGGTCAGCCATCCGACTTGGGTCACCAGGAAGCAAACGCCTGGCTGCCTACTCACCCGACTCAGGCCCATGCAGCAGCTGCTCTTTTCCAGGTCCAGTGACTCTAGGAGTTCCTCCACAGCCTGAGGAGAGAAAGGCTGCCATCAGACCCGCACAGGCTCTCCCTGTCTCCATGCACTGGGCCCTCTCTGGGTCCCTCCTAGAAAGCCCGTCATTTCTTCCACAAGCCCCTTAGGTAGTTTCCGTGGTGCCAGCCACTATGTCCACTCTGGGGACCAGACTGGGTTGCTGGAGAGCAAGACAAGTGACGTATATAAAAAAGCCACGGGACGTCGGGAGTGGGCTGTGAAGCCCCCAGAGGAGGACGGCTTGGCCTGAGAATTTAGCTACCAGTTATGCCCCCAACTGGAGCAAAGGCCTGGGATCACAAGAGGAGAGTACATGTTGTAAGAGTGAGGGGGCGGGGAGAAAAGTGCGGCCAAGGTGTGGGGAGCCCTGTGTGCCTGGTTCACTCAGGAAGGGGCAGAGCCGGATCCAGAGAGGTCACCCACAAAAGCAAGCGGGGACTATAAGGAGAAGAAAGGCTTGAGAGGCAAGAGCATGAGCGCTCTGAAAGTGCTCGGTGTGGGGTAAGAGACGCAGAGACCCAGAGGCAGCTAGAGAGGAATGCAGGAGAAAGGTCTGGCTGAGGCATCGATCTGGGTCAGTCAGTGTATATGTGGTAATTGAAGTGATGGGTGTGAATGAGGTTGGCCAGGAAGAGAGACTAGAATAAACCAATGCGCAGAGTATTGGAGAATGCGGGCTTTCCTGAAGCAGTGAGGGGGACTGAGGAGGGCAGGGAGAGGGAAACAGCGGCGGCAAAGGAGGCAAGCAGGAAACATTCCAAAGTATCAGAGCTGTCGGCAAAGTCACATATCAAGAACACCAGGAACAACCAGGTGGGTGGCGCACACCTTTCCTCCCAGTACTTGGGAGGCAGAGGCAGATGGATATCTGTGAGTTCTAGGCCAACCTGGTCTACATAGTGAGCTCCAGGAAACTTGGGACTACATAGTGAGACCTGCCTTTTAGATGGAGGCTGCTATCTATCTGTGGAACCACTAACCAAGAAAAGAGCCAGGAGGGAATGGATTCTAAGCCACAGAGGAAGGAACTGCCCCAAAATGGCTCACCTCTACCTGTTCCCACCAAGGCAGGATGGGGGATGGGAAGAAGGGGGATGATGAAGAGACATATGAAAAAGGTAGAAGCCAGGCCCTTGATTTCGTTAGCTCAGAGTCAAGGTCATATGCTGGGAAGATGACCTGGGAAGGCAGGGAAGGGGAGGAGGAGATTTGAGGAGAGAGACGGGGAATGGAGTGGCAGACGAGGAGCTTGGCGACATGGCCATGTAAGGAAGGACATGCAGGAGACTTATTAGGCCATGCCAAGGGCCCACCTAAGGCTGAAGACCACAAACCTGTGTGGATTTAAGTCTAGAGAGTTGTATAGCTTGTTTCCATAGCTCTTGGGAGTCTAATATGAAGAGTGCAGCCACGCGAGAGCTGGCTCTTCAGGGTAGAGGTGAAATAGAGCTGTGGGAGGCTAAGGAGAATGAAGTGCTGGGTGGGTTGGGCCACAGTGTCAAGGCTATGAGGTAAATGACTGGCAAGAGAGAACAGATTGGGTCTAGATTTGAAAGGTCTCTCTGAGTCCAACAGCAGACTTCCTGAGCAGAGGACACTACAGATAGGATGCCGTGATCAGAGAGGTTCATGTAGAAATGACAGTCTGAGAAGGACAGCATTTCCAAGGAAGAAATCTGAGGCTTCCATGAATGTTTTTCTGTGAGTCAGAGGCAAGGGGTAGAAGATGCAGGGACAGACTAGGCAATGCTGTGGGCTTTCCTTCCCCGGGCTACAGGGTACCCTCCCTTCAGGGAAGCCTCCTAAGGACTGAGGTGCTTTCAGAGTCAAGCTGGAAGCCTGAGGCCAATGCTCAGGGGAGGAGGTCTCCTCTATTCAAGGAGCCTTTTGGCTGCCTGAGGAATTGGGGTCAAGGTAGCAGTGTAGAGTGATAAAGATGCTTCTGCAGTCAAGAGTTCACAGACTTATAAGCTCCAGGCACCAAAGTAGACTTGCCATCAGCCTCCTCCTAGGAAGGATGCTTGCCCAGCTCCAGATAGCTTCCTACTTCAGGAACCAAATCCTGCCATGGAAGCCGTGGCTGAAGGACCCAGATGCCATCAGGGGGATACCCAAAACAATAAATCCTAGTCATCTGCTTGGGAGGTTCTGGCATGTATACTCAGTGTGACTGTCTGGCTTCCTAAAGCACAGGCGCCCAAATCTCTGGCCTACAGTAACAGCGGTTCCTCCCCAGTCTCTGCAGCTCATGCCCTGAGCCACCTTCGCGCTGCCACAGTGTTGTGTCTGTGTCCTAACCCTGGCTGGCTGGAACTCTATAACCTTGAGCAAGAGCCAGCCTGCAGTATCTAGGAAAGATGGTCAGAGGGCTCCGAGTGAGTGAGGGGACAGCAAAGATCCTGGAGACCCAAACTTACCCGCTTCTCATCCATCACTATGTAGTTGCGCCCATGTTTCTTGGTCAGGTGTGGAGCCAGGACATCAAAGCGACGGCGGAACTCAGAAAACACCATGTGGTCTGGGTAACCTGGAGACAGAACCAGAGCCAGACCCATCAACACCTTGCCTGACTGCATGAGCAGGGTGGGGGATGGAACAGGCAGGTCCAGAAAGGACAGACCATCAGAGCTGTTCCATAATAGGATATGAAGGCTTTCACTCAGGGTGTGGCCTTAGGTTCCATTCCCAACATCAGAGAGAGAGACAGAGACACAGAGATACAGAGAGAGACAGACAGAGAGAGAGACACACACACAGAGGGGGGGGAGGAAAGGGGGGTGGGAGGAGAAAGGGGAGGATGGAGGGTATGTGGCTTAGAAGTGTCCTTCGCAGTCAAGGTCACATGGCTGTAAGGAGCTGGGTCCAGATTCCAGGCCAGCCCCCGCATCTTTCTTTAGCCATACTCTGACGTCCTATTGTTTTTCCTTATTGAGTCTTCAAGGTTTCAGTCTCTGTATTATCAGTCATGCTCTTGGGAGGGTAGAAAGCATCCTAAAGTCACCTAGACCTCCCTGCCACCCCCCCATCAGCTGTCCTCCCTGATCTTCATTTGGAGGCCTTACTGAGTGGGGGCTCCCTTCTCCATCATGAGCTAAAGCACACTCCAGGCCCATCTTTACCTTAAACAGGGACCCTGGACCTCATTCCACATGGTAGTCATGGAGACCAATTCAGAAAATACATAGTGAGCACAGCTTGGCTCACTTGGTGAATTCTCAGAGAAACAGGATTTCCCCCTCTCCTGTCTCCCGAAGCACGGTTACAGAAAGAACTCCCTCCTTGTCCTACCTTCTTGACCTTGAGTTTAAGGCTAAACGACCAAAACCCTGAAATTCTCTTTTCCTAAAGTGTGTCTGGGCTTGAGGTCAAGGGAAGGGTGAGATGGCTTCTGGCTTGGAACAAGGTCAGAACAGTGGATGGCAGGAAGTGACCCCAATTGAACTGATCTCACCAGGGACCACAGCGGGGACTGAAAGACTGCAGCATTTCAAGACAGAAAGGGATTCCAAACAGAGTTGCTTCAGTTTTCAGCCAAGGAACCTGAGGCCTGAGACTGGAGCCATTGGGTTGCCCAAGGTCCCAGTGGCTGTGGTCAGAGGCAGAAGTGGAGTTCACACCTGGGCTGCTGACAGCCAGCTGGGGGCTTGCTCTGGCCAGCAGCTCTGGGAAACCCTCCAACTGGGAGATGAGGGCTGATGCATGTGCCTGATAATTGAAACAGGAGGCGGGGGCTGCTGAGAGGCCAAGACAAAGTGAGCTATTGATTCTATCTGAATTGCAATTAAATTGATGGGCCAGGATAGCAGTCTGGACGCCTGGCATCTTAATTAATCATCAGAGCTATCGATGGTGGCTGGGGGCCGGGGAAGGGGAGGCGGCTGCCGTTGGCCTCATCGATCTGCTTGTTTGAGTAAAGCACATTGATTTTGGTTCAGAGCGGTAACAATCTGGTTTTGAAATAATAAACACCAACTCCATATCAAGACATGGGGACAGATCGATGATTTATTTAGAACGGGGTAGGGAGCCTGCTTCCTGGCTTTCGCTGCTGAGGAAAAGCGAGGGTATCCATGGGGATATCTCAAGGGTACCTGTCTGCAGGTGGGTAGGACCCAGCCTGCGCTTCTCGCTGACGGGGAGGGGGAAAAAAAGAGCAGAAACCTGGCAATTTCTAACTTCTCAGCTCAAGAGGCCTGATGAGACAGCCTGGCTGGAATCCAGCTCAGCCACTGGGTGACCCTGGGCATGCTCCTTAGCCTCTGCGAGCCTTCCTCCTTATTTAGGGATGATAAAAGGTACCACCTCACAAGGATGGATGCTGTGAATTAAAATATGAAAGAGCTGGGAATAGCACCTGGTGGGCCATAAATATTTTATGGATGACAACTGCTACTACTGTCATCCTTGCTCCCTCCTGAAGCTGGGTCCATCAAAAGGATCTGTCTGACCTTTCTTGGGAATTTTAAGTACTTCCAAGAGATTTAGCACCTGCTTTCCCCGTGGGTAGATGGTGCTGGAAGGGCACTGAGTCTTCTGTCTACTGCCACGGGCTGAGTCGACCCGCCTACACTAGGGATGATGGGCAAGAAGAGTCACGAGAACAAACGTTTGGGATGGTCTGTGTGCGCGTGTGCACACATGTGTCTGCATATGTGTGATGTGTGCGTGTGTACACATGCACACAAGCACAGGCAAGTGTAGGACTAAAATGAGAAAGGGAGAGGGGGAAGAAAAGAATCCCCGAGTAGAAAGGAATAAAGCACCAGGGGAGCTGGGGATGATGAGCAGAAAGGACCTTCAGAAGAAAGGGACCTCAAGCCAGTCCCCAGAAGGACAGCAGCAGGATGGGACCTGGCAGCTCCGGAAAGAGCACCGGAACTTGGCTGGGAGGGAAGGTGCCTCACCTTGGCGGTACATGCGCATTGCATCAAGCAGGCGGGATCCCCGAAGCTGGGCACGGAGCAGGGACACATCCAGCTGCAGCAGCCCAGCCTCACAGGGGTCTCCCGGGGGCAGGTCCAGCTCACTGCTGCTGCTAACTCGGCGGGAAGAGGCAGACCTGGGTTCTCCAGGCCAGCCCTCAGCCACAGGCAGGAAGCAGTGCACAAAGTGCATCTTGGACCTCTTTATGGTGTCAATGAGGGCATCCTGCCAAAGGAAAAGGGACCAACCTCAGTGCTCTGATGTCTAGTATCCCAGAAAGCTAGCATCTCCATTCTTCATGGGGTAGCTGCTGGTCTGCCACCTGTTAGGACACTGCTGAGCCCGGACATCTCTGTGCCCTCCTGCCTGGCTGGCCGGTCATAGTAGCAGCACCAAGAAGGCAACCCCACCAGCAGTGATCAAAACAGGTGGATCTGGGTGGCACTGATGCCCTGAGGGCACTGAGTGTCTACCTGCCAGGAGAAAGAGGCCTGGGCTTTGCAGGACACTCACCACTTGCAGCTTAATCTGTATGCACAGAGACTTCTTCTTGACAGCTGCCATGCCAGTGGTAAAGGTTTTCCTCATGCTAGTCGCCCGGCGCAAGGCCAGCTGGGAGCCGCCCTCCAGACCCGCGATAGAGCCTGAGAGCACCGTGGCACTGCCTGCCCGGCCTAGAAACAAGTTGCTGATGATCTTTCTGTAAGAGAAGCAAGGCCAGAAAAGGAGTTAGAACACGGGACAATAAAAGCTGTATTGCCACACACACACACACACACAATATGGCTGTGGCCAGGGCCTGGGCCATCTTTGCTAGGGCAGTATGTCCTATATCCTACAGCAAAACTAGAAGAAGAGAAAAACCCAAGACAGACAGAAGCCATGCAGGCAAGGATTGGGCAGCGGGAGCAACCCATTCCTCTTCCCCGCCAGTGGGGGCAGAAGACAGTGTTCCTAATATACAGCTCAATACACTATATAATTAATCTGTGTTTCATCTCTTGTTCATTACCTCTTGCACTAGAATGTCAACTCCATAGGGCAGGGGTGTGTGCTCTCTTCCCTGCTAGCTGCCTAGCACCTACAAGTCCCTATCTACAGAGGAAGTATCCACTAATCTATGACGTAAACGAATGGATGATAGTGCTTATGTGATTTCTGGATTTTAAAAGAATTTTTTTAGTTTCTAAATCTTGTTGAGGGGTCTGAAGAGATGGCTCAGCAGTTCCAAGTGCTAGCTGATCTTGCAGAGGATCCAAGTTCAATTCCCAACACCCATGTTAGATGGCTCACAACCACCTGTGACTCCAGCTCTGGAGGATCTCCAAAGCACCCCATATATTCATAATTAAAAAAATAAGATCTTGCCTGGTGGGCGGTGGTGCCCACCTTTAATGCCAGCACTTGGGAGACAGAGGCAGGCGGATCTATGTGAGTTTGAGGCCAGACTGGTCTACAGAGTAAGTACCAGGACAAGCTCCAAAGCTACAGAGGGAAAACCAAAAATAAATAAATAAAATCTTTTTAAAATGTAGCCAAGGATGAACTTGAACTTCTGGCTCCCTTGTTTCTAATTTCTGAGTGCTAAGGTTATAGGTGTGTGTCACCAAGTTTGCTTTGCTTTCTCTAAAGAGAATGAGGGAGCTGTTCAAACTGAAAACTACAGGCATCTCTAACCGTCTGCCTCCCATTTCTATTTCTGACGCGAGTCCTGTGTCTCCAAGGCCACACAGCCTTGACTGTGGTCTCTCAGGGACTAGAGGCTTATCTGTCTTGCTGGATGGGCCCCTGACATATCACCAGAGGAAGGGGACCCAGAGAACAGTTGTAGGAAGAAGATATGAGATGGCCTTACTTCTGGGAATCCTGCAGGAGCCGGGATGCATTCTGGGTAGCTGGGTTCTGCTTGGTATAGTTCAGCCAGCCAGACACATTGTACTCCACCCAGTTGGTACCATGGCTGTGGCCCAGGAGAAAGTGCCGTGGTTTGCTGCTGCGCAGAAGAGGGCTCTGGCCTGAGGGTATGTGAAGTAAAGTTCAGATCACCAGGGCACAGACACAGACACACAGCTAGAGAGTGCCACCTAGCTCTTCCAAAGCAGGACTGTCCTCCAGACACCACCTACCTTTTTTGTCTCCTTCCTGGGGGCCGTAATAGGAGAAAAGACGGTCGAGGAGAGTATCCTCGGTGGCACCCGGCACCAGTGCCTCCTCTTCCAGCAGCCATAGTAGCCCCCTTGCCTCATCAGCATGGGCCAGCGAGCGGACCTGTGGACAAGGGTAAAGAGGCAGTTTAGCCACATGGAGCTAAGTACACCATTAACAGCTACAATCACACTCAACAGCGTGGCTCTGGCTGCTCACTACTGACACCTTGTGGAAGAGATGGGCATAGAAGGGAAACTAGCTGAGAAAGACTTCTAAGAACTCACCATAAAAGATGGTTGCTGGGACTTGGGGTCCACAGGTACCCAAGACCGAAGCTTCTTCTGACCTATACCCATACTCAGAGCTTCTCCTTAATCTTTACCCCCTCAGAGGGCACAGGAGTGAGGCCAGCTGCATACTGCCCTCACTTCCCAGCAGATTCCCTAGGACAAAGTCTATGCTCGGCAAAAGCTCCTGGGGGCCTTCTCTGTTTATTTTAGAATAGGGTGTGACTATGTGGAACTGGTCGGCCTCATACCCATAGAGGTTGATCTGGCTGTGCCTCTAGAGTGTTGGGATTAAAGGCATGCCCACCACACTCAGCTTCAGAGAGGGCTCTTAATAAACCATGGCTGTGGAGTTAGCATTGGTCCCCATGGGCAGAACCCAGAAAGTGCCCAGATCGCTGCTGGCTATAAACTCAAGGACCAAAACCCTGAGGCAGGTGACTCTTGATGGAGGTAGTGACCAATAGAAGCAGAATGGGGGAAAAGCTGGGTATGTCCCCACCTGAAGGGAAAGAATGACCGAATGCCACTCAAGCAGAAGCAGACTACTGTCTCGGAAAAACACAACTAGTGAGTGTTGAGTCTCTCTCTCTGTCTCTGTCTCTGTGTGTGTGTGTGTGTGTGTGTGTGCGCACACATGCATGTGGAAGCCAGAGGTTAATGATAGGTGTCTTTCTCAACTTGCCTCTACTGTGTATACTGAGACAGGGCCTATTGCTTGAGCTGATCAATTTGCCTATTCTAGATAGCCAGGTTGCTCTAGGGATCCCCGTCTTTGCCTCCCAGATTAATTCCAATTTTCATTCTCATGCTTACACACAAGAGCTTTACCCTGCGAGCTACCTCCAGGTCACTAAGCCTCTGGTTTTTTCAAGAGAAGGTGGAATTCTGCTTCCTAATACCCCATGAAGACTTAATAAACTAGGCCTGTGCCACATCTGGCCTGGAGGTGCCCCCCCCTCTATGTGTGTGTGTGTGTGTGTGTCTCCCTTGTCTTCTTTAGGCAGGAAGAACTGCCCACACCCCATTATTGCTTGGCTTCTAGGGCCTGGCAGACAAGAAAAATAAGAAAACCGCTATTTTCCCTCTCTTTCATCTACTGCCTTTATCTTCTCCCCATAGAAGTGGTTATGACGCCTAGAAGGCCAAGGGCCAGTGGGTGGTGACAGTATTCTAGTAGCTAGAGATGAACAGCAGGAAGGCTCCCAGAACCATTAAATAGCAGAAACCTAAGAGCAAGGATGACTGATTTGCAGCCTAACACACGTCTGCCCCCTGGTGTTCATGGAACACAAGGACAACTTCCTTCCATCTGAAGATGGCAAAAACTCTGCAGGGAGCCAGGTGTCAGTAACAGGAAATCTATCAATTCATCCATCTTCCCTGGAGAGCCTGTTGGGGCTTTAAGCATTTGAGCCCATGCCTGTGCTAGCCCAGTAGGGCCTCACTGCAAGGCAACAGAAAGAGCCTAGAGGGAGGAACCTCCGTCGAACAAGAATTCTGCTGCCCAGCATAAATCTCTGTCCACAAAAACCACAGGCTGCAAATCCCAAAACTGAAGGCAGTCACCAAAAGCAAGTACTCCTTAGGCCAGCCAGTACCCCGGGCAATGGGGTATCCAAAATACTATCATCAAGGAGACAGCTTGTTCCCAAGGTTGAGGAATGAAGGCTAACATCCTTGTCTGCCCCTCTTGGGACATTTTAGATCTGACACCGTTTCCCTGTTCAAGGGTGCTGCGGCCACCTTACCCAGACCCTGGTGGATTGTGGGAAGGAATGACTATATCCTCTAGATTTGGATTCTCACCCCCCATCCAGCCCACAGATGCAGACATCAGGCCTTGGGGCAGATACACTGAGGGCTCAGGCAGGCTCAAAACAGGGTCTGAGCCTCAGGTAGCAAGAGAGAAGGGACATTTTCTTGAGTGGGTGGGACTCTGGATTGCGGTTCCCCACTCACTAGGCAGGGGAGTGTGTCTGTCACCTTCCCAGAGAGACTGAGTGCCCAAGGGTAGAGCCCTGTAGTCGAGCAGTGCATGACATGTGGGTGTGACCCTTCCTCAGCCCACAGTGGCAGCTCCAGCAAGCCGCTCAGTTGGGAGGGATCTAGCAGAGGCAGAGGAGCGGGAAAGAGTTGAGGATAGTCCAGGCATCCCTGGACTTCCTACCAGGGACTGGTGGGAAGCTTGGTCCACAGCAGCCACTGAGTCGTCTGTGGCCGGCTCCAAGTCTTCAAATGCCAGTTCGATGTTCTCCTAGGAAGGAAGGAAGGTGCAACAGTAATACTCAAGGGGCCACAAAGAGTATTCGGCCACAGGAGCAGACCAGGCAGGGCCTCTGGGACAAATCCAATGCCTCCTCTCCATGCAGGGGCCCCCTAAACTACCCCAAAGGACAAACTGCTCACTGCCTCCCAAGGTAACACTCAGTCATTTTTGACAGCTAAAATTCTCATAATCTTAAACCACAGTTGCAGCCTGATGTTATTTGCAGCAGTTGATTAGGCAATACAGAATAAGGCCTCTCTCCATTTCACACAATCATCCTTAGAGCTCATGAAGACAGAGTCACATCCCTCCCTCCCTTTGGGGGCTTCTCTTAATCAAGACAAATACCCTCTCTCTACAGGAGGAAGAAATTCCAGAACTCAACCCATCCCAGAGACCTCTTCAGGAGGGACTCAATAGCTAGCCAACATCTAAGCCTTAGATTCTAAGAGACCTGGGGAAAGAGGCACCAGGCCCACCTTGAGGCAGAACTGCACTGTAGTAATTCATAGACTGAAAGTGGGACAGACCACAAAGATGAAGAAAAGGGAGGCCTCAGAATATGCCTTCAGCTTCCTGGAGCACAGGCTGCCCGCAAAGTAAGGGCACAGCCAAGGTCCAGGACAAAACTCCTGCTCCAGAAAACAGGGAGGGCAGAAATGAAGGGGGCAGAGAGCTGGGAATTAGTGTTGCACGTGTGCAGATGCCCTGGCCAGGACGCCTTGGCCAGAAGGTGAGGCAGAGTTGGGTTTGGGCAGCTACCTACCTCCTTGTATCTTTCCAACTCCTGCAGGAAGGTACGCTCATGAAACAGCCTCTGCAGCCTGTCTTGGGCATAGTTGTGACACAGTTCCTCGAAGGAGGCTCCACGGGCTGACCCACCCCGCTCAGGGTTCTGGAAGCCTGGTGTATCCACAATCATCATGGAACAGAGCGAGTGCTGGCTGGACTTGAGAGCCCTTAGCGGGAAGAGTCTGAGTCAGAGCTGGATGGGGTATTACCATACACTGGGCCCCACTGCTCTGCCCCTGCCCAGGGCCCCCTCACCTGGCTTACAGTGAGTCTCTGGTGGCAGAGGACAGCCCGGCCTAAGTCGCCACATAAGCATCAACCCCATTTTTACTAAAGCAGAAAGTGGTGCGCCTCTGGGTTCCACTTGACACTTACCTGTTTACCAGAGAGATGAGGAGGGTAAAGAGCTCGCTGTAGAGGCCAGATGCCATGCCCTCTAAGCACTCCATAGCACTCAGTTTAGGACCTATGGAACAAGAGGAGGAGCAGTTGTAGCTTCAGTCCTTGGGGCCACCCCCACCTGCCCAGGAATGTTCTCTACCCACATCATCAGCATTCTGGGGCTATTGCACTGGAAACATCTATTCACTCATAGCCCCTCCCACCTCTAGGATGGCAACAAGTCCCAGGCAAGGCCTTCCAATCCTACTCATTAGCCAAGGGGCCCCAGGTACCTGTGCCATCTCCCAGGCCGCTCTCCTCAGGGCCCTGACGGAAGGAGGTGGAACGTTGCAGGGTACCACCTTTAAGTTGATGCTTAAAGATAGCTGAGGATAGCTCTTCAAGGCTGCAGCCCAGCAGATATGCGGCTTTCTGGGCCCACTCATGGCGGGCAAACTGCTTACGTCCAGCTGTGGGGTAAGGGTTTTAAACAAAACAAAAGATTTAGCATCTTAGGCTCTTCTTAAGACAACTGAAAACCACTGAGACTTTTGGTACCCTCACCCCACAGGATGGGGGAGTTGGCATCTTCCTGATAACACTACTTGAGCTTGACATGGGAACAGAACAGCCAGCAGCTGCCAGCTTTTCCAGAGTCCCTTAGGGGTAGAAAGAAGAGAGGTCCTAAATTAGGCACTAACTTCACTGCTGCCACTAGAGGGCACACAATCAGTTGCAAAATCCCTTTAATCCAGAGGTGTACAGCTTGAGTTGGATGAGGACAGGGTCAGAGGATGAGGAGGCCCACCCTGCAGGAGCACTAGAGCCATGTGTGCCTGTGGGGTTTAGCAAGAGAGAGCAACTGCACCTGTCCCTTCCCCGGATACATTAAGACACCCCAGCCCCTAAGGGAGACCATAGACACCTTAATGGCTCAACAGTGGGGAGGCAACTGAGCCGCAGGGGAAAGGGAACAGCCCACACAGACAAATGCGCCTGAGCCAACATGTGCCTAATCATAGCAATTAGGGAAAGCTAACAAGAAACAAGGTTTTTACCTTCAGCAGCTTCTGTAAGGCAAAGGACCAGCATGCAGCATGCAAAGAAAAACAGTGTGTTAGCAAACAGTCATCAACTGAGCCCGCCAGGCTCTTGGGAAGGGACTGCGGGAGGTAAGGGCTTATGAAGATGAGCAGGCAAGAAAACACAGTCATATTTGGCCCTGAGATACAAAACTACATAGTCTCAAAGGAATGTGCTTGTGGATGTCATCACACCGACAGAAAAGAGACACAAAAGATGTCCTACCGTATAGGTGGGCATACACACATACCATATGCACACACACTTATGCACACACGCAAACGCATAAACACACAAGTATGCATGAATACACACATACACACACAAATACATAGAATACACCCACACACGCGCGCACGCGCATCCATTGGAGACACTACAAATTTAGGAGAGAGAGACGCTGGCCAACACTCAGAGCATTCCATCTGCGGTCACAACTGAGAGGGATCAGAGGAAACTCTGGGCCTGATTCCTCAGAACACAAGAACTTCTCTCCAGACACAATCACACGCCTTCATACTCTCTTGCCCAATAGTCTGCTTCTTGATGTAGGTGTCATCTACTGGTATCATAAAGACCAGACACCCGACATTTGTTCCCGCATGCACCCACAGCCACCCATGCTCCCCAACTCCTGCAAAGCAGTCCTCACTTTGTCACATCTCCAAGAAGACAGAGCAAAAGCCAGAAGTGTTGTCCAGATCCAGCACCCTTTTTTCCAAGGCTAGAGGAAAAGGGGGTGAGGGCTGCTACAGTCGTGGTCCTTCAGTGCAATATCCAAGGAAGAGAACAATTCTTCCAAGTCAGATTGTGCCCAGCCCTCCACAAGCATGGATCCCAAGCGCAGAAGCTAGCATCCAGCCAACACCAGGTGCCTGCTGCCCCCTCGTGACCTCCACCTTGACATGCAGGAGAAACGGCAGCAACTACCAAACCAGTGGATTGAAAGATGGGGAAACTGGTCTCAGGAAGCCCCAGGTTATGGATGCAGAATGGGAAGGAGAAACTGATATTCTGGGGGCTCTAAGAAGTTGCAAAGCTAGCAACTCCTCTTCTACCCTAACATAGGGTATCTCCTTAGACCAGTTCCCCCATGAGTTTGAGCCCAGTGCCTAGAAGCCCAGAGAAGCACCAAGATGGTCAAGCAGGTCCCTACACCCCAAGGTACACCAAGATCAGTTACCAGCTTGCTCCTCAAGGGGCTCTATCAGGAAGGGAATGAGAAAGACAGTCACTCGGATGCTGCTCTGAGGGAGTACCTTCCATCCCTCAACCCCACACCCCAGCCCCCACTCGCTGCTCGCTGTGGTCTGTCTTGACAGCTAAGGCCAAGCCTCAGGCAATCATGGGCAGATACGTTTTTCTAGCCTTCTGCTCAGATGTGGAAGACTGAGATGGTACAAGCCATAGCATGCATAGGGAAGGGGAAGGTGGTCTGGGACAAGAATGAACCACACAATTGGGTAGGAACCACCAAGGCATTCTGGATAACAGGCCAGGCTGCCCATTACCTTTGGTAGCTCCGGCAGCCCCCAGGTGGTAGATGGAAGCCAGGATGAGCCAGCAGGCCTTCTGTTCCTCAGGGGAGATGGCCAGCACCTTCATGGCCGTCTGTAGCTTACTGAACTGCTGAGCAGCTTTCTGCTTCTCCTCAGGCTAGGAGGTAAATGGGAATGCTGTCTCTGAACCTCTGATGCCTCACTTCCAGCATTCCCCATACCACTGGACCCTCTGGGACAGGGCCATGCTAGACCCACCCCTGGGGAACCACCTGCCAATGGAGGCTTCTAGTCCCAGAGCCACCAACTCAGTCCCCATAGCCCAGCTCTCACCTTGGCCAACGGCACAATTCCAAACACATTGTTCTCTGCCAAGTGGTTCAGGTGGAGCTCTGTCCTAGGGGTACAAATGAGGCATCAGCATGAGGTTTGGCCCCCAGGCCACGGGCTCGCTCTCAGGGTGATGACTAATCACAGCTTCCAGACTACATCCTATCTGCCCATCACCCCAATCATCCAGTCCGATCTGCCACCTTCCTAACTGGACTGGATGCCTCAGCAGGACAACGGGTGTAGTCAGAACCCTGGGAAGGAGCTGGGAGCCTGCCTGAAGGGCACATGTAGGCAGGCCAAACAGCGTCTCTGCTGTGAAAGGAGCTGGAGAGGAGGCCTGGAGCTTGAGCAGGGAGCCAGTCTGAAGGCATATATGGAAGAACATGGCAGGGACATCCAGTGGGGCAGGGCGGGGGGGGGGGGGGGGTTGAGGGCCAGCTGGAGGGGACTGGAGGAGGCTTGGCTTCCACACCAGCTCAGCTTACAGAGGCTGTGAAACTGCAGACAAGCCATACCACCTTCATCCAGGTGAACTTCTTCCCCAGACCCAGAGATCTCTCAACACTGAGGAGCCAGTTGTGTCCCTTTTCCACAGCATGACCCCAAGATTTAGGGCCAAGTAATTCCTAAATGGCAAACCTAGTATCTATCGTCTCACCATCCGGAGGCCCAGCTTGGAGCGAGCAAGCAGCAGGTAATGGACCTAGTCAGTGGAGTCCCGAGTCCCACTGGAGCACCCCATCCCGTCTCACCTGAGGGTGCTATCACCACAGGCCAGCAGGTAGTAGAAGACATTGAAAGTGGCCTCGCTGGCTGGGCGTCGGGCCACACGCAGCTTCTCCAAGAGCATCGTCTGTGGCATAGCATAAATGAGGAAGATGGTCATACTCCTCCTATGCCTCAGCAGTGAGAACCAGGACCTGGTCCTCCAGCCCCACAGAACCCTCAGACTTACTATCCAGGCACTCAACTACCTACTACTTCCAAGGCCAGAAAAGTTAGAAACCAGAGCCAGGAAAAGAAGAAAGTCCCCAACTCCTGGAACTACCATGCTTAGTACCAAGGAACCAGCCTTCCTTGGGTGATGGATGCTTATGGCAGAAAATTTCATTTAGGGGATGGCATGATAGTTTAGCAGACAAAAACGCTTGCTACCAAGCCTAACAACCTGGATTCAATCCCCAGGACCCACAACAAAGAAATGACTGACTCTAGCAAGTTGCTCTCTGACCTCCATATATGTGCCATGGCATGTGGATGTATGTGCATATACACACATACACACACACAAATGAATAAATGGAATTTTTAAAAAAGAAATGTTATTCAGCATGGCAAAGGACTGGTGTGCCTGGGCCTTACTTTATTGACAAGTGTGCAACACTAGCCTGAGAGAAGTCCTAAGTCCCCGGGTCTTAGAAAGTTGGCAGAGAGGGTGGAGTTCCCAGCAGTAGGGTGTGGGGAGGAGACGGGAAGGAGATCTGGAGGACAGGGTCAGCACAGACCAGCCCTGTCTATGCTGTTGTGGGCCTCCATTTCATCAGGGTGGAGTTCCAGGTTAATGGGGCATGAAACCAGGGGTCCATCTTGGCTCCTTAGGTCTGGGCAATGTCCTTTACCTGAATGGAGGCTGAGGCCACCTGGCCAGCTTGGTCAAAGTCCAGGGAGAGAATCTGGGAGAAGCGGGTGGCACTGCCATTCATGATGGTAGGGCTGTTCCCGAAGGCTTCCAGGAGGGTGTACAGGGCCTGCCACTTCTCCACTGCAGAGCACAGTCACAGGGGACATCAGGAAGACCAGGGACAGCTTACCTGAAAGCCATGGACTCCCAGATGCCCCAGACAACAATGGCCCAGGGTTTGGGGTATGTGAGTTCAGGGGGATAAGGAACCCAGGGATAATAGAGCCAGCATCCAGGAGAGTCGTCTTTCTCCTTTCCCCACACCCCTGCCTCGCCCCTGCCTGTCTTCCCAGTTGCCCCTGCCTCACCAGAAAACACCTTGCTCCCGCTGGTGCCAGCAATGGTGGCCAGATATTGCACTAGATGCTGGAAGCTGGTAGTCTTGCCACTGCCACTACTACCCAGAAGGACAATGGACTGGTCCTGGCGGCTCATCAACATTGCCCTATATGCAGTTTGGGCCACGGCGTAGATGTGGGGTGCCATGTCCTCCCGCCGACACCCCTTGAACATGTGCATCACCTTGAACAGGAAAGGCAGGGAGTGAAGGAGGAGGCTTTTAGGGCCAGGCACACCCAGTCAAACCTCTAGGGCTTGCATATTTCTGTACTGCCATTCTACAGATGCCCAGGTATTTTGAGGGCAAGGCCATGCATGGAGATGCAGATATCCACCCACTCTATTAAAGACTGCAGGATATCCTTCTGTCCCCACCCTTTGACTCCTCCCCCCAAGGTCAACAATGAGAGTGGGCAGTAACCCAGTGGGCACCAAAGAGGAAGAGCAGAAAGGGTAGGGCATGGGCAGGTAGGTCCATAGGAAGGCACACCTTTTCTGAGTACACAGCAGGGGCCCCTCTCGGGCTGAGGACAAGCAAGCTAGTGCCAGCATAAGTGTGTAGCAGGCTAGCCCCATAGCGCTGGCGCAGTGTGTGCAGGACGCTAGACTCGTTGAGGTACACCAGTGAGGCTAGATCTTCTAGCCGGTCACATGAGGGAGCATTAGCCTGGGAAGACAGACAATGAAGATGCAGATCCCATCTCCATCCCAGAGGACAGGCCTGCCCTGCCTGTGTCCTCCCCCTCCCTGGCCAGCAGCCTCCTTCCAACCTTCTCTATGTCATCTTCATCCACATCCAGGATGGCTCCATCGTGGTCTAGCTTCACACGCACCTTCCCCTCAGGTAGGCTGAGCTGCTCCGACTTGAGCTGGCTGGCTGCAGAGCAGGGATAGTTGGACTTGGGCCTGTGAAATTCTACTATTTTCCCTGGACCTTTGTGGTTCTGCCTTCTTCCCACTGGCTCACCAGCCTCTCCTTGCTCATCCCAGCCCTTACCAGAAGTAGAGGCATTCTCCTTGCCAGCCCTGAGTCTAGCCCTGCATTTATCCCAACCTCCAGAGACTCACCAAGGGAGAACCCATCCTTATGGACCAGCCACACCTTCTCCGTCTCATACCAGGCCTCTTCAGCTGCAATCTGGTCTTCTGTCTTGGCCTAGCAGAAGGAAGGAGGGAATAAACAGACACTGCATTAAAAAAGAGAGAGAGAGAGAGAGAGAGAGAGAGAGAGAGAGAGAGAGAGAGAGAGAGAGAGAGAGAGAGAGAGAGAGACGTGGACAGCAGGAATGAGGAGACAAGGGAAGAGAGGCTTCAAGCTGAGCCCTTGGGCATATAGGAAAGTCAGGAGGGAGCCTCAGGACATGGGGCTACGCAGGGAGGTGAGGTCAGGAAAGAGGGGTAGGGAGCCAGGAGTGCTGAGGACAAAGACAAAGAGATTAGGGATTATACCAACTTTGAGGGTCCAGGGACACAGGAGTACTGTGGCCAAGAGAACCAGCCCCAGGAAAGCAAGTCACCAGGCTCAGTCTCCGGCTGCTCTATCCCCTCCTCCCTGGGAGCCTGTGAGATCTGTACCCTGACTCAAGCCCTGAACTTTGGGCCACAGTCATGGGTTCTTTCATGCCAAAAGAAAAGCCTCTTCCCAGCCGGGCGTTGGTGGCGCACGCCTTTAATCCCAGCACTCGGGAGGCAGAGGCAGGCGGATCTCTGTGAGTTCGAGGCCAGCCTGGTCTACAGAGCGAGTTCCAGGACAGCCTCCGAAGCCACAGAGAAACCCTGTCTCGAAAAACCAAAAAAAAAAAAAAAAGAAAAGCCTCTTCCCCTAGGCTGGGAAGAGCCATTTCCTGCATCCTAGGATTCTGCCTTATGGAATAAGAGGCCATGGGCTCTAGCCTGAAGATGCTCTGTGTGGGCAAGGCGATAGTGCCCGACTCCAAGTTATAGTCTACAAAGGCCCTACTTGGAAGACAGTAGCTGTACAAACTTAGTGGACATATGAATGTCACATGAGGGCACAGGACAACATGGGCATGAAGTCAGTGCTGATCTGTCAATTACAGGAACACTGAAAGGGTTTGAAAAGGCTGGGACACCCCTGGAGGTCCCCAGAGATCACCAATCAAAATAAGCATTTATAAGCACTGTCAGAACGGGGCTATCAGATCTGATACCCTCTAATAAGAACACTTGAAGCTGGGCAGTGGTGGCGCACATCTTTAATCCCACCACTAGGGAGGCAGAGGTAGGTGGATCTCTGTGGGTTCAAGGCCAGTTTAGTCTACAGAGAGAGTTCCAGGACAGCCTCCAAAGCTACACAGAGGAACTCTAGAGAGATGGCTCAGTGGTTAAGAGCACTGGCTGCTCTTTCAGAGGTCCAATTCCCAGCAACCACATAGTGGCTCACAACCATCTATAAGGAGATCTGGTGCCCTCTTCTGGCCTGCAGGCAGACATGCAGGTAGAATACTGTATACTAAATAAATAAAATCTTCAAAAAAAGAAAGAAACCCTGTCTTGAAAAACAAAACAAAAAACTTGAGCTAGGAAGCAGCAGCACCACAGGAGCTGGGACAAGCAAGGGACTTGGCTACCATGTTACCAGGCCCCTTGGCAGCATGTGGCAAGGTACCAACAATACGATAGCTGGTGTTTTGAGGGAGGCTGGCCACTTTAGCAGACCGGCTTTCAGACTTGCACTGGCTCCAACACTCTCCCCAGCTGGCAACCTCCGGATTCTTACCCTAAGTGTGTCCCTTCCTCATGAGACCCTGTGATACTGAACCCTGGATGAAGGGTCAGAAAACGGCAAGAACATGTAAGCAGCGTATTGTATAGTCTTCAGCACATTTCTGGATTTGAAAAGGGGGGAGATCGGTAGGCTGATCATAACAAAACTGTCAATGTCTTGATTTGTCAAAGTGAGAAAAAATTTAAAATACTGGGTTTTATTTTTTAATATTTGAAGGACTGATCCCAACACTCAGGAGGCAGAGGCAGGTGGATCTCTGAGTTCAAGGCCAGCCTGGCCTACAAAGTAAGTTCTAGAACAGTCAGGACTACACAGAGAGACTCTGTCTCATAAAAACAAAACATGAACCAGCTGAAACCTTTGTCTTGAGTGAGCACATTCTATGGCCAAGTGTTAGAGTGATGTCAAAGGGTCAGGGTCATGGCCACCAGCTTCCTTAGGGAGTGTCTGAGAACAAGTTTCTCACACTAACCATGAGGTGGAGACAGAGACCATCTCATCTTCAAGCTGGGGCTAAGGGGAGGAAGAAGGGTCTTCTGGGTTTTTTCCTACCCAGAGTGACCTGGGCTCCAATGGCTGAGAATCACAGGAGGCAAAGCTGAGGCCATGATGCTCCCCAAGGGCCACAGCTGCACCATCTCAGCTCCCCTGGGTCCCCTACTACAGAGTGGGAACATGGAGGGAAAGAGGCCTTACACTCCAGCAGGAGGCCCGAGCACAGATGCCTGCCCAGGTGTAAGATGGGGGTGGTGGGTTGTCACCGGAGAAAGCAGAGGGCTCCTGGGTGGGGCAGGAGCACCCTACCTGGCTGTGGGCAGGAGAGGCGGCCTCAGGGTCCAGCTACCAGGAGCAAGCAAAGAGAGAAAGAGAGAGAAAGGTGAAGACAGGTAGAAACCACTGCAGGGCCCCATCCAAGAGACACCCGGGGTCCAGTGAGCCAGCACTCTGTTCAAGATACATTGTGGAGGTTAAAAGTACTTGCCCAGGACTAGGGTGCTGACCAGGCAAGAGAGGCCAGACCACCAGGGGTATCTGGGGGGTTCTTGTTATCACCAGACCCTCCAGAGGAAAGGCTTTTGTGGGTCACTCCTTGTAGCACATAGGTATCTGTCCCTCTGCCTCTAGCCTCTCCTGGACCGGCTATTCAGTCCACCCTGGGTTAATCTTCCTTTTCCATGACCCTGGCAGACCAGGGTCCCCTGAAACTCTCTGCTTTTTACCAAGCTGTCAGCTTCCTTGTGGCTACCAAACACCAAGAGAATGCAGTTTCTCCTCCCTAAACACATGTGTGTGGAGGGTGCCACTCCCCATGCTATATCTTAGAGCTAGCGCAGGACAACTACAGTCTAAATCTAAGACGCCTTCCTCAATACTCCTGGGCAGGCACAATGGCCACACGGCAAACAGAGGTATCATTCTACCCAGTTCCAACCTCAGGGTTGCCTGCCAGCTGCCCAACTCTTGAGCCGCCTTGACCTCTACATTACAGCCTGTTTACTTAAAGCCTTCAAACATCTTTCTGGAAGAAATTGGAGCCAGGCAAGCTTTGGATGTTGCCTGTTAGAAATGAGAAGGTTTAATTGATATGCCTACATGGATCTATATACTGGGCATCAAAATGGGAAGCATCTACTCCTGCCCTGTCACACACCAGGCCCTAACACCAATGACTGTCTTCAAAGTAGGAGACCAGGGCTGCAGAAGGAGACTAGATCCCCAGCTATGAAGGGCCCCTGCATGGCCATGGCCCTAGGTTGTCTGGAGTAGCAATACTCCATAGAATTCAGTTTTCTTTTCCTTAACCAGAGCCATCGTGAGGGTTCATGGACAGCCACAGTTGTTTCCCCTGTATCATCGTTCTATCATCTCTCTCTCTCCCTCTCTCTTTTCTACTCCCTCTCCCCCCAGCCCCTTCTCACACACACACACAGAGTTCAGCTTTGGGAACAAGAGAGCCAGACACTGGGAACCCACACACAAGAAGGAGCATTACAGAAGCTGTGAAGATCCTCTCAAGTCGTTGGTGTGCCTCCTCTGCGGGACTCAGCCGGACCTCAGGGTCAGCTCCTGTCTAAAGGTTAAACCACTATTAGTTCTGTCTCAGGGGACAGCAGGAGGCGCGGCACGCCAAGCTCTCAGCCCAGGGAGCCACTGAGACCCAGTGCCGAAGTGGAGCAGCGTTGGGGAGACAAGCCAAGTACTAACTTGAGTTTTGAAACTACATGACACAGAAAGGGAAGGGGCAATGCCTGTGAGGGCTGGGGTTACTTCCTCCTGCTTCCCTAACCACTGTGAGCTCTAAATGACCCTGTCATCCTCCATTCACTCCTGTCCCAGGATGTACAAGAGATGACCTCCAGGTCAAGACCTGTCTCAGCTCCGACTCCACCCCTGTGCATAGAGAAGGTACAGAGAGCTGGAGGGAGACGGGAACAACCCTGGACAGGCACATGACACTCCCTGGCTACTTATAGGTTCCCCAGGAGCTGAAGCTCAGCTCCTACCCAGATCATCAGACCAGAAGGCCCCTGCCAACTCTTCCTCCCCTGGGGGCCAGGAATACACTGCCCTGGCAGAGCAGCCAGGAGGATGGGGAAGGAGGGCAGTTGGCTTTCCTCTACATCCTGCAATGCCCAGGAAGAATGGGGGCAAGGCCACTTCCAGGAAAGGTGGACACCAAGAGGAAGTGCCCAGTGAGTGCCTCAAGGTCCCTCAGGCTGTGCCCTGGCATCTACCTCAGTCCTCTCCTCGCTACAAGAAACCCGAGAAAGCTCAGGAAGCAGGAAGAAAATGTCCAACCCCCAACACATGTCCTGTGAGACCTCAGCGGGACCCACAAGGTGGAGGAGCTTGAAAAGAACTGTCTCTAACTCAAGAGCAGCTAAGGTACCATCACCTGTGAAGAAGGGGCGATGCAGACACAAAGGGGTTCACTCTGCCTACCTGCCACCCAGGCCAGGCCTGAAGAAAGCAGTGATGGCATTAAGAAATGTCGTCAGTATCACTGCCAGTCCTACCTATTTGTGGGTACCTGGTGTCAGGGAGCAGACTGGACATATATAACCTGTACCATATCTAGTCAGCACAGCCACCCTCCAAAGCAAGTATCACACCTTGTTTGTCATTCAAAACTCCAAAGAGTCCCCCGATCAAAAGATTTTTCTTAGTTATTTTGGTGGCAAAACTGTTGATCCTTTGTCTTCCTATAGTGAGAATACTCATGGGTTTGCTTTGGAAATAATCACGTTTGTTGCAGGTAGCTACTTGTATATATACCATAAAATATTCCAAAATATAAAAATGACTAATTCCCAGTACTTAAGACTTCATAGAAGGGACTAAGGGCCCACATTATAACTCCCCACTTGACAGATAGGATCTTAGCGGTGGACTCTGCTGAAGTCTCACAGGAGTGTGCCTGTGGATGTGAGCCTGGGTCATCTGACTTAACACTGCTTCCACACCGCACTCATCTGTGGAGACTCTAAACCTTAGCTTTGGGTATGGTGCCTCAAGCTAGCTTTGTGTAGTTGGAGACCAGGTCTCGACTCTCAAGGAAAGGCCTGCAGCATGCTGGTTAGCAAGCCAGAGCACCAGGCCATCACTTGTGCTAGCTAGCACAGGGTTAATGCAAGTCATGCAGCCCCTGCCATGGTGGGCACACAACCCTGGGCCAATTGGGATCATGCGAGGCTCCTTCAGGCTTGAGGAAGCCACTCAAGCAGGAGTGGTGAGGGACATGGGAGGTTAGTGGCACACTCGGGTACCTCCTGCCGCACACCCAAGGCTGGTGAGTTGGCCTGCTGCTCTCCAGAGGCATTTGACTTCGGGCCAGCCGAGTCTGGGTCAACCAGCTCTTGTGCCGGGGCTGGGGAACACTGCTTATTTGGGGTTTCCGGCTTGGCTGGGGATCCTGCTTTCTTTGGGGCATCCACCACATCTGGGGAGCCTGGCTTTTCTGGGGAGCCTGGCTCCTGGCTCGGGGCCTTCTCTCCTCTCCCAGGAGGCTGCTTGCTGCGGGACTTGTGGTCCTTGCCTCGGCCCCGAGACATCAGACTGCGCAGGCCCATAGAGAGCTCATCCTTAACTGCCTCCTTCTTCGCTTCAGGCTTTGGTGGAGCAGGAGGAGGAGGCGGTGGCGGCGGGGGCTTGGGACTAGAGGCTGCCTTTTCTCCCTTCTTGCCACGAGGCGGGTGCTCAGGGGACTTGGCTCCTCGGCCCGGAGGCTCCTTGGCATTCCCAGGCTCCTCGTCACCAGGCAGTACCTTGCTTACCACCTTCCTCATTGCATTCGCCACCCGCTTCCGGGACAGACCTGGGGCCTCTTCATTTGCGGTGGAGGCAGCCCCCAGGCCATTCATAGTGAGTGTGGCTTCGGGGCTCTTTGCTCTCTGGGAAGTCTCTGAGGGTACAGGGCTGGTGGCAGGCTGAGGACTTGTAGGCGGCCCACTGCTGTCCTTACTGCTGCCCTCTAGCTACAGTCACATAAATACAGGTAGGCATGAATAGCACCCCACATCCCTACCCATCAGGGTGCAAGGGGTGCAAGTCTCGGGCCCCAAGACAGATTCACCCACAGAACAACACACAGATCCAAAAGCTCCCTTTGTCCCCCCAGGACTCCTCTCCCCACCTTCCAGAGTCTAGACATGTAGACAGAACTGCATCAGAAAGTTTGACTTCTCTTTCTCACAAACCATCTCACTGCCCCCCAGAAGGTATTAGGGGAGCTGGAGACACAACACAAATGACCCCAAAGCCCATGAGCACCCTAGAATTGGTCTTTATGCCAGGGTCACAGCCAACACAGCAGAACCGGAAGGGGAGGAGACCAAGAAGACAGTTCCCACCACCAGTCTTAGGCTATCTATCTCCACGGGGCTCCCTGCCTTTGCCATCCCTACTTCTTCATCGTTCACTTCTAGGCGATCAGACCCACAGCCTGACATCCTGAAGAAAGAAAGGGATGAGTCCTCCTCTTGAGTCAAGTTTCTCCCCCAACCCAGCTCCTCTGGCCTGTGGTCACTGTCTCTCCTTCACCTACACTCTGAAGAGCTGCAGATCCAGGGCTGGTGTTTCCTTCCTGAAAACTTCTCGTGGGCTTAGTGACTCCTGCTTCTCAGAGGGCATGTGTGGAAGATGGGAGGAAGGGGAGGCAACTCAGGCCCACAGAGGGTTAGGTATCCCAGTAGCCACAGCTGCACTGCTGGAGATGGGTGTCCTGGCTCAGCTGGGTGGCCACCCAGCCTCTGGGCACCCAGGAAACGCCTGGTGTTCGTTGGCACTCTCCATCTAGGGATCCCACTCCCTCCCTGACACTCTGCCAGGAACCGCCTGAGGTGGCCACTAGGAAGGTCACTCCGGCTAATGGCAGGGCAGAGTTTCCTGCAAAGCTAGCCACACTGCCTGGGGAGAATACAGGTTATTTCAGGGGCTGACCAGTGACATGCTACTCACTGAGCTGTAGCTCAGTCCTCCATCCCCTGAGCAACTGATTTTAGATCACACTGCTGTGAAGGTCTAGCTGCCATGCCTGTTTATAGGCGCACAGATGACAGACCTGCCACATGCCGAGGTCACCTCACCTCCTGAGCACAGCTGAGTCTCAGTCCAGGCCTCTGCTCTAGGGAGGTTCTGCTGCAGGGGTGAAGAGGGAGGGCTGGGTGGTGGCTCTTCTAAAGCTTCTTAGGCCAAGAGAATTCAGTGGCATGCCACAGTAACGTGGAACTGGCCATAGTGCCAACTGCCAGGTCTTTCTCCCTTCCAATTCCTGGCTCCCATCCCCTCCCCCACAGGAGACGATGACGACATGATAGTAATTGCTAACACATACATCGTACTTTGCCTGCTAGACACTCTCCTAAGCACTTTACATGCTATTTTTGAAAGAGAAAGAAAGAACCTTCCTCGCACACTCAAACACATCCTTTTGAAACCATGGGTTAGCCTTGGCCCTCCAGGATTGTTTACAGGCCCAAAGGAAGCCACTTGCCTAGATAATCAAATTATCCAAGGAAGCAGAGACAGCTAGGACAGCTACCATTTGGGGTAAGGGAGCATGGTTTCGTGTTCCAGTTTGCCCACCATGCATCCCTCTCTTGGACACACATCTGGACCACTGCTCAGAAGCTGTCTCGCCTCACCCTGTAAGAGTCCAGCTTCATTCAGGGTCTCTGTCCCAAGGTGGTAGGGGGCTGGTGACACTGGGCAGCTGTGGGCAGCCTCCAGGTTGTGCACAAAGCCACTGACGGGTGGGGTGGGGTGGAAGCAGCAGCAGCAGCTGCAGTGAATCCATCTGTGCCCTTGTCTTGGGCCACCCGGTGCAGGCTGAAGAGTCCTAACAGCTGAGTTCTCATATGGTCGGTGCTCACTGACCTGAGAGTTTACCCACCTAAGCACTGCCCGCAACAAACGGTCCAAGAAACCAAAGCTGAAGGTAGGCAACTAAAGGAGGCTGGGGGAGGACAGAGGCAGACCCTCCCACTTCAGACCCTAAAGTAGAGCCACACATATTGCACTTTCCACCCCATTATTAGCATTCCCTTTAACCACCCAGCAACCCTGGAAGGGACGGGGCCAACCCACCAGATACATGTACACACACCCACACTCTCGTGCATGTGCACACACGCATACACACACGTACATACATACATACATGTGCACACACATCTCAGGGAAGCACTTACAGCCCCTTCCTCTTTGCCAGGAGAGCCAGGTTTTGGCAGAGTTTTGTCCTCCTCTTTAACCTGAGGGAGCAGACAGAGAAGTCACTGGCAGAGCCAAGCTGGGAGACCTGCTACCAGGACGAAAAGATCTAGGGGTCTTTTTGTCTCTGAGAAGCAGAGCAGTGCTGTTGCTGGGGGTCTGAGGAAGATACCACTTTACTTGTGATTGAAACTGCCGAGAGACAGTGTTTTAAGAACTAAGAATCTCCATGGCAGTAAAAATGTAAGGATGCTCGGGGCTCAGCCACCAGCTCAGGAGCTCAGAAGTCCACATCATGGCCTCGGAGTCACAAAATAGCCAGCCATGCAGATGCGGGAAGGAACCCCAAGGTAAGGTGAAGTATGGAGGAGAGATCTGTCTGCCTGGGGCAGGCGTTTGTGTTACAGCAGAAGCAGTAGACCGAGTCAGGCGGGAGGCACAGGGTCAGGGGAAACACTGTCTGGGGAAAGTACTGATGCTGTCGATACTCTGAAGGTTCTTCCAGTTCAGAGACCGACTGAACACGGACTCCAAGGGACTGTGCCCCAATGTCAGAAGAGCTTGCTCTTCCAGCGTCGCTCCTTCCTAAAGCCCAGGCAGGCCCAGGGAATTTAATGGTCCTTCCTTCCCTGGGCATCTCTGTCCCTAAGCCCGCAGCACCCCCAGCATGCCTTGCTTTCCCTGCACAGTAAGGGAGATAGGCGCCCAGGAAGAAGCCTGATCTCTAGCAGAAGATATTCTTAGCAACATCCAGGATCAATTATCCAATAGCCAAATGGGGCTGTCCATTTTCAACCAGGGTCCGTGGTCATTTTGAGCTCCAATTAGCAATGCCTGGACACTGCAGTATTGAAGCTGTACCTTGTCCACGAAACATATTCATTGGGTCCAGGGTTCAGTTAGTCCTCACTGACACAGACAAAGGGAAGACGGCAAATACTCAGAGAAAACCTTTCTACTTCAGAAACTGGGGTCTGTGCAGAGAAGGGAGGGGCTGGATAGAGAGGATCTCTGCAGGGTGGCTAGGTCTGCACCTGATGCTCTCCTCTCCAATGGCCATCGCCCCTCCCCACAGGGATCGCCATGCATTAGCCACTAGGCAGACAGGTTAGAGGATAGTAAGTATTCCCAAACCACAAAGACACTCTCATTAGCGCACACAGTACTGTTAGCTTGGTTTAGCTATGGCCCAGATTCTAAGTTCACTCTGAAATTCTCACCAGCTCCAAATCTGTCCTTTCTCCAGTAGCCTGTGCTTGGGGTCCCAAACCGCTGCTCTCCAAGGTGAGGCATTGGGAACACTGGTTGCCCCCCAAAGTGTCTGCGACACTGGGCTCAGGTCTGAGCTCAGCTCTGGATTTAGCCTCAGGCTGACTCACGCCCCCTCCCCCTCCCTAAAGGTTCTGGCTGCTGTAGGTCATTGTCCAGCCAGAGACTGTGCATATGCACAAAGGCATGCCCAAGCCTGCCAGCCTCAGTTACTCTCTGGACCCAGATGCCAACTGGCCTGATGCCCCCGCTCCCAGCTCCTTGATTCTTCTGCCCACCTCAGGCCCCAGTCTCAGGGAATCTGAGTTCCAACGGCATCAGGGTCGAGCCTTTCCCAGGACCCCACAGTCCCAGGGCTGTCTGAGCCACAGGCTGGAGAAGGGTGTGGAGGGATTAACTTGGAGGGGCACCAGTGGCACAAAAGGCAGCTCAGCTTACTAGAGGTGGAGCTCAGAGAGGAAAGTGACTCAGCACAGCTCATTACGACAGAAAGAGATTCCCAAAAGCCGCTGGTAACCCTCCCTGCACCCCAAATGCACACACATGCTCCAAATCGTCTCTAGCTTCACCATGCCAAGCACATAAGAGAACAAAGATTTTGAAATCCAACTTCCCTTTTGCTCCCAGAAGGCAAATCGCGATGAAAAGGCCATAGTGCTGAAGTCAGCCTGCACCCCGAGTCAGAGAAGAAATAGGGGCAGGGCCTCTCAATGACTCCGAGTCTTCCTAAAGGCCAGGACCCGCTGTGACAAATGCTGTGGGTAACAAGAGGAAAGGAGGACAGAAGGAAGGAGGAAAGATCACAAAACTCAGATCACGGAGGCTGGAGAGATGGCTCAGCAGTTAAGAGCACTGACTGTTCTTCCAGAGGTCCTGAGTTCAATTCCCGGCAACCACCTTGAATGAGATCAGGTGCCCTCTGCTGGCATGCAGAAGATTGTATACATAATAAACAACAACAACAACAACAAAACCCTCAGGTTACATTCCTCAGAGAGAGGAATAAACTGTGGGAAGAAAACAAAAGCCAGGTGGGTATTGGACAGAGAATTCTAAGACTAGGAAGCTGTGTGTCCTCGGATGAGATCCTTCACCCCTCTGGGCCTGTCTGGAGAAGCAGGAGCCAGAGTGGTCTAGATAATGGATAAAGTCACCTCCAGACCCAGCATTGGAGGAGTCAGCCAGTGTCACCCAAGCCCTTGATTCTCCAGGAGGCAGAGACCTCTCCCTTCTACCCACAGCCCAGGTCGCTGTCCAGGAACGAGGTCGAGAGTGGCAAAGCCTTCCCATCTGCCGGTCCTTCTGACCCTCAACACAGAGTCTGCCCTTGCCTAGGACAGGCTTCACCAAAGAATCACTCTGATTCTATGGAATTGGAGATCGGCTTATTCCTATAACTGACTGTGATAAGTAAATGGTTAGAAAGTTGTTTTGTTTTGAAATGCTAGGGCTGGAACCTAGGGCCACACACATACGAGGCAAGGGCTCCACCTATGAACTATCATGCCCTAGTCCTCCACTTTTTTCTTCTTCCTTTTTTTTTTTTTGTTTTGTTTTGTTTTGTTTTTGTTTTTCAAGACAGGGTTTCTCTATGTAGCCCTGGCTGTCCTGGAAACCACTATGTAGACCAAGCTAGCCTGGAACCCAGAGAGATCCACCTGCCTCTGCCACTGAGTGCTGGGATTAAAGGTGTGTGCTACCACTGACCAGCCCCCTCCACTATTTTTAATTGGCTCTGTTGACCTCTGCCTTCCTATCCAGCTAATATGCTACCAACTTTAGATTTATTTAACTCATTTGCTCTTTGTCTAGGGAGGTCCCCTCTGACCCAGAAGGACACTGGCCACTCGACATCTGGTTCATTCCTCTGCTCCTGCTTCTGTGGGACGCATCACTCAGCATGTGGGGACCACCCCAGAGGAAGCTGCCTCTGTGCCTTGGGAAAGAGCTGCCTGACTCTCTCCTCTCTTCCTTACAACTGCTTGGGCCCAGGAGCAGGCTGTCATTACCCAACATAGAAGAGAGCTGGTGGCAATGCCACTGTAACAGTCCCCCTAGATATAAAAACATGTTTCTCCTAGAATTAGGGACTTGCTGTGGACCAAGGGTTCCTAGAGTGAAGGACTCTTGCTCCTGACACATTTCTGCTCTAGAAATTCCAGCCATTTCTAACATTAGTTACTGAATGAGGAATGCCTACATTGAGATGGACCCTATACAAGGTATTTAACATAAATCTCCTCATTTATCCATCCACTCATTCTTTCTTTCATCCATTGATTCATTCTTCCATTCATTTATTTATGTGTAGGTGTGGGTGTCCCCACCCATGCAGAAAAGTATGGAGGCCAGAGGTTAGCATCAGAACGTCTTTCTCAATCATGCCTCCACCTTATTTCTTTTCATTTTATTACCTTTACTGATGTATGCGTGTATGTGAGAGCATGTGTAATCAGAGGACTATTGGCAGAGTCAGATCTCTCCTTCAACCATGAGGGTCCTGCAAACTGAGTTTCTGAACTTGTAATGGGGAGACTCCAGTATGTCCCCATCACCTTCTGAGACCCTGGCCACCTCTCTCTTGTGTCATTTCTGACTACTTCCCTTGGAAGAGAAAGACAGGAAGCCACCACTCCTGAGCATTCTCCTGAATCAAGCTCAGGATCAGGCACTTAGGCACTCTCCTCATAGCAACCCATGCTACAGAGAAGGAAAAGGGAGAGTTACTGAGAGGTTCCCAGCTAGTAAGTGGCAGGGCTGTCATTCACAGCCAGGAGGGTTCTTGGGATTTCCTCTTCAACAGGACTCTCTCTTACCCATCATACCATTAGGCACTTGAAAGTGTTTGTCACATGACCATACTGGAAACGGGTGGATGACAGGGTTCTTGGCCCAAAGCTCACTCCCATCTGGTCTCTTTCCCACATATACACCAAAGAGAATAAGGCTTGTCCATCCTGAGTCTCAGAGATGTGACACCAACAAGAGAGGTGTAATCTCCAAACTTAGCAACAATGAATAGATAGCAAACTCCCTGCCATGGGACCCAGATAAGGAAGGCAGGGACTTGCTGAAAATGCATCATCCTCTGGTCTAGTCAGCTCATCTGAAGAAATGTATGTCCAATGAGCTGGCTTCAAGAAACAAAGTGAGAAGAAAACCCACAAGTTCGTGTAAGCATTTTTTTCATAGATACACTCTACATAACAACAAACTGTAAATAACCCAAGGAACTAGAATCAGAGATGGTTAGGTAAACAATGGCTTCAACCCAACACATAGCTATGCTGCCATTTAAGCTGACAAAGATGTGGACAATGAAACCATATGGAAAATTCCACACAAAATGACATCAATCAAAAAGAACTAGAACAGAAATAGCATGCAAATGGTGATCATAATAATTTTGTAAATGGTGTGAATTAGACACAATAGACACACTTTGCTATTTATTCTGCTGTGCATTTGTTACTTACTGTTTGTTTTTATTGTAAAGATGGCTAAATAGTCAATAAAAAAAGAAAAAGAGAAAGAGATAATAGCTAGAAACATTTGTTTTCAAAGAGGAGAAATCTGCTAAGAGACTGTCTACCCTCAGCCCTAAAGACATCTGTCACTCAGGGAGACCAGGCTGGGTTTTACTGTCCGCAGTACCAGCACCCACCAACCTCCCTTAGCTACCACAATCCACTATGTTAAGAAAAGGAGAGCTTGGGCTGGAGAGGTGGCTCAGCAGTTAAGAGTACTTCTAGAGGATCCGGGATCAATTCCCAGTACCTACATCACAGCTCACAACTGTCTAAAACTCCAGTTCCAGGGGATCTGACACCCTCACATAGACATACATGCAGGCAGAACACCAATGCACATAAAATTTAATCCAGAAAGAAAGAAAGGAGGGAGAGAGGGAGGGAGGGAGGGAGGGAGGGAGAAAAGGGGACCCTGAGAATAATCCTATCCACCTCAGGCCAGGAATGTCCAGTTAAGGCCTATGTGTCTAAGCTAGACATCCAAGCCCAAGAGCAGCAAGTAACTCCAAGAGAGACACTGTCTGGAAGGAACTAAAACACCATCAGTAGCCAAGGTAAGTTCCCAGCCTGTCCCCGCTACCCTCATGCTAACACTGGCAATGCTCCCTCCTTATTCTGAGGACAAGGAAACTCAGAACTGTCTCTCCTCTCTTCATGCCTATTCTGAGGCACAAAAGGCAGCTCTCAGGAGATCTCTCCTGGACAACCTCAAGGGATCTAAGGAATAGGGGTGGGGAAAGGAATGAAGGAGAAGGGAAGAAATAACAGCAGTAACTTCTTTTCCTCAGTGCTGGAGAATCAACCCCAGGCCTCACGCATGCTCAACAAGCAGTCTGCCACTGAGCAACACATCCAGCCCCAACAGCACATCTCTTCTGAGCCTCTTCTTTTTTTTTTTTTTTCCGAGACAGGGTTTCTCTGTGACTTTTTTGGAGGCTGTCCTGGAACTCGCTTGGTAGTCCAGGCTGGTCTCGAACTCACAGAGATCCGCCTGCCTCTGCCTCCCGAGTGCTGGGATTAAAAGCGTGCGCCACCAACGCCCGGCCTGAGCATCTTCTTGGCGCTGGGCACTGTGCTCAACCCCTAAAAAGCATTGTCCCATTTGATGTTCACAACATTCCTTTTAAGTGGACACCAGCAGAAGCCTTACTTTACAAATGAGCAAAAGGAGCCCTAGGAGATCATGTGACTTTCCCCTGGCCTCCTGACAGCGAGCGGCAGATCTAGGACTCACACTCAGATCCATCCTTTACCAAGCCGTTAGGGCTTACTTTAAGGGAAAGCGGTCAGCCCTCCCCCATATCCTCCTTGTTCACCTACACCATGGGCTTCCTCATCGGTAGCAACAGCTTGGGTAGAAGACAGTGGTTTCCATCGAAGACCTGGCTCTCCACTCATGACCTGTACACTCTTCAAAGAGTCGCTTTAAAGGAGGGAGTTCTGCAGGGAAGGGCCTGAAGGCCATACTGCCAGGCAGAGGAAGAGGGGAAGCCAGAGCCCTCCCCCACTGCAGGGTGGAACAGAAAGCAGCAGAGCACTCTGGGCCCCTGCCCACCAGCCTGGAGGAAGCAGGTGCACTGGGAAGGCTTCCTGCTGCCACTGCAGTTGCAGAAGGGCCAGGGCTTCCTCCGACAGACAGGCCGGCCCACCGCAGGCCTCCCCTCCCTGAGGACACCCGAGGCTCCTCTGCAGGGCACTTTGCCATCTGCTAGCTTCATTTCCCATGGCCCTGATTCTGTGACAGACAAGGTACTGGTGGCCTGGGGATGCAGGATGGGGTGGAGAGTAGGCCAGAGCAGGAAGCTGCCCGCTCACAGAGTGAAGTGCTCTCCCTGGCACCACCCTGCTCTGCCCCCACACACCTCCACAACGGTGCCAGTTTGGCAGTTGGGTACAGGGAGATACAAATGCTATGGGCACATCTCAGGCTTCGGATACACCTCCACACCAGGCCAGCCCACACTCTGCCAACTGCTGACTCAATTGAAAACCTTACCCTTAGTGGCTGGGGGAGTAGAGGGAGGACAGGATGACCTGGGAGGCAACTATGTCTCTCTCACTTGCTTTTTTAAGGAGCTTACTTCTCTGGAATGGTCTCTACTTTAGAGAGACACACGCTAGGAGGATGGCTCAGTAGGTAGGGACACTTGTTGCTGAGCCTGAAGACCTGAGTGTGGTTCCTAGAATTCACAAGGTGGAAGCACGGAACTGAGTCATGCAAGTTGTCCTCTGACCACACACACATGCACACACACACACACACACACACACACACACACACACACACACACGCACGCACGCACGCACGCACGCACGTACGCACAAGAATAAAGACAAAAAGTGTTCTCTAAAATAAAAAGACAGGGCATCCCTGAGATGCTACCTGTGTCCCTTCTAAGTCTCCTGGGCATGGAAATGGAAGAGGCCATGCTGGGTTCTTCCTGAAGACAGTAAGAAGATCCCAGCCAACTTCGAGGACCATCCTTTGCCAAGTCCCTTTTATCCTGTCTAGCCCAGAGTAAGAGGGGACAGGGGGCCACATACCAGCCCAAAGCAGGACCAAAATCTCCAAAAAGATGCTTGGGTCCCTGGGCTTTGGAAGAAATAAAAGCCTCCATAGCAATCATTACTATGGGAAAGGCGTGCCTCAGCCTGCGGGGTGGGGGAGGCAGTCTCAGGAAACTGAGGTTTAGAAGATGATTCCCCATCACTGCTCCCCAAATCATGAGTCAGGCCCAACATGTGCCTGGCCTCTTAGAGGTTTTGCGGCAGCTGGAGCTGTGTACTGCCCTTTTAACCAAGTAACTGAGAGAGGAGCCCCAAGGCAGCGCCACCCCTTCCTCTCCACCTACTTCTGCCACATCTGGGGAAATAACAGGACGCCTTCCTTTCCGAAATGAGGAAACATTATGGGGAGCCCGGGGCATTTCCGGGGTTGGGGGTCAGAAGGACACTCACCCGCATGGCCTGGCCTGGAGCAGCCCAGAGCAAGGATTCTCCTCTCTATGCTGCTCCCGTTAGCAGCTCAAAATAGCACAGGCTGCAGCCCCGCCCCTGGTCCCCTCCCTCTCCCAGGCCCCTCCCGCTGCAGCTGCCCAACCCTGCCAGAGCTGTGGAGACAGCAGAGGCTGGAGGACTGCGGGTACCAGGTATGCCCACAGCGAGAGAGCAATGGGGTCCGGGTGGAGGGGAAAGTAGGCTATTCAAATATGGGCATGGGTCGGGACAGACAGTGTCATGGGGTTAGGGACAGAAGACAGGAAGGGTGGCACTTTCCTTCTGATACACACTCAGGCTCCTGGACAGCTGAGCTGATACGGCCCCTAAAAATAGCAGAGGAATTTGAGACCTGCAGCCCCCAGCCCTCCAGGCCAAGATTGAGACTAGCACGTGCACACACACACACACACACACACACACACACACACACACACACACACACACACACACACACCAAACACGCATGAACTCAATCACAGCACAGTGTACTTGAGAACACTTCCATTACATGCCTAACTATGCCAATCTAATTGCTGTATGGAGACGCTAACACTACATCCAACATGACATACAGGGCCGATGCACACTAGGCCCAGGCAGCAGTCACGTAGCAGTCCTGTAAGGTCCAGCAAGGGCAGAGACCCACAAGATCAGACTGAGGCCTCCTGCTACTGCCTCATAATAGATGCGCAGAGAATCAATCGCTTTCCTCTGCCTACATTTCCCTCTCCCACACACCAGTCAGCTGCTGCATAGGCAGAGGAAAGTGCGGTGGGTGGGGGGTGGGCCTTAGCTCTGCAAACAGACGAAACTGGAGGTGTCTGGCCAATGAACAATGGCTGTCAATGAAGAGCTTGTGTTCCTGGCCTGGCTCTAGGTAACACTACCAAACACCCACCAGAACAAAAATGCCCTGGGGGCTGAGAAGGGCGCTAGGAGAAAGACAGCAGTAAGCATCTGCCAAGGACCTGCCAAGTGTCTACAGAAAAAAAGGAAAGTCATTGCTTCCTTCTTCCTCTCCAGGGAGAGAGGGACTGGAAAAAACCCAAGCCTGTCACCCACAGCCGGTTCTAAGCACCAGTGGTCCTGCAAAGATGGCATCCTCTAAGAACAGACTGGTAAGCACTGCCCAAAAGGACCAAACCAAGTTCTCCTTTCTGCACAACACTGTGCAAGTCACCTAGTCTTAACCATGCCCCACACATGTGGACACACACACACACACACACACACAATCAGGAACAAGCGTGCGCCTCTGCTTTCCAGGGAGGCGGTGCATCTTCCTGGGGAGGTCCCCTGGTCCTCCTGAGGCAGGGCAGTGTCAAAGGTTCTGCAACCCCACAATGCTCATTGGAGCCCCTGAAGACTTTAGGATATGATACCTAGAGCTCCCCATTTCCCTCTGTTTTTGATTTAACTGATCTGGGAAGGAGTCCTATACATTGGGATTTGAAAACGACACACACAGAGGCAGAGGCAGGCAGATCTATGTGAATTCGAGGCCAGTCTGGTTTACAGAGTGAGTTCCAAAACTACACAGAACCCTGTCTCAAAAAACAAAACAAAAGCCTCTGCTTGAACTCTGTCATATGGCCTCTTTCTCTCAAGCACTGCTTTTCTTAAATTACAACACCCCAGGTTTGGTCCCCATGTGATGTCTCATAACCATCTATAATTTCAATTGCAGAGAATCCAACACTGTCTTCCAACCTCCAAGAGCATCAAGCATGTATTATGAGAGACATACATACATGTACACCAAACAGCCCTACACATAAAAGAAGGATTAATAATTCTAGGTGTGGGGGTGCATGCCTTTATTCCCAGCACTCTAGAGGCAGAAGCAGATGGATCTCTGTGAATTCAAGGACATTAAAAAACAGAATCTGGCCGGGTGGTGGTGGTGCACGCCTTTAATCCCAGCACTCGGGAGGCAGAGGCAGGCGGATCTCTGTGAGTTTGAGGCCGGGCTGGACCGACAGCCTCCAAAACAATACAGAGAAACCCTGTCTCGTAAAACCAAAAAAAAAAAAAAAAAAAAAAAAAAACAGAATCTGTCCACAAATCAAGTTCCAGAACAGCCAGGGCTATTACACAGAGAAACCTTGTCCTGAAAACAAAAGAAAATCAAGCACAATAGCACATGCCTGTAATCCCAGAGTTGGAAGGGTGGAGACAGGAGGATCCCCAGGACTTGCAAGCCAATAAGTCTAGCTGAATTGGTAAGCTCCAGGTTCAGTGAGAGACATGCCTCAAGGAATAAAAGTGGAGAGCAACACTGACCTCTGACCTACAGAGAGAGAGAGAGAGAGAGAGAGAGAGAGAGAGAGAGAGAGAGAGAGAGAGAGAGAGAGAGAGAGAGAGAGAGAGAGAGAGAGAGAGAAAGAGAACACCCGTAAATGGCCATGAGGTTTCTAACATGAATCCGTGTATGTGGCTGGGAATGTAGCTAAGTGGGAGAGCCGTTACCTGGCCCCTGCAGGACCCTGAGTTGAATGCCTGGCACTGGCAGCTTTTCAGTAAACTTTAACTATCACCATGTACTGAGATTACTAGGAAGCTAGAAGGGGGTGGTGTGGGGGGGGTTATGGAGATGCTCAGAGGTTAAGAGTACAGGCTGCTCTTCCAGAGGATCCAGTTTCAATTCTCAAGACCCACATGGTGTCTGTAACTCTAACTCCAGGGGATCTGGCACCCTCTTCCTTCACACATTCAATCCATTTCCACTCTCTTGTACTGGAGGTACACTATGATGGGCCTTTCTGCTCGACTACAGCAGCTCGGCTTCTGCCCCACCAGCACCACAGGTGCTCTCAGAGGGTACCAGCCCCACCAGGTACCATCGCCGAGCTGTAGCCTAGGCCAAGCACCCTTTGTAGCTGCACGTTTGCTTTTTGAATCTTCTGTTTGGAACTGTGTCAAGCTGTCAAGTGTCTCTCGCCTGACAGTATGCCTGCATCCAGTAGCCTCACTACCTTCCCATAAATATTTCTTCAAAGGCTAGAGAAGCCAACAGTCAGGTCTAGGAGAGGAGTGCCCAGGACAGAACAAGTAGAGATCCTCTGGTAAGCAAAAGGCCTGGGCTTTCAAACAAAACCTTAGCACTGTCTATTACAGCTGCTTGCTAGCTTCAGCAGCGCCCAGAAGATGACATCTGGGTGACCAAGATGCCACTTCACCTGCAGTCAAGCTCTGACTACTAGCAGCCATATTCCCACCTCTATTTTTTCCTGTGGGAATCACTAATTTTGGTCAGCTCTCTGAGCTGTTTGGTTACACAGGGAAGTTATCCCAAAGCAGTATTGCTTCCCCTAGAGAAAAGGGCAGGCTCTTAGGCTAGCTAGAGGTAGCCACCTGAGACCCCAGAGCCTGCTGAACTTCACCACAGCCAATCCTCCTGTGCAGGTGTTGCCCACATCTCACATCTTCCATGAGACCAAGAACACGGCTGTGGCCATGCAGCACTCTACAGCCAGCCAGGCTGAGCAGGCAACGCTGGCTGCCTCCAACACGCTCATCACCTGGAACCCGCCCGTTCCCCTTGCCTCGGCATTTACCTTCCTAGTCATCTCTCCCTGCCGTGGGGCCTGATTCCTTTCATTACATGACATCTCACGTAAATCTCCCTACATTCCCTGCCCACATGGACACTGGCCCCTCCACCTTGCCCAGCCCTCCCCATTCTTGGATAGTTCTGTCTTCTTTGAGATACATTTCTAGGGTGTAGGAAAAAATAAAAATTAAAATGCCGGCTGGGTATTGGCAGCATTTAATCCAAGCACTTGGGAGGCAGAGACAGGAAGATCTCTGAGTTTGAGGCCAGCCTGGTCTACAGAGTGAGTGCCAGGACAGCCAGTGCTACAAAGTGAAACCCTGTCTCAAAAAATAAACAAATAAGTAAATAAATAAAAGGCCCACACCCGAAGTGTAGTGCCTAAAGGGATGGAGCAACAATGCACCCCTGGGGATCAATCCCAGCTCAGCTTCATTCTTGCCATCTGATCTAAGACAGAATTATTTCACTTCTCCAAGTCACCACTCCCCCTTCTTCCAATAGTATAATATGATTCTTGCCTTGTGTGGTTGTTGTGAGAATAGAAGGCAGTACATATAAGATTATGCTTGACAGATTAAATTGTAGGTGGCAACTACATGATTAACATCACTACATCATCTAAAACCACAGCACTCACAGTCTATATCTACACTCCTCATGCTGTGTTCCTGATTATACTTGGTGTGGTACTCTGCCGTCCGTATATGGAGAGCCACACATTATGTAGGATTAGACTCTAAAGTCATCGTGTAATACAAAAGAAGGATACAGTCAAAAACTTCCCAAGCTGGAGAAGCAGTTGACTAGTGAAGACCACTGGCTGCTGCTCCTCCAGAGAACCTGGGTTCAATTCCCATCACCCACAAGGTGGTTCACAACCATCTGTAACTCCGGTCTCAGAAGATCCTATGCCCTCTTTTGGCCTGGGGCTGTGTTCAATAATTCTAACAATAACACTAATTCCACTTAGTAATGACCCTTGGAGATGGGAAGACAGCTCAGTGGGAGAGTACTTGCTGGCGTGCTTAAAGCCCAGGGTTCAGACACTAGATTGTTAAATAAAAAAAGCCAAAATGGGAGTAGTGGAGCCTGCACCTCAGACACGCCAGAGAGGAGCTGCAAAGTGCTCCTGTAGGTGAGAACACGGTGAGACGTTGGAGAGAAAGTTGACATTTATATAACCCTTAATTACAGCATGTTGTTATTATTGTTGCTATTTTATTACTTACTATTAATCTCTTACTGTGCTTAATTTATAAATTAAACTTTACTATAGGTGTGCATATAGGAAAAGAGTTATTTCAAGGATTTGTTATTAGTCAAGCTTTCTGGCCATTACCATGGATCTTGGAACGCATACCCTGTGGATGATGGGGGAGCCACTGTACCATTCTATACAATATATCACCATGGAAGCACAAGGTACAGTGTGCACAACATATAATAAAAATACCCAAAATACTACTTTTATAATTTTAGGCCAATATGATTTCTTGCACAAACATATAGTTGAACTCATTCAAGTTTATTGTGTGTATGCCATGACTATGGAGCCTAAATTAATGTTCAGAATGGTTATCAACTGATGGCATGTGTTTAAGCTTGCTCTCCCATAAGGACCACTTTCTGCCTCCTTCAAATGCCATCAGTAGGGGCTGGTCCTTCACATTTTAGCTAGAGTTGACCCCGCCTTGCAGCAAGTTGTTCTACGTGCCAGGCCACAACAAAAGCTAGCCATCTTTCCCACAGCAGGACGGTGTTTGCTGAGACAGGTGGAAGCCCTGGTAAGGGCGAGCATGGAATACACACATGTGCTGTGGGATATTTGGTCATACTGTGTGAAGATGTGTCTCTGTCCTTCCTCATCTGCCTAAAGTACCTTCTGACTGGTTTAATAAAGAGCTGAATGGCCAATAGCTAGGCAGGAGAGGCTAGGCATCCCACAGAGACGGGAACTCTGGGAAGAAACTGAAGCAGGGTTCTACCAGGCAGCCAAGGGGAAAAGTCGGAGGTATGGTACTGAGGAAAGGAAATGGCGTGGCAGAACGTAGATTAACATAAACAGGTTACTTAAAGTTATAAGAGCTGGTTGGGGACAAGCCTAAGCTAAGGCCAAGCTTTCATAATTAGTAATAAGTCTCTATGTCATAATTCAGGAGCTGGCAGTCCAAAGAAAGTTCTGTTACACACATGCATACAGCTTTCCCAGACTCTGCCCTGGTCTATGCCTTTTTTGTTGTCCAGTCCTGGAGTTAAGAAATAGGTGGCACTCAGAATTAACAATTCTGTTGTAGGCTAGAGCCTAATAAAATAGGACCTTGGTGCAGGACAGATTGGTGACATCAGGAAAATACAACTGTCCAGTGTCCATCACTCTGTAAGTAACCCCTAATAGACTTGGTTTTGAAGGGCTGTTGTTCAGTGGCAAAGTGCTTGCCTAGTATGTTTGAGGCCCTGTGTTCAAGATCCAGTAGAGCTGCCCCCCACTGGGGGGGGGGCAAACTTAAGTGAGTCGCTCTTCTGGCGGCTGGTGCTGGGGGCATATTTAATTTTACATTTTCTTGACTCACTCAACACCATCCTACTCTCCAGCACTAAGCATACAGTAGGTATTCAACAAGCCACTGAACTGACACAGCTCATCAAGAAGGTGCAATAGTAAGCTGGCTGGAATGGGGTTGAGTCTAGAGATTATCCCCCATGGGGCCAAAACTTTAATACTCTGTCCTGCCATGCTGGTGGGATGATTAGGTGAGAGGTGCTTGACCCCGTAGGTGGCTATGCAGAGCCGCGGTAAGCCTGGTGGGAAGCTGTGAGAGGCCAGGGAAGCTGGCCATCCAGCTAGCGATGCAGTGTATCACCCCACAGCGAATGTCACAGGGAAATACAAGGTCTGGCTCTTTTCCATCTCTGAACTAACTACCCTTTGAGCAGGCAGAAGTGGGGTGTTTGTTGTTGTAATCCCATCACTCATCCACCACTGGGCTCTGCTTAGAGATGACGCAATACACAAGAATGGGTGAGTGGCACAAAACAGTGACTTAGAGTCTAAGCCCCCCCCAAATGACCAGCAGAGGAAAGAACAAATGTACCCCAATAGTTATAATTGAAAGGGTAATGGGATCCTCTAGCAAGCTGCACCAACCATGTTCCAGGGAGATTCAAAAGCTGAGATGTTTCGGGGGCTACGGGGTTAGACACACATTACAGAGAGCAAGGCCCATGAAACGGGTTTTGTTTGTTTGTTTTTTACTTTTTTAGAGACAGGGATTCTCTGTGTAGCCCTGGCTGTCCTGAAACTCATTCTGTAGACCAATCTGGCCCCAAAATCAGAGATCCACCTGTCTCTGCCTCCCAAGTGTTGGGATTAAAGGCTTGAACCATCACTTCCTGGCCTGGGGTTTTGCTATTTGTTTGTTTGTCTTTGGAAACAGGATTTCACTGTGATAAGTGTTCTAAGCTGGCCTGTATCCCACAGTGACCTCACTTAGCTGCACAAGTGCTGGCATCACAGATGGCTGGTTTATCAGAAAAGATGCAGTGTGGAAACACTGAAGTCAAGGTTCTTTTTAAAGATCTATTTGTATTTGTGTGCATGTGTGTCTGCGTGAGGGCGCCAGATCCCCTGGAACAGGAGTTACAGACAGTTGTGAACTGTCATGTGGTTGCTGGGAATTGAACCCAGGTCCTCTGGAAGAGCAGACAGTGCTCTTAACCTCCGAGCTAACTCTCCAGCCTCCTGAGGTTCTCCTTAAAACCTTAAAAAAAAAAAAAGCATGTTCCCCAACCTCATTCGTCCCTAGTTCCTCCTGTAAATCAAAACTCATATAAATATATATGTGTACATATATAAATATATATGTGTACATATATAAATATATATGTTAAGTTGGGCATGATGGCCCACAACTTTAATCCCAACATTCAGGAGACAAATAATAAATAATAAATAAATGGATATGAGGGAATCTATAGGGATGGAGAGATGGCTCAGCAGTTAGGAGTGCTGACTGCTCCTCCAGAGGACCGGGGTTCAAGTCCCAGCACCCACATGGCAGCTCACAACTGTCTGTAACTCCAGTTCCAGGGGATCTGATGCCCTCAGACAGATACACATGCAGGCAAGACACCAATGCATACAGTGTAGGGAAAGGGGCCAGTCAAAGAAACACACCCTGAGCAGAGCCAAAGAAACACACTTTGGCCCTGCAACCAGAACTAAAGAAATGTACCCTGACCCTGAAACCAGTGCCAAAAGAACACACTTTGTCCCTGGAATCAGAGTCAGCAAAAGAAATGCACCCTGGCCCTAAAATCAGAGCCAAAAGGCTAAAAAGGACTAGAGAAAGAAACACACTTTGGCTCTGAAGCCAGAGCCAAATCTGACCCTAATCCTGTGCAGAAAACTAACCAATCCCTGAGCAGAGCTCTAGCCAATCTGAGCTCAGCACTGAAATCTAACCAATCACCATCCTGGAAGCCCTATATAAACCCTGTGTCTGTTCACCCTGTGTCTGTTCCACTCCTGGATCCTTCCTTCCCAATGAACCCCTTCAATGAGCTTTGGGTGAAGATCTTCTTTTGCGGCAGGGACAGAGCAAAGCAAAGCGAGCAGGGCTGTAACACTTGCCCTGGGAAACCTTCCCTTGGCAGAGCAGAACTGTAGCAACTTCGCCTGAGAAACCTCCTACCGAGAAAAACTGCTACACTAGGTGAACATCCCCAGCTGGAAGACCCTGTCCTGCCGGAGCAGAGCCAATACACTGGGGAAGCCTTTCCCTGAGGCTGGGCTGTAAGCAGCTAAGCTTACTGTAACCTGTGGTGGTCCTTGGCTCCCGAGCTCCAGGATACCTTTCCACCTGAGCTGTGTAACACTCAGCATCCTTGGCTCCCGAGCTCCAGGATACCTGACCCACTCCTGTTCCATCCCGATCCAACCCGAAACGCTTACATTTGGTGCTGAAATCCGCCCGAAATGCCAACATACAGAATAAAAATATAAGTCATCTAGAGCGGCAGTGGCGATACAGCTCTTTAATCACAGCACTCAGGAAGCAAAGGCAGGTGGATCTCTGAGTTTGAGGCCAGCCTGGTCTACAGAGTTCCAGGACAGCCCTGGCTACACAGAAAAAGCCTGTCTGGAAAAACAAACAAAACAAAAGGAATCTAAACACCGCTTCCATGAATGAGTACCAATTACATAATGCTTGTATTACTAGCTTGCAGTATGTAATAACATAAAGCAAATTGAACGCGTTATAAAGGGAAGTTGTGGGAAGCCATGTTTCAAGCACTCAGCCCTAAGGACTAGGGAGAGACCGCAGAACTTGTGCTTCCTGGGTAGGAGGGTCCCAGTCACCAGTCGTGACAGATGCACCCTATCAGAGGACTACCCATGTTCCTTGACACCAGCTTTAAAGACAGTATTTACAGAAAACGTCAGAACAGGAATGCTTCCGCATTTAATGCACTAGTAATCAGTGGGTCCTAAAAGGGAAGAGGCCAAATTCCTTAAAGAGGACTAAAGATGACCTCATAGAGGGTAGGGGCAGGTAAGAGGAAACCTGGACTGGCTCAAAGTCCAGACACTAGGAGCTCTCAGTGGCGGGCAAATGTGCCTTAGCCCAGAAATACCTCCGCACTTCCTGTTCCGCCCAGCCCGCCCGCGCAAGGGTGGAGCCAGGCTTAGCACATGCGCTTGGAGCTCCACAGACGCTCCGCCCTGCAGCTCCACCGGAGCCCGGCAGAGGGCAGCCTTCCCCTTCTCATGGATCTGCTGGCACCGCGGAGGCTGCAGGACTTTGCCTCTGCTGGGCCCCGCCCCCAGCAAGCGTCCCGGGGAGCATAAGCTTCAGGGGGGCTGCAGACACAAGATGGCCTCTTGCTTTACCCAGGAGAGAGACGACAAAAAAGGTGCAAACCTGAGCTGGCGCCTACATTTTTTTTAACTACTGAATTATCCTGAGTACCCGAAATAGTTCCAACACGTAGAAGACATTTAATAAGCATTTACTGATGGAATAAAATGAATGAATGAATACCTGAGTTTATAGTTGGAAGATTCAAGGGACGCCCTGAATTTTTATAGTGGAGAAAGGGCTGAGCCAAGCAGTCACCAGAGTCAGTGGGCAAGGAGAGGGCAGCCCGCAGCTGTCCGGGTGTCTGGAGTCAGCCACTCCCGATACCCTCCATTCTATCAGACTCCAGCCTAATACATCCGAAGATTTGCCCAGAGCCGTGCTCTGCTAAGAACTGGTGTCTGCCCCCAAAACTAAGCAGTCAGAGCCAGGCTGTGTGGACCCAGGGGTCCTGCTTCTCTCTAGGGACTCTCAGCTGCTGGGGATTTCCTCCGTTCCTGGGGGATTTCCAAGCTGCCTCTGCTTTCCCAGCCTTCCACAAGGCCCCAAACCCAGGGCCAGTCTCCATGGCAGTCTCCCCGAGTCTTGCATGCCCTGACTCAGTGTCAGGGAGACTCGGGCCTCTGGGTCTCCTAGACACACCACGTTCACTATATGGACATCCCATGCCGTATGGCGGACATTGGAGAATGAGCATAAGGAAGTATTGTACTCTGTTCATATAAATGACCACTTTTCTCTGTTCCCACAGGACAATCATGGAAAACCAGCATAAGGGTCAGCCACACTGATTAATAAAACCCAAAGGAGGTCTTCCAGGGTGTGAGGGCTGGACTGTGGGACTCCTCAAAGTCAGAGAGGCCCCTCCAGACACCCTCAGGTTCCCCCAATGGGGGGGGACAAAGAGCCACTGTTTGAAGATTTGTGTGTTCACTTCTGGAAGCCCTTACTGGGCCTGTTTCTAGAACCCTTTGAAGTAACAACAAAGCCAAGCCCAGTCCCCACAGAAGCAGGAAGAAGGCTTTCTGCTTTGCCTACCTGGCCTCCACCCCGCCCCCCCCCCGCCCCCACGTGCGAAGCCCGCCAAACCCACTGGGGCATGCGAGCACCTGCGCTGTTGCCAGGCTGGGCAGAGCCGTGCTTGGCGTGGTGAGGGAGCGCTGCCCCAGTTGTGGTGGCACATTACCAGGGGCCTGCTGTCCCCAGGGCATGGGATTCCAGAGTTGGTGAAGTGGAGGAATGGCCAGAGAGAACACACCTTCCTTCCGGAAAGAAAGGGGAAATGCCACCAGGCCCAGCCTGGCGGGAGGGGGCGGCGAGCTCTCCGCAGAAGGAGATAAGACTGACTGTCTCCCTGCCCCCACCCCTCACTTCTGGGTGCCCTGTGGACCTGCACTGCTCAATGCAGGAGCCACTGGCCATGGGTGGCCATTCAATTTTAAGTTAAATAAAAACATTGGGGCTGTTTCTCATTAAATGAAAATTAAGTAAAATGTAAGGTTCTGTTTTTCTGTTGCACTAGCCACATTCCAAGGGTTCAGTGGCCACGGGGCCACAGATCATTTCTGTTTTCACAGTGTTTCCTGTGGGGCAGTTATGGTTCAGGAGATCCCCTCCAGTCTCGTCCTGTCAGATGGTGTCCCTGACTTGCTGCTGCTCTCTCCCACCCCTGCCCACAGTCTGCTTACACCCATGTCCCACGTGTCACGTCTCGTTCCCTAGGCCTCAAAGAGAAATGGGGAAGAGGGAGCAGTCACAATTAGCATCCAGCCAATGAGCAGAAGCCAGATGCCACAGGGCTGAAAAGACACTGAATGGAAGCCTGCCTCCACCCCAAGGCGTCCTGGCTTGGGAGAAAGCCCCTCACAGCCCAGCACAATCCATCCTTGTTTCCAGTCTCTGGGCCAGGCATGGGTAAGATGTCTGGAATGTAGTGGCCTGAGGGTTTCTCCACCACAGCACTGGTGCGGGACTTGGTAGCGCCCCAGAAGAGTCCTAATGAAGCCTTTAATGTTCAAGGGCAAATAAAGTCAGTAAGTCACCTTGCCCCAGGTCAGGACCTCTGTTATGGGGCAGTGAAGGCCATAATTGGACATCTCCTTCTGGCCAGGCAAATGAAGAAAATGAGGAAGGGGAGAGTGGACCTTGGGCACCTTCCAGAGTGGCTCTGACAAGCTCTACTAGTCCTGGGTGCATGGACAAACAGGCAACCATGGATCTGACTGCCAGCACATTCTACCACAGGAACTGAGTCTGAGGGTCTTGCCACATTAGTTAGAAAACATACTCAAGAGAGTCTAGGCAAACTCCTATGTGCAATGAGAAGGAAGCCAGGGAGCAGCAGGCTAGGGTGGCCTCTGGTTCTGTGCCTGTGTTTGCTAAGCCCCACTGGGGATGGGCTGCTGGGAGCAAGACAGAAATGAAGACAGACAGCGACAAGGAGCAGAGGAGGTCTGCCAACCGGAAAACAAATACGAAGAAGCCTGGTACTCTAAGGGCACCGGCACTAGACTGGGGAAGGCAGGGAAAGCTCAGCATAATCAGAAAAACTGGTGTGAAACTTTGAAGAGCAGGCTAGAACTCAGGGCATGCTGTCCAGGCTGGTTACAGGGTGTCCAAGCTGGTCACAGGGTGGCCCCGGGGAAGCTGGGGCTCCTCCCTCTCTCCACTGGAAAGACACTTCGGGCAAAAGCAATAGTCTGAGGACAGTAGTAAAGGCACACAGCTGGGTCACTAACAGGGATGGAGCCTGCAGCATCCCGTGCAGATGGTCTCCTTGTGGGACACCAAGCACCTCCTGGGGTTCAGAGGTAAATTCATGGCAGTCAGGCTCACTTTCCAGCCCACACAGTAGTTCTCTTAGTCAGGGTTCCACCTGCTGTAGCTCCAGTTAGCCACAGTCAACTGCAGTCTAAAACATCTTAATAGCAAATGCTAGCAACAAATAATTCATCGGGTTTTTCATTTGCTTGTTTTTGTTTTGTTTGTTTGTTTTTTGTGTTTTTGAAAGATTCTCATGTAGCCCAGGCTGGCATCACTGTGTAGTCCAGAGTGATCTTGAATTCCTGATTATCCTGCCTCCTCTTCCTAAACGCTGGCTTGCAGCTGTCAGTCACTGTACATGGAAATTTATAAGTTTGATTACAATGTTCTGTTTCTGTTAGGATTATTTTATTTTACTGTTACTGTTAATCTCTTACTGTGCCCAATTTCTAAATGAAACTTACTATAAATGGGCATGTAGAAGAAATAGTATGTACAGGGCATCCACTGAGGGTTTTTGTTTGGTTTGGTTTGGTTTGGCTTGGTTTTTTGAGACAGGGTTTCTCTGTGTAGCTTTAGAGCCCTGTAGATGGGACTGGTCTTGAACTCACAGAGATCCATCTGCCTCTGCCTCCCTAGTGCTGGGATTAAACGCATGTGCTGCCAACGCCCGGCTAGAACAAGTGTCCCTAACCATTGAGTCCTCTCTCCCCTCCATTCCCCTCTTCCAGTTTTGTTTGTTTGTTTGTTGAGGCAGGGTCTCATGTAGCTCAGGCTGGCCTCAAACTTGCTGTGAAGCTGATGCTAAATTTGAGCTCTTGATCTTTTTGCCTCCAACTCCCGAGTGTACAATAGACTACAGATGTCCCTACACCCAACAAGTCCCTCTTCCAATGGCAGAGAAGAGACCTCTGAACACCAATAGCTGAAGGAAAGACAAATGGGCTAAATAAAATGGAAATGTTCAGCCTTGCCTTCCCAGAGACCCACCCTTCTGCTAGGTTGTTTCATATGGACAGAGAAGGTAAGAACTCAAGGAAGGACTGAAGGCTAATAGCAAAAAATCGTTTTGGAGGAGTCTGGGGAAAAGAACCGCCCAGTCACCTGGGTGGGCGGTGTGTAGGCCATTCTCATACTACAGGCAAATCCAGACTCCAGCAGAGTAAGAACCAGTCACCATGCCCAAGCGAACACAGAGGGGCCTCTGCATGCCTGTGCAGTGTGATTTGTTCCCACCAGCAAGGGAAAGGGCGTCTCAGGTGGTCAGACTGGCACCCCTCACTTTCCCCAGTCCCCACAACCTATACAAGAAACTCCTGTCATCCAGAAGTCCCAAAACCAGACTGGGAGGCCACAATACAGCAGGGGCACTGTAAGGCATAGCTCAGGGCTGTGGGGAACAGGGCTGTTTGCAGTCACTGGATTCCAGGAAGACAGACCACAGTCATGCTCCCCCAACACTTACACACATACACACACACCATGCTTCAAAGGCCATGGGCCCAGTTTCTCTTTTGCCTTGGGCCTCCCCCAATTTTGTGTGTGTGTGTGTGTGTGTACCTCTGTGTACCTGCATGTATGTGTCTTTGTGTACTTGTGTGTGTGTGTATATGCCTCTGTATGTCTGTGTATGTGCATGTGCCTCTGTGTGGGGGGTGTGTGTGTGTGTAGACCAGAGGCTGATGTCAGGCATCTTTCTCTACCTTTCTACCTTTTTTAAAAATTTTATTTTGTTTAATTTTATGTGTATTGGTGTTTTACCTGCATATATGTATGTACACCACATGCATGCCCGGTGCCCAAGGAGCCAGAAGAGGGCACTGATCTCCTGGAATCGGGTTACACGTGACCGTGAGCCGGCATGAGATGCTAGAGGCCAAGCACAGGTCCTCTGTAAGAGCAATGTCCTCTTAACTGATGGGGTGTCTCTCTAGTCCCATCGATTCTTTTTACTAAGCAGAGTTTGTCACTGAACCTGGTACTCAGTGACAGTTAGTCTGGCCGGTCAGTGGTAAGCCTCTGCAATCTCCTGCCTGTGCCTCCCAGTACTAGAGTTACAGGCATTCCGTACACTTGGCTTTTTATGTGAGTGCAGTGATCAAACTCAAGTCCTCTATCTGTTTTACCCCTGAGCCATCTTTCCAGTCCCCACTTTTTTCTTTTCTATCTTGATGTGTGTCCAAATGAGTAGGGACTTGATCCCACCCTGTGCCTGGTCCTCTAGGTAACCCAGGCATCTGCTTGGAAGGATACAAGGCTGTGGCAGGCTCAGCACAACCTGGGTTCCCCAGTGCCTGGAGTGTCAGGCACACAGGCTGTTACGGCCCGCATAGCTGAGGGGCCCATGAGGTGGAAGACACCAGCCCAGCCGGGGCTTCTGTAGTCAGTTCCACAATCGAACCAGTTCATTAGGGAGGGAAGCAGGAGGCAGAGCCCATCAGCAAGAATTCCCACAGGAGACAGCATCAAATCTTTGTCCCTTGCCAAGCATCTAAAAGGTTCTATTGGCATCGTCGCATATTGTCCCTTCAATGTGATGGGCCTGAGATGAAACTGGGTGTCACAGAGGGTCATGACGCTCTCAGGCTGCCTGACAGTGCTGTCACCACTTGGCCTGTAGCCCATGCCACCCAGGGCTGAGATCTAGCTTTCACCAGAAGCCTATAGTTCTAGGGGAAGCATGGGCTCCTTCATCACAGGGCTGGGACTGTCAGTGTCCTCCCCCAGAGGAGCCCACACTATGACACTGTGACAGAGCAGGTGCTCCCTGATGCCCCACCCAGAATACACAATGGCTGGGGGGATGGGGAGGATCCCTCCTCCCAACCTCACATTCAGTGCTTTTCTGCCCCAGAGCCAAGGGCGGCCTCCAGTCCCACTCAAGTACCCAGGTGAGAGCTCTCTCCCCAGTACACCCTGCTTTCCGCAGGGCCTGGCAGTGAGAAGGGTTAGGAGAAGGGAGGAAGTGAGTCAGCTCCTTACAGAAATGGGAATGGGAGGGAGAAGAAATGAGATCGGGAGACAAAGGGCACAGGGGCTGCAAAGGTCATCGAGAAAGGAACCAGGCTCTAGCAATGTTGAGAAGATAGATAGGACTGACAAATTCAGGGGTGCCTGGATGGTCCCCTGGGACCAGAGAACCTGGTGCTGGTAGGCAGGCCCCACCTGAGGATGGAATCTGAGGCTGCTCCCCTTCCTGTTTCATGTCAGGGCTGGACAAGGCAAGGCCTTGTGGGAAAGGACCAGCCTCCTCTCTCCACAGGCCTGCCAGGCCTTCCCTTTCCGCTATTGAGTCCTATTGCTCCTGAAACCGAGGTGCCTCAGGACCTGGCCAAGAGAGGGAGAGATGTTTACATCTGCCTGTGGGGACTGAAAGTCCACCACCCTGAGATTCAAGAATATAGCAGTTCCCACTGGCCTAGCTCCTGCTGCTGCCTCTGGTGGCCCCTCTACCCATGTGGGAGCTGCCCTCAGGCTCCAGCTGGAATTTGTTGCTGAGACTGGATGGGAACCTTACCATGAACCTTCCCAGCCTCCCGACATTCCAGCACAGAGGCAGCCTAGGGAAAAACAGCAGGAGGGAAGAGGAAACTGGGAACCCAAGCCACATTCCAACCCCTCAGAGACCTGCAGATAGGCACATTCCACCAGGGTCTCCTGGACAGGACACTGTAGGCTCCCTTGTAACCCTGAATCTCCAGGGGTTCATAGGGACTTCCCTGCA